TTATCTGGGTGTCCTATGTTTTTATTTGCTAAATCTGGCTACCTCTATGTCTCAGATTCTCACTCACCTCTTCCGAGGTAGGTGTTATGGACTCTCAAAACCCTCACAGATAGGAATTGGCCTGTATTGAAGCATTATGCAAGACTGTCAAAACACGGAAATGACCCAATGTTTGTTGGTGGATGAATGGACGAACAAACTGTGGTCTCTCCACACAATGGCACATTATTCAGTCATAAAAAGGCATGAAGAGCTCATTCATGCTAACTGAAGGAAGTCGGTCTCAAAAGGTCCTGTATTGTATGATTCCATTTATATGAAATATTTCTGCAGGCAAAGCCAGAGGCAGATAGCAGAGTGGTGGTTTTCCGGGCGATTGGTCAAGAGGGAATGGGGCGTGACCACTTCAGGGCTGTGGAGTTCCTTCTCAGTGTGATAAAACATTCTGGGGCTAAATAGTGGTAGTGATGGTCGCACAGCACCGTGAGTGTACTAAATACCATTAGTGGTGAGTTTTGTGTTGCGTGTAATTTTACCACACCAAAACTAAATAAAGGGATTGCTCGTGTGGAACTCAATATACCCGCTCCCTGTATGTGACGGCACGGGTTCCTGACCCCTGGGCCCTGGACATGCCGTGGTCTACGGCCTGTTGGGAACCAGGTCATGTAGCAGGAGGTGAGCAGCAGGTGAGCAAACTGATGCTTCATCTGTATTTACAGCTGCTCCCCATAACTGCCTCTCAGATCAGCTGTGGCATGAGATTCTCACAGGAGCAGAGACCCTACTGTGAACTGCGCGCAGGCGAGGGATCTAGGCTGCGCGCTCCTTATAATATAGAATCCAATGCCTGATGATCTGAGGCGGAGCTAAGGCGGTGATGCCAGCACTGGGGAGCAGCTGCAAATATAGACTATCATCAGCAGAGAGGTTTGACTGCATAGAGACCATAATGCATCCATTGCTTGAAGAATTCATATCAAAAGCCCATCAGTGAGTGGCCAGTGACCATTAAGCTGCATCTGGTGGCAGGCTTTATAGTGGAGAGTGCGTTGATGTACTTCACTTGTGCTGCTGCATCTGCTGGCAGGCTTTAAGTCAGAACCTGACACTTACTTGAGTCCATGTGTGGCCCCCCATTATTTTATTCACCACTTCTGTCTATGCCTCTTTCCCTCGCTGTGTACTTTTCTCAGTCACAGTTGTGGTAAGCCCACATGCTAACCCTAGCCAAAATGAATAAAAAACAAATGTTCCTGGAGAGCTTCTTTGAAAAGAGAAGACGTAATCATGAGATAGAAGACTCTATGTCTGCCAACATAAAGAAAGCCGCCCTTAAAAGAAAACAAAAGAGTCCTACTTAAATTACGGGTTCATTGCAACAGGTGGTTCACATTCTCCAAGCCCGTTTTGTATAATACGTGGCAACTGGCTATCCAACAAAGCCGTGAAACCTTTAAAGCTGCCTTGTCACGTGGAGACCAAGCACCCTGCATATAAAGACAAGCTTTTGGAGTTTTTCAAAAGAAAAAAAAGCATGAACATGAAGAAAAGCAGTTACTGAAGGCCACCACTTCATCAAATGTGTCTGCACTGAGAACATCATTCTTAGTGGCTAGCCACTTTGCCAAGGCTAGGAAGCCCTGCCCTGGCTGGTGTGGCTCAGTGGTTGAGTGCCGGCCTCTGAATCAAAAGGTCACCAGTTTGATTCCCAGCCAGGGCACATGCCAGGTTGGGGGCCAGGTCCCCAGTGAGGGGCACGTGGGAGGCAACCACACATTGTTTTTCTCCCTGTCTTCCCCTCTCTAGAAAATAAATAAAATCGTTAAAAAAAATAAAGCTAAGAAGCGCTTTACTACTGGTGAAAAGTCGCTCCTGCCTGCTGCTAAGGACACTGTCATGAACTTTCAGGAGAGGATGCAGGTCAACAGGTGGCAGGTACTCCTCTTTCAGCTCGCACCTTAACTAGATGAACTGATGAAAGAGACGGTGCTGAAGTATAGTTGTTAGGATTGATGAGTCACCGTGATGCGCAATCCAGGGTGACGAGTCTGCCGATGTGGGCAACAAGGCATCAATGCTTGCTTTTGTGCGATGTATTTTTCAGGAGCATGTGCATGAGGATATGTTATGTGCACTTTTCTCGCCAACCAATGCCACAGCTGCAGAACTATTCAAGTCTTTGAATGGTTACATATCAGGAAAGCTGAATTGGTCATTTTGTGTCGGTATATGCACGGACAGAGTGGCTGCCGTGACTGGACGGCTTTCTGGTTTCACTACTCGGGTCAAAGAGGTCACTTCTGCATTTGAGTCTACACACTGTGTCATATATACAGAAGTGCTGACTAGCTGAAAAACGTCACCTGATCTTAACAATGTTTTGCAGGATGTGATTTAAACTATCAACCTCATTAGAGTACATGCCCTTAGCACATGTCGGTTCCTGCAGCCCTGTGAGGAAATGGACACAGAGCACACACGTCCTCTCACACACAGAAGTGGGATGGCTTTCTAAAGGGAGATCACTGGCCAGAGTTTGAGTTACGAGAGCACCTCCAGAGATTTCTTTTGGAAGAACAGCCACCACTGGCAGCACATTTCAGGAACACAGAATGGGTCACAAAACCTGCTTATTTGTGTGACATATTCAACTTGGTTAATGAACACAATCTGTCACTTCATGGGAGAATGACAACTGTGTTCAGGTCAGAAGATAAAGTGGCTGTTTTCAAAGCCAAACTGAATTATGGGGGAGGGGATGAGCGAACATTGGGATTTTTGAGATGTTTCAAACATTAGCAGAGATTTTGGAAGAGACTGAACCAGGACTTTCTTCTTCTCCCAGCTGGTGCGTGATCACCTGTTGCAGCTTTCTGAGGAGTTGGAGCATTACTTCCCAACCACAAAAGACCCCCGAGCCGGGAAGGAATGGTGGATCTGAGACACGTTTGTGAACAGGCCGGGTGAACCGACTGTCTGTGGTGGAAGAGGATCAGCTGCGTGAGGTCGCAGATGGCAGTGGCCTTGAACTTGCATCTGAGATGACCACACATAGGCACACGTTCTGGGTCAGAATGGAACACCCCGAGATGGCCACCAACGCACTGGAAAGCTTGCTTCCACTCCCAAATTCCCATCTTTGGGAAGCAGAGTTTTCTGCAGTGACAGCAACCAAAACAAGGTCGCGGAGTAGACTGGACATAAGGAACACACTTCGGGTGTCCGTGTCTCCCCCACCCCCAGATGGGACCGTCTAGTTGCAGGAAACCAATCCCTGAGCTCTCACTGGTTCTGCGTTATGGTGAGTTGTATCATTATTTCCTTATATATTACAATGAAATAATAATAGAAATAAAGTACCCAATAAATGTAATGTGCTTGAATCTTCCTGAAACCACCCCCCTCACCTCCTGGTCCATGGAAGAACTGTCTTCCGCATAACTGGTCCCTGGAGCAAGAAAGGTTGGGGACTGTTGTGTTACGGGGTGAGTTGTGTCTCCCCAAAAGACATGTTGAGGTCCTAACCACGTTACCTGTGAGTGGGCCTTACTTGGAATGGGGTCTCTGCAGGGGTAATCAAATTGAGAAGAGGTCGTTAGGGTGGGCCATCCTCCGAAATGATGGCCGCCCTTGTAACAAGATGTGAATACAGAGACACACAGGGAGGCCAGTGCTGTCATGTGACCTGCAAGCCAAAGAACGCCTGGGGCCACCAGACGCTGGGCAGGTGAGGAAACTCTCCCCAGAGGTGTCAGAGGGATGGTGGCCCTGCCCACACCCTAATTGCAAACGTCTAGCCTCTAGAACAGGGAGAGGATGCACTTCTGTTGTTTTAAGCTACCAGGTTTGGGGTGCTCTTGGGGCAGCCCCAAGACAGCAAGACTCTCTCACTTTTCATGCCACTCAGCCCCACTGAGGTGCTGGATCTATCGCTCTCCCCCCACCCTGGGGGGAGAAGCAGAGGAGAGGCACCCTCTCAGTGCCTTCCCCCCACCTCCAGGTCCACCGGGAACCTCCCTCCGGGCTTTTCAGAGAAGCACACGGCCACAGGTATGTCATTCCATTGCCTGTTTTAAATATTTATTTAAAATCCAGAAGGGAGAAGGAGAGACAGAACCCACTGGGGCTGTGATACACTGACACGTGGACAGAGACACAAACGAGGACGCAGGAAGCCCCGGGGACGAGACGAAGGCCAGGTGGAGGCAGGCGGCGCGGGGAAACCACGCACTGAGCTCAGGCCCGAACTGCTACAGAAATGCCCTTCCCATGGGGAGCACTGCGGCTGGGGCCGGGGGGCCAGGGGCACGGGGCGTGTTTGGTGGGGGGGAGGGGCCAGAGTGAGGTATTAAATAATGAAAATAAAATCCAATTCCCAAAGAGACACAACTTTAGGGAAAGAAAAGACAAACACTTTCACATAAAAGTTCCCCTTCTATAAAAATAATTCCTTAGTTAAAAATAACCTCAAAATCCAACATGGAAGCTAGCTGGCTGGCTGGCTGGTACAGGACAATTCAGGTGATGCTGAATATCCCTGTCATGCTGAACTTCAAGGTTCCCATAATTATTCCTTCTCCTCAGCCCACATTTACACTTGGAGCTAATGATGCCGTGTTTCTATAGAATTTAATGACAACAAAATAGCAAGAGTGAGGACTGTATCTGGAAAGGACCAGCTCCTGGAAGGTAAGGAGGACCTTCGTGGGTGGTATGTTGCTTCATGAGATGGTTCCATATTTATACTCCACCTCCAAGGTCAGCCCTGACCCACTGCTGCTCTCCTAACTGGTTTCTTCAAGGTCAAGGCTTCTCCCAGGACTCCCCAGTCTAGACCGCACCCTCTCCAGGACAAGCCTAACTCCCCTCCAGGACTGTGAAGGGCCCAGTCAAGATCCTTCGTGCTCAGGCCCCCCCCCTGCCTGAAGAGGACACACATTTCAAAGTCCATAAGTTAAAAGATAAATCTTACTTACTATTGTTTCTGGCAGGCTTGCTTTGCTTCATTTTTCCTCCCTCTCCTTCCCCCTCCTTAGCAGATGATCTGATCAGCACAAGGGTGACGCTAGGAAAATTACAAAATTCTCCAAACTTTGTCACTTGGAGGAGAGAGAGAACCGTGGGGGACAGCCCACATCAAAATGTTTCTTCAGAGTTCTGCGGCAAAAATGGTAGCACCTTCAGAATCTTAAATAGGGTTTTTTGTTTCCTTAAAAAAAAATCACATACACTAAGAGACAATTGCGAGCACCAGCGATTTCACAGTGGGAGGTAGCGAACGTCGCGCCCCCAGCCGAAGGGTCCCCTCGCCCTGCCCTCGGCTGCCTCTGCTCCCTGCCCCAGCTGCTCTTTCTCACCCTCTCACCTCCTTCCCAGGTGAAAAAAAATAGTAACGCACCTTCTTTGTGTTTGTTTAAATAAAAATATATATAGTTCTTTCTTTCCTTTTCTCCTTTTTTCATGTCTCCTCTCTAATATTGCACATCAAAGCTCCCTGGCAGGGACCGGCTGCCCCCTTTCCTCAAGCTGGCTGGAACGTGGGGCTCTTGCTTGGGCAGGAAGCTGGGGAGGGGAGGGGGTGGCCACGGAGCAGGGAGACAGGCCACGGGGCTCAGGCGGGAGACAGGCCCAGCTTGCTTGGGCCAGCTCTTGGGTTGGTCTTTGGAGCTGTGTGCTGGGGTCACCCCGGTCTCTGCTATCCCGCCCCCCCAACCACTTCTACCAGGCAGGCAACGTCTGAGGCCGGCCCTAGGATCCTCGGGCAGATGAGCTGCCTCTCCTGGGCCCACCTGCCCCTCAGTACCCTCCTTTTGCCTCCTGCTTCTCCTCTTCCCTCTCCCTGGAGACCTAGAGGAGCCAGGAGGTCAGAGGTCAGAGGAAGCATGCAGGTCCAACTTCCAGGCGGTACTGCTTCCCTGATGAGGCAGGAGGGAGGTTGTCCACGCTGACAATGGGCAGCTGCTGGGGGTCCTGGGTCCGGAAGGTAAAGAGCGTCTGATGCCAGCGGCCATCCTGGACCTGAGAGGAGAAGGACAAGGGGACACGTTTACCCCTCAGGGTCCTCGTCACTCATCGTGTGCGTTTCCCCGGCACCTGCCCTCGCAGTGTCTATCCGGCACGTGGCCTTGAGGTAGGGTGGTAAGAAGCGAGGGAGACTCCTTGGCAAGTGGAATAAGAGAAACTGAGGCAAAATAACCAAACAAAACCAAATGATTTGAGCAATTTACAGCCAGCTAATGAATCACAAGAATTGATCTTCCCGCCCTGGCTGGCGTAGCTCAGTGTATTGAGCACGGGCTGCGAACCAAAGTGTCGCAGGTTCGATTCCCAGTAAGGGCACATGCCTGGGTTGCAGGCCATGACCCCCAGCAACCGCACATTGATGTTTCTCTCTCTCTGTCTCCCTCCCTTTCCTCTCTAAAAAATAAATAAAATCTTAAAAAAAAAAAGAATTGATCTTCCCTAACCAAGGACACTTGGGAGCAAATGGTTTACACATCAGAGCGTCTGGGGGCAGACAGGCCTTAGTTCCAGTCCCTCTTTAGTGAAGTTCTGTAAATACCTCCTTGGTTAACTTTGTTCCTACCATGGGATCTCACTCATATGTGGAATCTAATAAACAAAATAAACTGACAAACAAAATAAGGCCAGAGGCATGGGTACGTGGAACAGACCGTCAGCTCTCAGAGGGGAGGGGTGGGGGGGACCGGAAGAGATTAGCCGAAGAACACACATGCACATGTGCATAGCCCACGGACCCAGACAACAGTGTGGTGAAGGCGGCTGGGGGCGCTGGGGGCTTAGTGGAGGGGGAAGGGGAAGAAAATGGGGGACATCTGTAACAGCATCAACAGTAACATTTAAAAAAAATAAAACTAACCAGAAAATAGCCCTGAGCCCTCCATACACACATTTTGATGAATCAACACATCATATCTAAGGACACACCTGTTCAGGTGTGCTAATGAACACTCTATTAAGGCCCGCCCCTGAGACCTCCTCTGATAAAGATAAGAAGCCTCCAGACAAAGTCTCGCTGGGGCACGCCCACACCTTGAATGTTAGCTCTCTTTCTCCTAAATTCTACGGGACACCACGAGCCTCGCAACCAGGGGAGCAGCGGGCAGCAGCCGCCCGTCCTGGGCTTACCGCCTGCACCTGTCTCCCCGCCTGCACCTGTCTCCCCGCTTTCCTCTCACTTTCCGGTGAGCTAACAGCAGCCCCACCTCGGCTCACTTCTGTCACGGAGACTTTTATTTCTCCATGAGCCAAAGCAGCCCTGCCGAGGCACTCTCCTGTTGCTTCTTCAGCCCTAAGCCCTCCCTTTGTTTCACTGTCCCCAGCTGTGATAAACATCCTCTCAAAATCACCTGGACGCACATTGAGAAATCTTTCCTGCACGGAGTCGAGAACCCACGTACTACACATTAGCCAGAGGCACACCCGCTCCAGGCCTGTCCCCATCTGGACGCAGTATTTCACCACGGCCATGACCTGGGACTGTTCGTTTGGATGGCTCCTACTATGTTCGTTCTGTTGAGTAATGCTGTAATGACCACCACTGTGCCCCACTTCTGTGCACACCCTTAGTTTTACAGGACAGATTCCGGAAGTAGATTTGCTGGATCGAAGCACAGGTGCCTTTACGAGGCTGCGGAAACAGTTTTCAAAACAGCTCGGGGTGAGCGTGTCGGTTTCCCCACATCCTCGCTAACATTGTGTATTACCAGTTTTGTTTGATATTGTGATATGGTTTTTGTGTGTGTGCTTTTTTTTCTTTCTGTCTCTCTCTTCCCTAACAACCTACCCTGTTTTAGGCATTTGAAAATAACCAAAAATGGTAAGAAAAGAAATGAGCCTGGCCAGGCTGGGGGCAGAAAGTAGAAGGGCATCCTCCCATAGGCAGCCTTGCAAATAAGGGCTGTACCTCCAGCCTGTAAACTTGTTACCAGCCCAGCCCTTCCCTCAGGAGTTTCCCAAAGAGGAAAGTGAATAAAAGCAATTTCATAAAACTGTTATAATCCATATTACACACATGTAAACATTATATGTACCATACTAATATATTATAGCAAAAAATTGTTACAGGCAATTTGATAATAAAAACTTGGTTTTCCACTTGTGTGTCGGGGGGGGTCTGGGAGGAGCCCCGAGAGTTACCTTGCAGCCATCCATGGACACTTCCGGCCTGAACTGGCCCCCGGCTTCAAAGATCTGCCCATTCCAGGCCCGGAAGCGGACAGCCTGCTTGGCTGGGGTCTGCCCGGCGCCTTCCTGCCACACGGCCACGTTAAGGCAGTGGATGGTGATATGCTGCGTCACCTCAGAACTCAGCAGGTGCAGAAAGTTCATCTGTACCCGGCTGACGGCAAACTCAACCTGTGAAGGAGACACGCAGTGGGGCCACGGCTGGTGTGGCTGCCCACCGCTCTCAGGGGTGCAGGGGTAGGCTCCTTCCCGGGAACCCTCCCCAGCCATGCTCCCACACAGGGAAACCGAGGTCTGTATGAGCTGGTCCACAGCCACGGAGCAACACAGAAGGGAAAGAACCGAGGCCTGCCCGCCTCCAGGGTCAGAGCTGCAAGGGTCCCTAAGCGATCTTATCCACACACCACCGCCCTTGTAGGGGGCTGGGGTCAGTGGGGCTGAGCTGGGACCCCGAGGCCCAGGGAGGAACAGGACCTTGCCCAAGACTGAGAGGCTCTCGGAGTGCAGAGGAAATGGGAAGGGCCCTCCTGTCCTTTCTAAGTCCCCGGAGCCCTGAGGGGTGGGTTGGGGTGGAAAGGCCAGACCTGACAACATACAACAGGACCGGGTCTGTGGCTTCAGTGGTTCTAGTGTGAGCCCTGCAGTTGGGGTTTCTCTAGTTCTGTGACCTGAGGACCTGGCTTCTGCTTTGATCCGACCCGCTTCAAAGGTGGCATCTCCGATGGACACAGTGCCAGCCGCGGGACCTCCTCCCCTCACTGCGGCTCCTTTGTTTTAGAGATCTTGGCTGCTTTCAGTGGCTGACCATTTGGGCCACTTGCCCTTCCTCTTCCTGTACTTTAAATTCCCGCTGTTGTGTTTTAAATTCACCGGTGGCATGAGCCCACAAACCCCAGGCTCCTGGGACCTCCCAGTGCGGCCCCCAGTGTGTGCTATGCACCGTTTTTCCCCACGCACCATGCACTCCCGTGTATAGTGTGCACCCTCATTTTGGTGACCATTATATGTGGGATTATTATATCCACTATTATACGCATGGTGTACAATCATTATACCCATGCGTAATGTGCATCCTTATTTTTCCCTCAAAAATTTGGGCAAAAAGTACACATTGTACATGGCAAAGTAATTTCCAGTCTTGTAAGTAAGGAATATTTGTTTTTTTCTAAAGTTTCCTGATAAGTTATGGCCAAAGGGCACCTTGCAATCACAATAAAAACCACGTGGGCTGGCCCAACCCCAACATTGGTTATTGACAGATTGAGACTGGCACAAAACAGTGGTTCATTGTCCCCGATGGGGGCGGTGACTCAGAGGGACACTCACACTGCCCACCCCAGTGCCAGCTCTGGCCTCACCCCTCTGCCAGGTGGGTTTGCACGTGGCCGTCAACCCTCAGGCTCAGAGGGGGAAGGGCCCACTGGACCGTGAGCTCTGGCTGCGGGGGCAATGGCAAGGCCACTGTGTTTTGTGTTGAATCCCAGCACCTGGCACGTGGTAAGGACTCAACTTGTCGACCAGCTGCTTTGCTCAGAGATTCTCAAACTCTGGGTCTGAGATGGTCAGCACAAGCACCTCCCAGAGCCTCCCCAGGGAGGCTGTTGGGACGGGATGCAAGGTGCACGGGATCCCTGCCTCCCCTGCAGCCAGGCTGCTCTTCTCACCGTGGCAGGAAGTGTCCCACGTGCAGGAGCTGCTGTAAGTGCAGACCCATGGTGCCCTGCGGGGCACCCTGAGCAGGAGATTGGTCACATCTCACTGCCACTGCCTGCCTTGGCTTCTGGTGGAGGTGCCCTGAGCCACCTAAAATTCTCAGCCCAGAGACGGGCACCTGGTAAGCGGGCAGTGAACATTCACTTACTGTTTGCACACACCATTCTGATGGTGTGACCCAGGGGAGCGGCACACTGACTTATCTGGTGCTGAGGGCTCACAGCTCTCCAAGCCAGGCCAGCTTGGCCAACTACGCTGTTTCAGGGATTAGGCAGAAAGTCCTATCTGAAGAAACTTCAGCATCGTACAAGTCAATGGGGTTTGGACTTAGAACAATTCATTCCCATTTTACAGATGAAGACACTAAAGTTCAGAAATGGAGATGACTTCCCCAAGGCCATGCATGGGCTGTGGCTCAGGGCAGGGTGGGGGTAGAGAGGGCCAGCCAGTGGGGGGCAGGGGGCAGGGAGCAGCTGGGTACCTTGGAAGCTGTGATGGGCTTGAGACATGTCTGCCCACCATGCGTGAAGTTGCAGGAGACTTCGATGGTGTCGGACGAGCAGCCCAGGTTCGGGTCCACCCAGTAGGTCCCTGCAGGGAGCAATGGGGTGTTGGTGTATGCAGGTGGGAAGAAGCCCATCGCCTGGTTCTGCAGGTAGGCCCCACATCTTGTGATCCCTGAACCTCAGTTGGATACGAAGTCAGGGGAGCAGAAAGGGATTCTGTAGGCCACAGATCTCTGAGCAGAGCTCACCTCTGGCAGAGCCCCAAGAGCAACATCACACGGCCAGTCACTTGACAGGTGGCTATTGGGAAATGTCGGCTTTACACAGGGAACAACTGAGGCTGAGAGGCTGAGCCACTTGCCCAAGGGACTTAGGGACGATCGAGGGGAAGGGTTTCTCCCCTTAGGCTAGTGATCCTCCTAGGGCTGGCCAGAGGGGCGGGGTCAGGGCTGCCACCCCTCTGCAGGCATCTCATTTCCCCACTGGGCGTCCGAGGGAGCAGAGGTGCCACAGCTGGAAGGGGACAGCCCGCCTCTGGACCAGCTTCGCGTGCAGTGAGGGGAAGAGTGGCTGGGGCGGGGCGGTGCCTGGCCCGGCTCACAGGACTGGCATTCAAACTCAGCTCTGTCTGCCGCCAAAGCCCTGGCCCTTCCACAGACCACGTTAGCTCACACAGAGAGAAAAGAGTTGGATGAGGGGTGGAGGGCCCCCGATCCCCACCCTCTCCTGGCCCGTGGGGGCTTTTTCTGCCACAGCTCTGGTCTTGTTGCACTGAAACGGCTGCGCCCAGCCTGATGGTCTGTGGGCTCTGGAAGGGCAGAACCACTCCTCGGGGCTTCCCACTATACCCTGCCCCCAGGGAGCACAGGGCATGTCAGGGTTCAGTGACTGTTGGTTGAGCGAATAAATGACTGATCATGTGCCTGTCTCTCTGAGAACAGAAACTTGGCCTGGGTGGGTCAAAGCTCCATCTCCCCCCGCTCCTCCTGGAACCCCTCTGTCCCTGTCCCACGCCACCCCCCGGGGCAGGACCTCCTCTCTCCAGACCCGCAGGCCCTCGTACCGTCTGCCATCTTCTGCTCACAGTCCATGAGGTCCCGGCAGACCCGGGCAGGGTTCTCTTTGGTGCCCAGGGGAGTCTTGATGCTCTGGATGAGGTTGCTGAGGTAGTGTAAGGTTTTAAATATCTCCCCTCCCTGGTCCAGCACCAGCCGGTCCGGGTGGCTGTAAACCTGATATGAGGAGAGAGTATGGCCATGGGCTCCTCGAGGTCCTGGCTCAGCCCAGGGTCTGAGCCTTCACAGCCCCAAGTTGTCGATATCTGGGGGACATCTCTGAGCCCCCAGGAGCATGGCTGGGGCAGGGGTTGGGTCTGTTCTGCTTGGATGAAGAAACCGGGGTCCAGGGATGGACAGGGAGATGCTGCCACCATGGGGGCTTAGAGGCTTGAGGGGAGGGGAGGGCAGCCCGGCAGCAGGTGCAGGCTGGGCAGATGTCCATGAGCAAGGCAGGCATGTGTGCAGAGCCCTGGGGAATGGAGGGGTTGCTGGAGGTCTTCCCACAGACCCCTATCCCCGTGGGGGGAAGATAATGGGCTCGCCCGTACTGCCCTGCCCTCTGGACCGTGAGCCCTGAGAAAGCAGGCTGGACAGCAGCGTTCCTGGCATCCAGCTCAGGGAACGTACGGAAATGCGTGTAGGAGGTCCGAGCGGGGATGGGGTGGGGTGGGGTTGAGTTCCCCATCTTGGGAAGAAGGCAAGGCAGCAAAGGGCACTCTTGGCAGGTGTTCAAGTTTGACTAGAGGGCATCGACAGCCTTCTCAGCCTGGAGTCTTGGAGCTGAGGTGACCACAGGCCAGGGCCCTGGGGGATGACCAGGAGCTTTCTGCTCCTGACGACTGTGGGACTGACCCGTGGGAAGCTGCTATGGGCTCTGGTCGGACTGGGCATCTCATCCTGACTCAGGCCAGCAAGAACTCGGACACCCTGAGAGGGCTTTGCAGGAACGCAAAGAGGGCTCAGGGGCTGGTCATGGGACTGTGGACGTGCCTCCGCCTGCTCTGAGCCTCAACAGCAGCCCTCCCCATCTGTGTTGTGAGATGCCATCCAGGGCTTTGAAACACTCGGAGCAGGCCACGTGCATGGGGGCCTTGGCCACACGCGGGCCATTATTTCTGTGTCCCCCAGGAAGGGTTCCCATATGGGTAGGGCTCCTGGCCGTACCTCTGCTCTCAGTGCTCCACTAGTGTCCATCCACGTCTGGAAAGCTGCCCCAAGGTCATCTTGTTGCTGTGCAGGGAGAAGAAGACAGGGTGTGCATCCTGGCCCCCCTGGCCCCCCAGGCAGGAGCCCCAGGGCCTGAGCAAGCGCTCTCCCACCCCACCTGCCCCAGCAGGGTCCTGGCCAAGCCACACGTCCTCTGTGGAGCTCCACCCTTGCTCCCCTTGCAAACAGAGCCAGAGCCTCCACTCCCTTCCTGCAGGCACTTCAATAGCTCTCCATGGCCCTTAGGATTAAGTTCAAACTCTTCAGTGTGGTTACAAGACCTGGCTTGAGGGCTGTGGTCCCTGGCCCTCCTCTCTCCCACATCTAGTCTGTGCACAACACGCTACCACACTTCTAAGTTCCTAAATGCCATGATCTGTCTAGCCGCAGGGCCTTTGCACGTGTTTCTCGGAATCCCAGGAACTCTTCCTCCCTCCCCAGAGCTCCATCTGGCGGGCTAACTGCTACACCAGTGGTTCTCAGCCAGGGCCGATGTTGCCCCCTAGTGGACATCTGACAATGCCTGGAGACAGTTATTGCTGTCAAACCTGGAGGCGGGGGTGTTACTGGCACCTATGGGTAGAAACCAGGGATGCTGCTAAACGTCCTACAATGCACAGGACAGCCGCTCCCAGCAAACAATCATCTAGTCCCTATCATCAGCAGTCTTGGTTGACACACGTTCCACAGATGGCAGCGGCAGTGGGAACTCTCCTAGTGCTCCGCGCCCAGGCGCTGCAGCGCCCTCTCTGTATTCCCATCCCTCGTGCCTCCTTCGGCTTGCACTGTGACTGTCTAATGTACACTTGGGGCTCCAACCCTCACACCAGGCTCGCCAGAAGCTGCAGTCTTGCTGTGAAAACAGCAAGGGACAGAATCTGACAGCGAGCGAAGCCCAGGATTGGGGTCCGGAGCTGGGCCTCTGGAGGCAATCCTTCTCAAGTTCAAATCCCAGCTCTGCTCTTTATTTGCCGCATAATCTGGGGCATGTTGCTTCACCTCTCTGCCCCAGTTCTCTCCTATTGGGACTAACAATGAACTGGTGAGAGGAATAAATGAGTGAATACACGAAAAGCACCCCTGATGGTGTCTGGCATGGAACAAGCACTCAGCCAGTTGGGTTAGTAGAAAAAATTCAAAATCCTCTACTTTTCCATTTTTTTAGAGGGACAGGGTTTTTCCTGGATCTCATCCCTTTCCTTCGCTGGCTTCCTCATTGATGAGAAAGATTTGGGGAAGGATCCAGGGAGAGGCCCAGCTGCCATTCCACTGTCGTGGGTGATGCAGGAGGGCCAATGAGAAGCCGAGACGAGAAGGACCAGAGATTCCAAGTGGCTTGTGACCCGAGGGTTCCCACTCTTTCCCCTTGGCCACTTCCTGGGCCGCCGTCAGGGCCTGATTCTAACGGTCAATCAGCGCAGCAGCAACCCAGGGACGGAAGTGTCAGAGGGCTTGGGAGGGGGCCACTCTTCCAGACGGGGCCGCAGTCCCTAGCAGGGAAGGACACAGAGCCCCCGGTCTGCTCCCTCTCTGGACTCAGGATCTGACGGGAAAGAATCCTCAGCCATCAGCTGATTGGTGAGAGCACCAACGGGACCCAGGAGCCCGGCGGGTGGGGCGTCTTCCTGGGTCCACGGCCAGGGGCTCGTCCCAGCTAAAATCTGGGTTTCCTGCCTCCCAGCCCAGGGTTCTTTCTGCTGCTTCAGAACCCAGGGTCCAATAGGGAGTGACAGAAGGACACAGGCATGCCCAGGCGCAGCTTAGGGTTCTAGTCGCCGTGGCCAGAGAGGGGTCAGCTGCCAAACTACCCCCTCCCCAGGCCTTACCCAAGCAGAAGAAAGGAAAAGTTCTCCAACTTACAAAGCGGATGGGGCTCCCTGGAGGCCCCTGCAAAAAAAGAAGAGGCTGGGTCAGCATTTGATGGGGGCTGGACCCTTGGGGGCTGTCAGGACACTGGAGGGGCAGTTGGGCATGGGAGGACCCACCAAGCTGATGTCTGCTTCCCTGGAGGTCCCACCAGGGTGGTCTACACTCTCCTAAGAGTCTGTGCAGTACAAGCAGCTTGCGAGTCTGTAAGGTTAGGGCCACGACAAGTGCCTGCCAGCAAACCCCTGGGTCTCATTCAAAGGGACCCCACCTCCTGCTCCAGAGTTCAATGTGTGCCGAGCATGCAGTGGTGGTGACCTACCGGCGGGCCAGGTCGCCCTCTGGGGCCTGGAGGACCCTGGGGGAAGAGGAGAACAGTGAGGCCTTGGTTAAATGCCTCCCATCTTCCCCCACCCGGAGTCTCCCAGAGCAGACCTACGACCTGGGCGCATCGGCAGCCCTGGCATCGATGGGTGCAGACGGAATACGGAGTGCCTGCCCAGTCCCACGCCACCCCCCAGCCCCCAGCAGCCCTCACACCCCAGCCCACTCACCCTCGGACCTTGCAATCCCTGGATGGAGACAGAAGCAGGAAGGGAGGGTTAGGAGATGCCGGCTGAGCTACGCCCATATACCACAAAACTCCCCCCCCTGCCCCTGCCCCCTGCAGCACGGACCCCCCCAAGCCCATCCACTCACCAAGTTCCCTTGGCTGCCTTTGTCGCCCTTTGGACCCTGCAATAAACAAACCATAGCCCAGTGGGAGAGGGCTCTGGGGGAAGCCCCATTTCCCAGACTGGGAAACAGAGGCTCAAGGCTCAAGCCAGCTCCAGGTCGCAGAGACGGTCTGGAACCAGGAAGGGAAGGGGAAGGAGCGGTCTTTTTGGTCAACCTCCTGCACATACCGGGCGTCCTGAAGGTCCCAAGGTCCCAAGGGGCCCAATGATGCCTTCTTTTCCCTAAAGGAGAGAAAAAGGCTTATGCGCCCTCGACTGGGGAACAGTCACAGGGACAGGAAGTGTCCCCAGGGTACAGAGTGGAGACCTCCTCAAGCAGGGGCCAGGCCATGCACCTCCCAAACCCCTCCTATGTTCCTTGGGGTGGGCTACAAGAGTGGGGGAAGGGAGGGGAAGGGCGGAAGGACGGCAGCCCAGCCGGTAGGGGCAGTGGAGGCAAAGGTGTGGAAGCGGGAGGGAAGACTGTGGGCAGAGCAGGGCTCGGGACTGAAGGAGCAAGAGGAAGACGTGCGTCCACCCAGCAGATGGCCGGCCAGCCTTAGACCTGGGCCACTGTCCTCAGTGGGACAGGGAGGGAGGGGACTCACCATCAAGCCAGGAGGCCCCCGAGGGCCCTGGATGCCTTTGAAGCCCATGTCTCCAGGGGGCCCCTGCAGGAGGCAGACAAAGGCTGTATTTGTCTGGTGGCCACCGGTAGCGGCCCCGGCAGCTCCGCTCAACCCCTGGGGCCTGGCCAACCTCTGGCCTTCCTGTCACGCCAGGCCTTGCCTGAGAGGCCCCAGAAACAGTAGCAAACGTCCACAGTTACTAAGCAGGTACCAGTGTGCAGACTCGGTGCTGGGTGGTGTGTGTCTGGGCTTAACTTAATGGCTACCCTCTCCTGTCATTACTCCCATTTTTGTAGATGAGGACACTGAGGCTTGGAGAGACCACGTGGCTCGACCAAGGTACAAAGCAGGTAGATAACGGTGGGGCTGGGCTTAGAACCCAGGCTGGCTGCAATGGGAGACCGGGGTACAGGAGGCCCACGCTTGGGGCTGGTTGTGTGCCAGCCCACACTGCAAGTGCTGGAGAAACATTTGCTTAATGCATAAAGGAACGAGCAGGTACATGGACGGGACCCCAATGGGAACAGCGCAGATGGGAATCTGTACCTTGGGTCCAAAGAGGCCAGCCATTCCTGGGAAGCCCATCTCGCCAGAGTCACCCTGTGGGGAGAGCAGGATGGGAGGGTGTGAGTGGGGCCAGGACGAGGGTGCCTGGCCAGTTGCCCAAGCCCCTGGGCCTGCCTCTTCCCAGGGACATGAGCCACTCTCTCATGAGATGGACAGATGAGCACGAACAGTTCAGACGAGAAACCAGGTCAGCCTGGCTTCCTGGGGGTGAGAGCCTGTGCTGTCTGTCAGATGAGAAAGCAGAGGCCAGCTCAGGCGCTCCCCGAGGAACCCTCTAGAACACTCAGGATCTCCTGTCCCAGATCTAGGAAGAGAATGAAAGGACCCACAAATGCTTCCCAACCCATCTCGAAAGCACTATTAAGGAATGATCTCCTAGAAAGTAACCGCACTGGCTGAGGGCCTGCTATGTGCCAGGCACCGGGCATGCGCCACCACGCACACGCGTCCCACATCAGCCGGGGGAAGCCCCATATGCCCTGCTCACAGCTGAGCCACTGAGGCTCAGAAAGGGCAAGGACCGGCTCAACGTCACACAGCCACCGTCCTGGGGAGTGTGCTAGATTCAGTTCAGGTGGGAGCAACTCCGGAGGCCCGAACCGTGTGGTAGGTGTGGGGCTCAACTTTAAAGAAACTGCCCAGCTGTTTTCCAAAGAGGTTGTGCCAGTTTGCAGTCCTATTAGTGGGGCATGAGAGTTCCAGCCGATTGCATTCTTGCCAACTCTCGGTGTGGTCAGTCTTTCAACATGTTCACCGTTCTAATTCGTGTGCGGTAGCATTTTATGGTGGCTTTAGCGAGCATTTACCTAATAACTAATGATACTGATCTTGTTTTCACGCATTTGCCATATGTATATCTTTCTTGAAGTGTCTGTTAAAATCTTTTGCCCCATTTTTTAATTGGGCTGCTTCTTTCCCTATTGTTTGAGGGATTTTTAAAAAAAAATTCAAGGATATATTTATTGATTTTAGAGAGAGGGAGGGAGAGAGAGAAACATTGATGTGAGCGAGACATTGGTCGGCTGCCTCCCATAAGCACCCTGACCAGAGATCAAACCTGCAACCTAAGTGTGAACCCCGACCAGGGATCAAACCCACAAGCTTTTGGTGTGCTGGCCAGCACTCCAGCCAGCTGAGCCACTGAGCCACTGAGCCAGGGCTTACTACTGAGTTTTGGGAGTTCTTTATATATGCTAGTTGGAAATTCTTTACCAAATGTATGATTTATACTTCCTCCTAGTATGTGGCTTGTCTGTTTATTCTCTTAACATCCTCCATTGAATGGCAAAAGTTTTACATTTTGATGAAGTTCCATTGATCAAATCTTTTCTTTTTTTAAAAAAAGTTATATTACTTATTTTTTAATAAAAGTTTATTTATTTATTTTTAGAGCAAGGGGAAGGGAGGGACAAAGAGAGGGAGAGAAATATCAGTGTGTGGTCACCTCTCATGCTCCCCCTACTGGGGGCCTGGCCCGCGACCCAGGCATGTGGCCTGATTGGGAATCAAACCAACGACCCTTTGATTCACAAGCCGGTGCTCCATCTACTGAGTCACACCAGCCGGGGCTGATCAAATTTTCTTTTATGGATCGTGCTTTTGGTGTTATATCTAACAAATCTTTGTATAGCCCAAGGTCTCAAACATTTTCTTCCATGCTTTCTTTGAAAAGTTGTAGCATTTTAGGTCTTATACTTGGTGTATGATCCATGTTGAGTTAATTTTTGTATGTGGCACGAGGTATTCAACTGTTCAGGCACCACTTGTGAAAAAGACTATTCTGTATCTACTGAATTGCTGCTGTGCCTTTGTCGAAAATCAGGGTCCATACACGTACAAATACATTTCTACTCTGTTCCTGTATGGCCCTCCCAATACTTGGCTGATTGCCATAACATTGTAAGTCTTAAAGTCAACTGCTGTTATTCTTTCAACTTCACTCTTCTTTTTCCAAGTTCTTTTGGTTATTCTAGGTCATTTTTCCCAAGTGCACTGTAGAATCTGCTTGTTATTTTCTTTCAGAAAAGCCAAAATGGAATTTTGACTGAGACTGTTCTGAACCCAGAGACCAACTGGAGGAAAACGGACATTTAACGATACTGAGTCTTTTGACCAACGAACACAGTCTATCCATCTATCCGTCTAGGTCTTCCTCCGCTTGTCTCAGCAGTGCCTTGTAGTTTATAGTGTACATGCCTTGCACATCTGTTGTCTGATGTATTCCTAAGTGTTTCATAGTTTTATGCTATTACAACTAGTATCGCTTTTTAGATGTCAAATTCTAATTGCTTGGTGCCCACGTAGGGAAACTCAACTCTGTGCATGCTGAGCAGGTGTCCTGCCACCTGGCAAAACCCACATATTCTAGTCGCTGCTGGTTTTCCACACAGGTGGTCATTTCATCCACACACGGAGAGCTTCACTTCTTCCTTTTTGGTGTGAATGCTTTTTATTTCTTCTTCTGGTCTTACTGCATGGGCTAGAGTGGCCAGCACAGTGTCGAACAGGGTCAGTGAGAGCAGAGTCTTTGATTTGTCTTAGCTCTCTGAGTGTGCTAGAGAGACAGTTCCACGACATGGCCGCTGGGCCAGGAGGGGGTGCTGCTGACCACATACGCCCCTTTGAGGCTGTGAGAGTAATCGGTATTCATTCTGACAGAAATCAACACCCTTCCCAGGCCTCCTACTACATGCTGGTTCCTGGAGCAGGCTGTTGTTCTGACCTGGTCAAGCATGTGAAGTAATTGCTCATACCTGGTAGCATCCATATACTAATAGCACCTGTGACTCATTCTCCTGTTTACTCTATATGATTCGTTGGCCCCTGCCAAGGGGCATGGTGGTCCATTTCATCTTGTGGCTGCCGAAGACATGCCTTGTATGTGTGTCCCTTAATAAACATTGGGAGTCACCAGACCGGAGTGGCCAGCCTCTCTCTTTGGTCTTTCCCTGCCCTCTGCTCATAGAGGTAGATCTTCAGTCCCCAGGACTTTTCCGGAGCCTCCATGCACTAGCGCTGGGGAACAATGCTCAGTCATTCGCTGTTAAGAATGGTGTTAACTGTAGGTTTTTCATGGATGCCCTTTATCGGTTGAGGAAGTTCTTCCCTATAACGAGTTTGTTGAGAGTTTTTATCAGAAACATGGTTGGATCTTGTCAAATCCTTTCCCTGCATCTACTGAGACGATCTAATGGGTTTTCTCTTTTAGTTTGTTAATGTGGTGAATTATATTGATTTATTTTCAAATATTATACCACCCTTGCATTCTTGGGATAAACTTCGCTGGATCTTAATGTACTATCCTTTTGAACATATTCTTAGATTCACTTCTCTAAAATCATATTGAGAATTTTTAAAAAAGATTTTGTTTGTTTATTTTTAGAGCGAGGAGAAGGGAAGGAGAAAGAGCGAGAGAAGCATTGATGTGTGGTTGCCTCTCAAGTGCCCCCTACTGGGAACCTGGCCCACAACCCAGGCATGTGCCCTGACTGGGAATTGAACCGGCAACCCTTTGGTTCACAGGCCCATGCTCAATCCACTGAGCTACACCAGCCAGGGCTGTGTTGAGAATTTTTTATTCTATTTATGACGTATGTTGGTCTGTAGTTTGCTTTTCTCGGAATGTCTCGTCTGACTTTGACATCAGATTAATATTACCCTCGTAGAATGTGTTGGGAAGTATTCTCTCCTCTCTACTTTTTGGGAAGAGTTTATGCAGCCTTGGTATTAATTTTTCCATAAATGTTTGCTAGAACTCACTCACCAGCGAAGTGACCTGAGCCCAGGGTTCTCTTCATGGGAAGCTTTAAAGTTCCAGGTTCCGGTCTTTCAATGGATGTAAGGCTGATTATGTGGTTGTGACCCACCTCTCTCCATTCTGAAGGGACCCCTCAGGTCTCATTTCTCAGCCTCCTCCCACCCACTGCACCCCAGGGAGGCAGGATGGTATCTGGTACCCAGGGAGGGTGTGGCTCTGCCCTTGTCACACAGCAGGCAGGTGGCTCCTGGGCCTGTGTGCACGCAGGAGGGAACTCGAGCGTTGGTGCGCGCAAGAGAGCAAGTGAGCGTGTATGCTTCCTGGGGTTCACTCACCGGCTGGCCTTTGGATCCAGGCTCCCCCTGGTTCCCAGGAAGCCCTGTTCCGCCCTCTGTCCCTCGCTTCCCGGGGGGACCCACCTGCCCGGGTAATCCACTTTCACCCTTTAAGAAATAGACCAAAATGACCAGTCAGAGGGGGAAGAGGTTCCGGGGCAGGGAAGGGGAAGAAAGGGGAAGGGGGGGCCCTAGCAGAGACAGAACAGTGATTCCACAGGGCCCATTGAGATCTCAGAAGGCTGGGGCTCCTCGATAGGCCTGGAGGGGCCTCAAAACTTCAGCCTCCTCAAGAGGAAGTGAAGTCTCTTTCCTTCCTCGGGCATTCAAGGCCTCCCTTGCCCTCTACTCTGCACGCTGCCTGTCTTCATCGTTTCTCCCCAATGGAACCTGAAGTTCCCATCTCCGTACTTCTGCTCACGCTGCTCCTCCTGCTAGAAAACCACCTCCCCTTTCCTCATTTTAATTTTCTCTGGGCCAAGGCTGCCTCTTCCCCTGCTCGCTGTCCTCCTGAGGCTGTTCTAAGCTCTCCAACTAAACCTTGAGTTCAGAAATGGCAAGAGCTCTGTCTGATTCATTCATCTCATTCTTCCTCCAGTATCTAGCCCTGGGCTCAGACTGACTCAGCTGTCTCCCCCACCAAATTGCTCAAGGCTGCTTTCTAAATAAGGTGCCTTGGAGGAGGGTCCCTGCAGCAAGCAACGGCTGTTGTTCCACAAAGATCCATAAGAGGGCGCCCAGGGATAACTAAAAAACCGGCCGAGGGATCAGGGCCTGGTTAGGGGGCAGTTTTATAGCTGCCTGAACAAACTATCCTTTAAGTTAGGTTCAAGCTAGGACAGCAACCCCTAAGAAAGGTCGGCAATGTGGACCCCATTTCCACACAGGCCCCGGGACATGGATGCCCACGTCAGCATTATAGCCAATGTCATTATAGTCAGTGCCACGGCAGAAAGGGTGAAGGGTGGCTGAGTGGATCAATAAGTGTCTGACCTTGAATCCTGGGGGTCCCTGTGCTCCGGGCAAGCCAGCCACACCTGGATTTCCCCTCTTCCCAGCAGGGCCCACGGGGCCAGGGGCCCCATCATCTCCTTGTTCCCCCTGCAAAGAAGGAAAGCAAGGAAGATCTCTCATGTTTCAGGAGATGCAACCAAGGAGGCAGGATGGCCGGAAGCCTGGGTGGCTTCTGGGTGGGGCTGGAGGCAGGGAGCTCAGACTCTAGGGTGGAGATCTCCCTGGACCAGCAGGTATGTGGCTGAGGGCTTCGGAGTAGGAAAAGGGAGGGATCTTAAAAACCAGACGCTCATCCCCTGGGCAGGGCATGACCTTCTGGGTGCCAGCATGGAGGAGAGACGGCCAGAAGGGCCACACCCCAGGTCCCAAGCAATGAGGCGATTGCCCACATAGGGAACATCTGGGTATGTCGGTTCTGCCCCATCCAAGTTTCCAAATCCCTCCACCCCCAACACACCTCATCTCAAAGGGAGATGCCCAAGCCCTGCTCACCTGCTGCCCTGGTTGACCATCCCTGCCGGGAAGCCCATCTGGTCCAGCAACACCTTCGGGGCCCTGTCTCCCCACCACGCCCCGGGGCCCTGGCAGGCCCTGCAGACCCTGCGGGGACACGAGAAGCTGGTGAGGGCTTCTGGGGAGGGCAGGGAGGTGGGTAGGAGAGGCGCAGCTGTGGGCCACTCACCTGGATCCCCCTCCGTCCAGGGGCCCCGGCCTTGCCTTGCTTTCCCTTTGGTCCCTGAAAAGCCAAGGGGCAGGTGAGGGAGGCTGTGTGGGGAGGCGCAGGGCCCAGGAGCTCTGGAAGCAGGGCAGTGAGAGGACCACAGGCCCCTGTGTGGCTGGACCCTCCACCTCCAGGACCTCGGCCTCGGAATCTGCAAAGGGGCCCAAGTGTCTGGCCTGGAAGCCCAGGGGCAGGGCTGGCCTTGGAACCTGCCGGTGTTGTCACTGGCCCTGCTCTGGGCTGGTCTCTCACTGGTCTCCTGCTGCAGAGGCTCTGGCCATTGGCTTGGGCCCAGCACTGTCCAGTCCATTCGATCCTACCTGAGGTTCACCTCCCTTTCCTACAGACCTGCTAGCCCTGCCTCCCCCTTGCTGTGTGCCTGGGCCAGTGTTTCCCCTTCCTGGGGCCCCTGTCTCCCCTCCGGAGACACCCAGCCCTCTTACCTCTTCCCCTTTTGATCCTTTGGGGCCCGGCCGCCCCCGGGGTCCCGGATGCCCCTGCAAACCAAGGTGAGATGACGCAAGGCAGCCCCGGGGTTCTTTCCCGGGGAGGGTGGCCAGTCTCCGCCTGGAGGGGGAGGGGTGGGGAGGGGTTTGGGGGTGCAGGCTCTGGGGGTGCCCCCAGGGTCAAGGCAGGAGAAACCAGGATGGGCTACCCCAGGCCCTCCTGCAGGGAGGGTCCCTTTAACCTTTAAAGGGCCCATTTATTCATTTCCCCCATGGCGGCTCCACCCCCACCCAGGGCAGGAGGGGGCAGGACTGGGAGCACCACTCACAGGCAGGCCCTGCTGGCCCGGGTTTCCACAGAGGCCTTGTACGCCCTCCTGTCCCTGGAAGCCAAGGAGAGAGAGGTGAGGGGCCATTTTTGGAGGGGGCGACTCTCAGCCTGGAGGAGCCCCAGGAAGCCCTTGCTGTTCCTAGCTGTGTGTCACTGTCCCCCTGAGCTCCAGCTCCCTCATCTGGGTGGAGGGGAGGTAAAGGGCCTGCTGGGGGCCCGGTGCTCATTCTGTGGCTTGTCTCCTGCCTCTGCCCACTGCTTCTGCTGGGAGGGCCGTTCCTGGCTGCAGATGGGGCGACGGAGGCCCTCTGAAGCGAGGGGCCTCTTCCCCCCACCTCCTTCTCTCTCTCTCTCTATCTCTCTCTATCTCTCTTCGCCTCCTTCTCTCCCTCCCTCAGAAAAGGTCTCAGACCAGACCCTTCCCCTTCCAGCAGGAATTCCACCCTGAGCCCTCTTTCAGGGGCTGTGCTTCGGGCCTGGACAGGAGTGGTGGGAGGGAGGGCTCATGTCCTGGTGAAGGCTGCTCTGAGCCCAGTCAGCACGTGGCAGGGCCTTAGGGCTGAGCAGTGCCCTCTCACAACACCCCCTCTGCTGCCAGCAGAGAGGAGCTCTGATACTTACAGGGTATCCAGGATCCCCTGGTTCCCCACGGTCTCCTCGATCCCCCACAGGGCCCTGAATGACAAGGACAACAGCAAATTTAGGCCAGTCACCAGGTGCAGGGATGCCTGACCTGGGCCTCACTGGCCACATCCTCTCTGGAGCTCCAAGCAGCTTCAGCCCTGCTCGGCTCCCCCTCCCCCTGGGTCTGGGGGATGGAAGCTGGGGGGCCTTACCGGGTCTCCAGGTGGTCCTGGGGGGCCCTCGGCCTTGCCGTCCTCACCCTGCTCACCCTGTGGACACAGAAACAGCTTTGGGACAAATGGCTTCTTCTCGGTGAATGTGTGAATTCCAGCCACTCCACACTGAGGCCCGGGGGCCTCCATCAGAGATGGAGTCCAGCCTACTCAGGGTTACAGATGAGGAGACTGAGGCCAGAGAGGGAAGGGGCAGACATGGGGTCAAAGCCAGCCCTGAGCGTGGAACCGGGATTATGCACACGAAACAGAGCTCATGACCCTCCCCTCCCCCGAGCACCCCAAACCAACACCCTCCAGCTGCGAGCTCCCTCTGAGCTGGGGCTGTGGTCACCCCCTGCTTTGTACCGGGCCTTGGAGCTCTATACCCACGCGGGGTGGGATTTCATGAAACAATGCAGAAGTCCCTGCATGGCGCTCAGCAGGGGGGACACTAATTCCGACCGCTGGCAGGCATAGGCACTGCCTGGGCCAGACACGCGCACTCACTGAGTCCCAACAGCCCAAGCGGGCCAAGAACCGGCCTTAGGACAAACCTCCCACCCTTGACAGGAGCCTCAGAGAAGGCCCTGGGCTGCCCCAGGTTGCACTCCGCAGAGGACCAAGTTGGGGATTTTGTCCATAAGACAGTTTTCCGTCTGCAAAATGGGATGGTAACGCCTGGCAGCGCTGCTGAGGGTCCAGGGAGGAGGGGCGCGTTCAGCTATCGGCACATTACGGCACACACCTCGGCTGGCTGTGAAGATGGCGGCTGCTGCTGCTGATACCAGCAGGGCTGACGTGTGGCTCAGATATAATCCGAATTTAGGGTGGGGGTCCTTGGGCCACGGCAGACCACCCTGGGCCCTGGGCCACCTGCAGGACAGGTGGCTGGACGCCACGTGCCAGCGACATGGAAGGTGTACTCAGAACAGCAAGGGGTAGAAGCTCAGGGCTCAGAATGTTCCAGCCCCAGAGGACACTGGTGTCATCTCCCAGGGGGTGCATTCCGGGCAGGGGGCTCAAGTCACGGCACCTCTGCGCACCCTTGAGGTTAGCAGCGATTTGAAGGGAAGGCTTGAGAGGCAGGGGAGAGGGGAGCCGTGCCTGGGGCTGGAGCCAGTCCCAGGCACGACTCAGTCCTCAGGGCTGGGTCTGTACCTTGGCCCGGGGCGCTAAGGCTCCTGTGGGCAGAGACTGAAGGGATTTGGTCCCAGGCCTAGAAGCACTTGTACCTAGGGGACTGGCTCAGGGGGCGGGGATTCCCTTTCCGCCCCGCCCACTCTCTGTGGCTCTTTGTCCTCGGGCTCAGTCCGCTGTGGAGGGAGGCAGCTGGACTGGGGACTGTGAAGATGGGCCATGTTTATGTAGTGTTCTGTGTGCCAGAATATTCATGAGGTGTGCCTCATACATTGTTTCACAGATTCATACAGCGCCTGTGTGCTGCTGGGACTATTGCCCCATTTTACAGGTGGTGAAACTGAGGCCCAGGAAAGGAAGGGTCTTAGCCTAGGCCACACAGAAATCAAGGGTGGTCTGGGTCAAAGGCCAGCTATAAAGATCCCTCCGTCTCCCCCCACATCATGGCTCTAGTTTGGGGATGCACTTTTAGCACCAGAGAGCTGGTGGAGCCCCTGCTGCCCTTCCCCCTAGAGTCTCATCCCATCACCCCAGGCCCTCTGGCTGCTGCTTCTGCCCCACAGGGAATTTTCATGCTAAACCGCATATTGTCCCATTGAAGCATCTGTGTCTGGCTAGCAAAGCAGACAGTCTGAACCCTGGCCCTGCCAGCCTCCCACTGACCCTGTACTGGTCCTGGAGCATCGTGGAGACTGAGTTTCTCCACCACTCACGTGGGACACCGACACCTTCCCATGGGAGTCACGGCAAGGGTCAGGGAGAAATCTGGGGGAGAGAGCTTGCACATGGCCTTCATGCTTTGGAGGGAGGGGGTCTCCCCAGGAACTGGCTCTCTCCTTCCTCCCAGCTTGTGGCTGACTGTTCATGCATGTTACTATTTTTATTTCTGAGCTCTTCAGGGCATCGTGCTGCAGCCCCTACACTAAATAAATCACTATAAATCCATAAATACCTGCTGCACAGATGGACACATGACCAAACTAATGACACCGTGTACGTCAGCAAAGGCCTCTGGCTGACGTACAGGCGATGCACCGCTTAGCGCTGGCAAGGTGCCTGCCCACTCAACAGATGAGGCAACCAAGGCCCCGGGGTGCAGGGGCCCCACTCAAGGCCCCAGCAAGCTCACGGCAGATTCGGGGTTTGGGTTCCACTCTCAGCAGCCACAGACACTACCCTTGGGGCTGTAGATGGCCCACAGCAGAGGGACCCCCCCCTTTTTTTAGGGTCTGTGTTAACCCCTCCTGAACCAGCCTCGGCAGACCATGAGGGCCAAGAGGCACTTCCTGCGGCTTCCCGGGTGATGTCAGAGTCTGTGGCTCGCTCTGATGGCAGCTCTGTTCTCCGCCAAGCAGGAGGAATGGGCCAGCTGGACAGCAAGCCAGGCCAGGGTGATTCACCCACAGCAGGATATGGTTAGTGGGGAGCTGACTCGGCAAAAGAAAGGAGGGCTAAGGAGGCAGCGGGTCAAGAAGACGGTGGCCGCCGCCTGCTAGGAGACCTGCCAGATGAGCCATCGGGAGAGGAGGGGGGAAAGGAAGGAACAACTTGGAGCCATTAATGTGGGACTCAAAAATGGGTCCCGGGGCCAACTCAGCGTGGTCCTGGGACGTGACCCAGGCCCGATGCCTTGGATCTCTGGCCCCTCGTGTCCCCACCTACGCAGTGGGGCAGGGCACAACGCTCGGCAAGGATCCCCCTAGCAGCTCCTCTCCTACGGCATCAGGAGCCACGTGGCTGGAAGCAGACACGCCTCCCCACTGCCTCGTCCGCTCCTCCCCCGCCCTGTAAAGCTGGAGTTCCTCGCACGCCTTCCTAAGCCTTCTCCGGGCTCCCGCTGGGTGATCTCATTCACCAGCAGAGCTTCAGTTCCCACGTTCATGTAGATGATGGAATTGCACAGTTTCAGTCATTACATAACCGAGGCCCATTTTCCTTACTGGACGGAAACCCCCAAGAGGGCAGTAGCTGTGTCTGTCTCCGTTCCTGTGCCGGGCACGGAAGCTATTGATACCCAACGTGTCAGCTGCGAATGTGGTCGAACGCCTCCTGCCTCCCGGCCGCCCGCCCCCGCTGTGAGCAGGCGTGAACCCGCCTGGAACTTCCTGGGCTGTCCCAGCCACCGTGCCCCAGGGGCTTGCTCCCGCCAGCCCGGATAGCAGGCAGCAGCCGCTTCCCACGACCCAACACCCACCTTTTCGCCCTTTGGTCCGGGAGGCCCCAGGGGTCCCACGACGCCTTTGTGTCCCTGCAGGAAACAAGAAGGCAGGGCGGGAGGTGAGAGCACGGAGGTGTGAGGAGGACTCGGGAGGGACGTGTGATGAAGGACAGGAAGTCTGAGAGGGAGACATCGGGCTGTTCGACTTGGTCCTGGCTCGGCCCCAACGTGCCGGGTGACTTCGAGCAGGCACCGCTCCTCTCTGGGTCGCGGTTCCGAGACATGCTATGTGGGTGCCAGATACATCGCTAGGGTCGGTCTGCCCGGATGGTTGAGGACTCTGCCCGCCTTGCCCCGGGGCAGACCTGGGACCAGATCTTGAAAGAGCCAGCTGTGTCGTCTGGGGCAGGGGCAGAATGGTTGCCCCAGCAGACTTTCCCAGGCTGTGGCCAAAACTGCACGTACGGATCCCTCCGTGGGGCCCCAGCACCCCGTCTTCCAGTTTCAATCTCCTTTCCCCCTCTTCGCCTCCCTGCTGGGTCTCTTTCAGACACCGGACCCACTACCAAACAAGCTGGCAGGCCTTGCACACACCTTCTTTACCCACCCTGAGACTCTGTTTCCCCTTGCGAGCAAGCCCTGCGCCTCCCCATGGCCTGGCCCCCCAGACGTGGAGCGTGGGTTTGGCTCAGCCACCACTAAGGGGTGCCGACTTGGATGCAAAGCTGGGCTGAGGCTCTCTCTGCACATGAGCGTAGTTGAGCAGCTCAGGGATGAGGTAGGTGGGGCCCCCACCATCAGGAGAAGGACTCAGAGAGGGCACAGAGGGAGGACCTCTGTGTCCACACCACCCCGCCTGGCCACCCATGGCCCCCACCCTGGTCTATGGGTCCAGGTGTTCCCTGGAGACTCTGACTCTCCAGCGGCCCGAGGGCTGGCCTTTGGGTGGGAAGGGGAGGCGCCAGCAGAGCCAGGCTTGCAGGACAGAGTTCCAGAGAGAGGGGGAGGTGAGATTTCCTTACGTCGTAACCAGCCAGTCCTGGTTCTCCTTGGGGCCCCATCCGTCCTGGAGCACCCTACGAGAGGAAGAGACACACGTTGGTAGGGAGTGTGGCCCTCACAACAGGGACTCAGGCTCAGTCTGTCCCCCGGGCTCCAGTGCAGTTTAGCCCGGTGCCTGACACATCCGTTTTGCCCAGAACCCAGGTTGGCGGAGGTCAAGGTGAAGAGCAAGTGGCATTGCTCCCCCTGTCCTGGAGCTCCCCTCCTCCCGCTAGCCCTTCCTTCTCCCAGATCCAGTGGTTCCTGAGAGCAGGTGGCTCAATTTTCCCTCATTTTGTGAGCAGAATGGTAATGAAAATTTAAATTATATGGACTTACAGTTCAATGCTATAAAAAGCAAAGACAACAAATATTCAAAACTCACTGCTTGCTAATTATCTTGCACTGTACTGTGCGCTGCCTGTGCTCAGGAGGCTATCATGTCTGTGGCATCTGTGCGGTGGAAGCACTAACAGAACTCCCCCATGCGTCTCCCCGCAACCTCGCGTGCAGTGACGTCAGGTCGGTAGCTTGAAATCAGCCCTGGTGGCAGCACTTTCACCATGGAAACGGGTAAGTGCCACCTGCACGTCTGAGATGCTGTGCCCCCCTGTCCGCCCCTCCCTTGCCCCCTCCTCCTAGGGTCTCCTCCCCGCTGCAGCTGTCACACCCTGCAGGCCAGCCCTGGCCTGGGCACCCCAGGGCCACCCAGGGAGCCGCAGCAGCTTCACCCTGTCCTCGTGAATCTATTTCCAGTTCAATAAAAACACGCCCAAGGGTGGGTCTGGTTTAATTAAGAGTGAGATTAAGCAGGGCTTGTTTGTTAATCTGGGTCTTCAGGAGATCCACAGACCCTGTCAAACGGTGAAAAACACTTTGTATCGTGTGAACTTTTCCAGGAGGAGGGCTGTAGCTTCTGAAGGCTCCTAAAGGGACCCGTGGTTCCAAAGAAGTGGCTGGGACAACAGGTGTCTGGCTGACACTGGAGCGGACGACACCCCCCTTTCTGCCCTCAGCCCCTCTGCTCCATGACCGACACCACCCCACTGCACCCCACTGCACCCCACCCCGTCCCACCCCGCCCCGAATATTCTCACCGTTGGTCCCAGGCTGCCCCGGGACCCTTTAGGGCCTGGGGTGCCAGGGGGTCCAGGGTCTCCAGGGGCTCCCATCTCGCCCAGCTGTCCTTGGTAGCCCTTGGCACCCTGCAGCGGGAGGAGAGACAGGCTGCCACCAGGCCTCTGGGGGGAGGTGGAGGAGAGGGCGGGGAACAAGGGCGGGTCATGGCAGGAGGAGAGGGGGGATCTGACCTTGGCTCCGGTCCGGCCCTTCTCGCCTTGCTTCCCTGGCTTTCCTTCGGGACCCTGCGGGAAAGACAGAGAAAGATGGGAAATGATGGACAATTGACACAGGTCCGTGCGGCATCACCGCACTAGCTCTGGGAGGCCGACTGCCTGCCGGTTCACAGCTGCTTTTGCACTCAATATCCATATGACCTTGAGCATGGCCTCACTTCTTGTGACTGGCGTATTTGTCTGCGAAGTAGTGGCATTTGCCCCACAGAGCTGAGGATTCAACCTGGTGATGCAGCATCACACTTACAAGGCGCCTGGTCCAGAGTCAGTGCTGGATACATGGCTGTTGTCATGGTTACTGTTAGGTGCCCAAGCTGTCCCAAGGAGAACAGCTCTCCATCCTGCACTCTCTCCATGTGTCATGAAGTATTCTGTCTTCCCAGTGACCCTGAGGCCTGACTCAGACTCCCTCCTACTGATGGTGGCAGCCGGAGTGCCCGCCGGAAAGGTACCTGACCAGGGCCTCTGCTGATGCACGTCAGGGCCTGGGCTCCACTGCAGACCTGAGCCCCTGTCCAGGGCTCAGGGTGGCCCAGGGTGCCGTTGGTGACACCAGGCAGGCAGCAGAGGTATTCTAGGTCCTCCCTCATCTCTGAGATCCTGGGCATCACTTCTGAAAAGCCCTGAGGTCGCACCCCACTAACAGGGTCCCTCCCTGTCAGGACCCAGGGCTGAAGGGGCTCCTCACAGGAGGGTCTCATCCCAGGAAGATCAGCCGCCCTCCCTTGCCCTCCCACTGGGCACCCAGGAGACTCCCTCTAACAGGCCACGCCACCCCTCCCCCCAAGGCATCTCCAACTGCAGCTCTCCCCTGCCCCCGCCTTCAAGGGGGGCCAACCTGGCTTTGTCTCCACAGTTATCAAGGAAACTCAGTTTAGGAGGGGTTGAGTGAGTAAGTACAGTGTGCATGTGAGAGAGAGATAAGAAAGCAGGAGAGGGGGAAGAGAGTCCCCATCCTGGGCCACACTGGGTTGGGATGTAGGGGACAGGGCAGGCAGCATTTCTGGCTGGGAGAGGACATCCCACCTGTCCCCAGGGAAAAGTCCCTTGAAGGTTCAAACTTTTGATTCGATTCCTTTGGCTGCATTAACAGAGGCACTTGCTGTGGGATGAGGGAGGTGACGGTCCCATCTTGGAACAGGGGCTGCACTTGAAGAGGAGGCGCTGACTAATGGTGATGGGGGCCGGTAGGAAGAGGGGATCCCAGAGGAGCAAGGAAACCCCTGGGCTAAGCCAGAGGGACTTGGTTCCTGTCTGCAGATTTCAATAGCTGCCCGGAGGGCGGCCAGTGCATGAAACCTATGGGGTGGGGGTGGGGGTGGGTGGTGGCATTCACTTAGCATTAGGGAGAAATGTGTACCCAGAAGATGCAAAAAGGCAAAAGCGTGCTAGAGAAGATGACTCCGTCCCGAAGGGAAGTGCCAGCCAGACCGTCCTGGGGCCCTCAGGAAGTGGGGAAGTTGTAGCCCCCGGAAGGACCAAACACGGGCGGTGCTACATCCTGGTGCTGGAGTCCTCATGGGACCCCGGACTAGCCCCTTCCCTTTTCCCTGCCTCAGTTTCCCCCACCTGTAACATGGAGGTTTTGAGCCAGCCTTGTACTGTCCCTATGGTGGCCCTTCGCCACACATGCCTCCTGAGCACCTGGAATGTGGCTGCTGTGACTGAAGAACTGAATTCTTCATCTGCTTAAATTTTAATGAAATTAAAGAATGGAGAACTAAATTATTGGAAAACATTTAAGTTATGTTAGAAACAGCTTGGGATATGAATCTACATTTTCAACCGCATATTTTATAAAATCTAAATACGGATCAAGTTTTTTCAATGAAAATGTAGCATCTGAGTTGACAGGTGCAATAAGTGGAAACTACACCCCGGACTTCAAAGATTTAATGCAAGAGATGCAAAATACCTTGTCAATAATTTTTATATTGATTACATGTTGAAGTGTTTGTATTTTGGATATATTGGGCGAAATAAAATGTTCCTCCAATTAGTTTCATCTGTTTCTATTCTCCTTTTAAAAAATGTGACTATTAGAAAATTTTAAATCGTACCCATGGCTTATATTCTGCTTCTCTCAGACAGCCATGGACTTGACAGGTTCAAGGCCTCTTGCTCCTCCAGTAATAAACTAATGACAGTCTCCACAGCCCTGGCCAGGCTGTGTGTCTATACCCTACCTCGTATCTTGCTCACTTCTCACCAGAGGACTGGGAGAAAGTGACTTTATCTCATTTTAGAGCTGGAGAAACTGAGGCACGATGAGAGGTGGGTGTTCTCTGCAGTCACCCAGCCAGGTTAGAAATGAGACATGAAATCCCAGTTTCTAGGTACCCTTTGGCCCAGGCTGGTCCCAGCCGGGCAGCTGTGAAATCAGGATACAGGGGCTGATGGGATTCGCTGGTGGACTGAGGTGATTGCAATGGCTGACCCCTTGTCAGGAGGAGAAATGAGTCAGTGCCAAAGTGTTTAGTACAGGACCAGGGAGACAGAGTCTCCCCCAGCACAGGCTGGGCAGCAGGCCACTTGTTCCGACGGGCCCTCGGCAGCCGGGAGCTTCCCCGCGGTGTGGGAAACCCTGAGTAAGTGCTGGTGCTTCCAGTAGGGTGAGCCTATGGGGCCAGAATGAAGACTCGCACTGGGCCCCCATCCATTTGGATGTATTTCTGGAAAGGCCCTGATGGCTCATAAAGTTCTATTTTTAAATACTCAGCTATTTCCAGGCCACAGAGTGGGAGATATTTTTCCTGCAGCCCTGTTGCAAAAGAGACTTGAATGCAGGGTTCTCATCACCTCTATCACCCAACACACACTCAGTCTGGCCCCAGCAAACCTCCTTAAAGTTCCAGTATGTGAGAACTCCAGTATGGGAGGGACAGCAAAATATGGACATAACACTGCTACCACCACCAGTAAAACGATCTGCGTCACCATGTCAACTGGCACCACCACTGCCACTGCAATCACCATCACAAGCACTGCCACCATTATCATTGCCATCATCACCATCAGCACCACCATCACTGCCATCACTAACTCCATCATCAGCACCATCACTACCATCATTACCATCACTAATATCACTACCACCACCATCATCACAACCACCATCACCATCATTACCACCATCACTAACTCCATCGCCACCATCACTACTACCACCATCATCATAACCATCATCACCATCATCACCACTAACTCCATCATCAGCACCATCACCACCTCACTACCACTACCACCATCACTAACTCCATCATCACCACCATCAGTAACTCCATCATCACCACCATCAGTACCATGACTAACTCCATCATCAGCACCATCACTGCCACTACCATCATCACCACCATCAATCCATCACCACTATCATCACTACCATCACTGCCACTATCATCACCACTACCACCACCATCACTACTACCATCATAACAATCATCACCATCACCACCACTACCATCACTAACTCCATCATCAACATCATCGCCACTACCACCACCACTAAAACCACCTGCATCACCATGTCCACTGTTACCACCATGGCAAATGCAACCATCACCAACTCTGCCACCATCCTCATCACCACCACCATCACCACCACTCTCACCCACATAATCACCATCACCACCATCAGCACCACCATTGCCACCACCACCACCATCACCGTCACCTCCAGCTTCTAGTCATTTTCTTTTCCAAATTTCTAAAGACAATAGTTTATATTTCTGGTGCATTTTCTAAAGTTCTTTCTTACCCAAAGCTTCACTGACTCTTTACATGAGAAAACCAAGGCCCAGAGAGAGTCAGTGACTCGTTGGAGGTCATACAGGCAGTGGGTGCCTGAGCTAGATCTCAGCATCTGGATGTCGGATCCAGTGCTGGTCTCTGCCACGTTTTTGCCCATTCCACAGTCCTGATACGCAAAAGCTCACTGGAAAAGAGCCCCTGGAGCATTGGGACTCAAAGCGATCTCAACACACATTCCTTCCAAATGCTTCATCATGCCAGGGGTGGGAGCCGAAGAGGGCAGGGGCAAGTGAGAGGTTACACAGCAAGTTACTGATGGAGAATGGGGCCAGCACCCCTCCTGCTGCATTCACCCTGCTAAATTCAGTGTGGCTGAATGTGGGGGTTGGGCGGGACATGGTCAGCAGGGGCCAGGTTTATGCGGTGTACAGCAGCCATCTAAGGAGAGTGATATCACTCTGATGGTACTGGGGAGCCATGGGAAGTTTAGGCAGGACAGGAAGGGCCACAGCAAAAGACCCTTAGGTAGCTCCCGCCAAAAGGCCTCCCACCCAACTGCCTGGAAGAGGACAAGTGTTATTTGCTCTCAGGAGCCCTCCGTGTTGGCATGCAGCCATGTGCACTCACCCGGACGCCAGTGATGCCAGGGGGGCCGGGGGGCCCATCCTCGCCCATCAGTCCCTCCTGGCCCTTCTCGCCACGCTCACCATCAGGCCCTGGGTCACCCCTGTCCCCCTGGGTGGGAAGGGCATGAGGAGAAGAGAGAGAGAGAAAGAATAATTAGTCACTAAGCCCAGCAGAGGACTCAGACCTCAGGGTGCATTCAGATGTCCACAGCTAAGCAGCTTCTGGATTCCATGATGGTTCTCTGAGCTGCCAAGGCCCCGCAGGCACAGGGAACATCCTGACATGGCAATTGCTGGTGCCCTGCCTGGGCCCAGGAGGGGGTGGCTCAGGGAAGGGGGGACCCTGACCACACCCACCCCATGAAGTTCACAGGAAGGGGCCAGGTTCGGGAGACTAGGGTTGCTCTCTTTAATACAGATACATGGGGAAGACAAGAATCATAATACACTGAAATAATTTTTTTTAAAAAATTGTATTTATTTATTTTTAGAGAGACAGGAAGGGAGACGGAGAAACATCAATGTGTGGTTGCCTCTCACACACCCCCTACTGGGGATCTGGCCCACAATCCAGGCATGTGACCTGACTGGGAATTGAACCAGTGACCTTTTGGTTCACAGGCCGGCACTTAATCCACTGAGCCACACCAACCAGGGCTAAATTTTTATAAAGAAAAAAAAAATTTCACCGAGCTCAGCTTCTTTGAACTTTTTCCATTTTTCTGAGTTGCATTTTCAACCTTTGCTGACACGGGAAACAGTTTACAACATTAATAAGAGGTAATTGTTTTGATTGCTATGTACCAGTCTCAGCAGTGAAATAATGGTTCCAAGGTTACACAGCCAGTTAGCAATAAACTAAACTTTAAAGGCATAATCCAATCAGACTGCACAGTCCTGTAATTATTTTTGCTAATGTCTTTGTCTACTGTGAGCACATTTTCCTGCTGCTGCCTGCTCTGCGTGGTTCTCATTTTCACTGGCTGCAGAGCACACCCTCCGATGAGTGGACGGCAGCTAGCACTTACAGAGAGAGCCCTGGCTGTGTCCCAGCCATGTCTGGCAGGCAGGCTGTGCCAGAAGGAGCCCTGGGCTGTTGTCCTTGGCCTCATGACAGAGCAGGTGCAGCATAGGCAGTGGCCACAGAAGGACAAGGCAGTGCCCATCAGAGGCTGCCCCATCAGGGCTAGCAGGGCTGGTGGGACCTACAGCCAGTCTGAAGGTGGCCCAGCCGCAACAGTCTGAGAGGCCCTCAGGAGACAGGATGAAGTCATGGGTACGAGGAAGGGGTGGATGGGGGAGCGGCTTCAAGAAGCAAAGTGTCTTTTGCCAGTTCTGTTTCCTGGCACAACACTTTATGAGGGACGCAGATAAACTGGTGTGCATCCAGGGGAAAGATTCAGTTCAGAGGGTGTGAAGCCGGAACGTGGGAACAGGATCGCTGAGCGGACCCACCGCAGGCCAGTCCTGCTCGGGCCTGGGCTCTGGGTGCACCGGGCTGGTGCGGGGGATTGTGGGGCAGCTTCTAGCTCATCCGGGGAGGATTTCCTGCTGGAGAGAGGTCCAGAGAGGACACGGATGGGGGAGACTCCCAGCTATTGTGTGGACCAGCACAGAGCAGACCTGGGCACCAGAAAAGGGCCAAGCAGGTGGCTTTCTGAGGTCCCTGCTCCCTGACATTCTTCGATTCCAAGCATGGCCTGGCATGGAGTCAGGGGCCAGCCCTGAGGACCTTCTCACAGATGGCCCTGGCTCCAGGACTCCCCTTCTGGCCCGTCATCCCTGGCCACCTACTGTCCTAGCTCTTAGAGGCAGGCAGCTGAGCTGGTTTGCAGCGAGGGGCCCCAGGCTGCGCCCTGCAGGAGCTCCGGCTCCAGGGACCTCCCAGACTCCCACAGCCTGGGCTCTCGCACACTGGGGTGGGGGTTTTTGTGGGTTCCATGCAGAATGGGCTCTGGGGTTTCTAGAGAATCCCAGGGTGCTAGGACACCCGCTGATGCCTAGGAGAGCCTTACAAGTTGACTAGCTCAACTCTCTCAGTTTACAGATGACGAAACTGAGGCCCAGAGAGGCAGAGACTTCCCAAAGCCACATACGTGTAAGTCTGTGGCAGAGCACGGTGAGCCCCCAGGGTTCTGGTTCCTTCCAATTCCAAGGTTCTGCGCTCAGGGGACAATGCCTCCCTCACCTCTGGGGTTACACCGCCTAAACTCAAATCTTGCTGTCACTTCTCAATAGCTGTGCAACTCTGGGCAAGTTCCCTCCCTTGTAAAATAAGCACGAGAGTGTTACTATGAGAGTTGGAAGATACTACTCCATGTGACAGTTTAGCACAGCCTCTGCCGCACATGCTAAGAGTCACCACCACTGTCCCTGCCACCATCCTCACCACTGTGATGGGCCGCTTGTCAGCACACACAGCGGAGATAATCAGCATAAAGTCACTCTGTAAACTATCAAGTGCTGTGCACCTCCCAGAGGTTGTTTTACCGTGAAGGTGATTCAACAAACCCCACGGAGAAAACAGGTTCTCTCCTGGGAGTCTCATGAGGACCAGGGAAGACACCGCACGTCTGCATGACTCCTCTGGCCCAGGGGCTGGGGGAGAACTGGCTTTGGGGGGAGGGGACAGAGGAAGCAGCCAGGGACGAGGGGCTGCGACCGGTGAGGGGGAAAGACCACGAGAGGCACCAGGCCTGAAGACCCCTCCCATCCCACCACAGCCAGGATTCTAAGGAGAAGCAGGCGGCTGCCCAGAAGGGGGGCAGGCCTCAGCCTCGTGCCTGTTTTCTCATCTGCCGAGTGGGCATTGTCGTGTATGCAGCTCACAGGGTGGCTGGGAGGATTAAATGTGTTAATTCATGTAAAGCTCTTAAGGCAGGTGATGCAAACCCACAGTGAGTACACGGAGCATCTTAGCCACAGTGTTCTTCAACATCGCCAAACAGTGAGCAGGCACTTGGGAAAGGGTGTGTGTGTGGGGGGGGGGTGTTGGCGGGGAAGGGATGTGGGAATGCCCTGGTTACACCCTAGGATGCAGCAGGGTGCAGAGGGAGAGAGGCAGGCAGGGGGCGCTCTTGCTCCTGCAGGAAAAATGTAGGGCAGATGGGAGCCAGCCAGGGGCTGTCACGGAGGTTTCTGGGAAGAAGGGGAAGCCCAGACCCCGAGCAACAGAGGGGATAGGGCAGTGGGGGTGGGGGTCCAGGGATGGGGGGGATTGAGGCCCAGAGAAGAGGGGTGCTTATCTGAGGTCACATGGAGAGTAAATGGATGACACAGGGAATCCTGGGACATGGCACTTGGGACCCTGGGCTGGGGAGCTGGCTCACACAGTGTTACAGGTCAGCTCTGGGGAAAGCCACACTGGGCCAGAGACGGAGGCCAGCGCCAGGCCCAAGCTGGAGGTAGGGCTGCCAGCATCAGAGAGCAATGCTCGCCTGCCCAGGGTTCAGGGGAGCTCCAGCACCACCTTAAGGTTCTAGCATCTGTGGCTGATGGATGGATCTCTGGGAGGCGGCAAGTCTGCGTTCAGCCCATGGGCTTCGATGCCCGTGAGCCCCGGCTTTGGATTTTGGATCCAACAGACACTGAATGAGTACACCTCTACCTCCCTCTGAGCCTCTTCACCTTTAGGGTGGGAACGTGGTACACAGGGCAAGCCAAGGCTTGGGTTTTGGCTGTGCTAATTATTAGCTGTGCGTCCTTGGGCAAGTTGCTTAACTGAGTCTCAGTTTACCTACAGACAGAACTTACCCCTGCAGTCGGTATTGATCAAGATGCTCCATTTCAATGACTTAGTGTAGTACTTTGTGCTTGTGTGACCTGTCCTCTATAAGTAGTGGGTTACAGTCATGGGTGGTAACGACTATTATTGCCCTGATCATTTAGGATGTTCGGAAGATAACCAATATCAGAGCTGCTGGCTCTGGGCCTGGCATAGGGCGGGCATTCGGGTACCAGCCTTAGCCAAGAGAAGCTGCAGGTTTGAGGAGAAGGGGAGTGAGGAGGAGTGGAAAGTGGGCTGGGGATGGTCCTCAAAACTGCCAGTAGGCAGGGTGGGGGCAGGTGTTGGGGGGCTCGCCCCTCACCCACTCTCATTGGGAACCAGCTGGAGTCCTGCTCTCAGAGCTTTATGGGAACCGAATACTTCTGGGAGAAAACTTAGGTATTGCATGGGAGGGCAGTGGGGGGACAGGTAGGGGCAGTTCCAGAACACCCCCTCCGCCCCAGACCCCACACCAGAAGGACACTTACCTTCAGCCCGTCGGGCCCTGCAGGGCCACTGTCACCCTCGAGGCCCGGCTCTCCCTGGAAAGAGAGAAGAAACAAGGAGGCATTACTGGGGAGGGGGCCCCATGTGCTTTTACTTCCTCCCCTCCTTGAGGCAGGACCCCAGTCCCCGACCCCTAGTTAGCAGGCCCGGCACACAGTGGGTGGCTCGACTGAATGAGCAGGAGGAGGCTGAGGCACCCACTCAGCTCCCAGAGAGAAGAGGCAGACCCCCGAGCACAGCCCACTGTCTGCAGGGTAGGCTGGGCCAGGGCTGCCTGAGGACTGCAGTTAGAGATTGCTGGTCACAGAGCCACCCTGGCTGGTGAGTTAGCCTGGGAAGCAGCGCAGCCTAGCTGGGGAGAAGGGCTTTGACGTCAGGGAGACCTCAGTCAGTGCTCTCTCCGGGCTTCCCAATCTCTGGCGGTTTGACCACAAGCAAACCATTCAGCCCCCACAGGCGTCTGTTTTCTCATCTGAAAGTGGGGCTGACCCCACTTCCCTTAAGGGTTCCTCCAGGGCACAGTATAAGTGCCCACAAATGGCAGCCACTGGTGACACTGCTCCTGGAATCAGCGAGCTGTCTGGAACTCCGTGGTGGAATCCCCTTTCTCGGATGAGGAAAGTGAGGCCGGCCCTCTGACCTTCTTGCCAGCAAGTATGGGAACACTACCCAGACCCTGGGTTGATCCAAAAGAAACCAATCTCTTGGGTGCAGGCCTTCTCAGAGCCTTGAAAATGCTCCTGCTCGTGTGCCAGAGGGAGCGCCAAGCAGGCAGCAAGGCCCGAACATTCTGACCGCAGAATGCTTCTCTTTCAAGAGTGCCTCGACACCGTGGGAACACTGACCCGCCCAGGGAGGCTGAGATTCCCAGTCTGTTTCTCCAAGTGAGGAAAAAACAGACTCAGGGCTGTTGAGGAAAAGCCCTCCCCTGCCCAGACACCCCTGGGTGGGGGGGGGGGAGCTTCCCAGGGGAAATACATTTGCTTTCACTTACCCGCTGCCCAATGAGGCCCTGCTCCCCAGGGGTGCCGAGAGGCCCAAGGTCACCCTAGGAGAAACCAAATACAGGTCCATGGGGGTGTGTAGGGCCAGCCCCAGCCCTCCCAAGCTCCGACTGGTGGGGCTGGAGGGCAGCCCTCTCTTCCCAAGAACTGAAGAGAAATTGTAGAACACCAGCCAGAGCCCAGGCTACCACCACTAGCGTCGCACTTGCACAGCGCTGTCCTAAGTGCAGTTGAGCCTTTAGCAGTGCCAGGGTGAGGGGCGCAGTCCAGACCCTGAGCGTAACTAGAGCCACCCCACACCTCGGATTCCCCACCTCGCGCCTGGCCCTTGAACGCCGCAGGTTTGAACTGCACCAGCCAATTGAAAAAATCCTCGTATAAGTGAACACACCATTCCAGCCTGTGCTGCTCAAGGGTGACTGCACGTTTTTATTTCACATATTTAATCCTCCTAATGGCCCCATTTGGAAAGGCATCTTCTTTTTTACAAATGAAGACACGGAAGGGCCAAGGGGTTAAGTAACCAGCGCAAGTTCATGGCTAGTGAGTCACAGGTTCAGGCCCCAAACACAGGTGGGGTGGCTGCAGAGTGTGTCAGACGCAGTGATGGCGGCTCTGGCTGGCCACCTCCTTTCCTCTCCCTGAGCACCTTGAAGACAGACCCGACAAGAAAGAGGCTCCCAATAGGACAGAATCAATGTCACCACCTCCCCAAGAGATTCCAAAAAGGTCTTTCTCCTGCGGTGATTTCCAAGCTGCACTCCCTCCCTGCTGGTGTCCAGGGCACAGGAGGAAGCAGAGCGCTGAGCCCGCAGCCCTGCCCCGGCCCGAATGGTTCCCTTTCTATCGGTTTTATTGAAGGGGCATTTTTGGCATTGCTTGAGCAAACAATTCTGGAAGCCAAGACAGACAGTCCTAGGCTTGGTTCAACTCCCTCTGAATGGCTGGGAGGTCATCTTCCTCCTGTCCCACAGCCCCTCAAGGACCCCTCAGGCCACCAGCATGGCTCTGGGGTCTGCTAAGAGAACAGACAATGGAGAGGGAGGGGGCTCTCTCTGGAGCCCAGGTATTGATGGGTGCCTATTTCCCAGCAGGTAAAGGGGGCATCTGTGCTAAAACGCAGATGGTATCGGGAGGCGAGGCGGTAGGGCTGCCCCAGCATGGGGGCAGGGGCAGGTGCCGAAGAAAACACTGCTGGGTGCTGGGCAGGTGGTGCGGGCACGGGCGCTGGGCCAGCTGGGCCCTTGGCTACGGCCGTAGCCAGGACCCACTCCCCAGCCAGGTGCACAGAGGACCCATTATCCAGGGTACAAGAAAGGCCCGTTTCTATTTTGTGGGGGGCATGTGGCTGCCAGCAGGAGGCTGGTTCCTGCAAGTCATTTCTGCTCTTCCTTCATCCCTCCTCACCTTCATCCCGGCTTCCCCAGGAAGTCCTGGCTCTCCCACTGCACCAGGTGGCCCCTGCAAGAAAACGTCATTGGTCCCTTCCAGAGCAGGGTCTGGCCCTGGGTTGTAAGGGAGGAGATAACTGAGGCAGGCTCAGAGAAGGCAAGGGATGTGTCTGAAGTCACACAGCATGAGAGACACAGAGGGGGCTTGGAGCTTGGAGAAGGGACTAGGGGAAAAGCGGCGATGGGCTCAGGCAGCTGAGCCTTGGGGCTCCCCAGAGGCTGCTGGAGCCCTCTCCCTCCCCAAGAGTGTGGTTTACCACATTAGGAGCCCCTTGGCAAGCACAAGGAGGAAAATTTCATGATTCACAGAAGGCCAGGAGAGGAAGCCAGCAACTGCTGTGTTCAGGGCTGAGGGATTCCAGCCCTTCTCTCTGCAGCCGGGCCAGGGAGACAAGGGCGGGAAGTGGTCCTGAGTTATCACTGTTGGCATGGCTGCCTAAACCCTGGGGCTCGGTTTTCTCCTCTGGACAGGGCAGGGGTGTCTGAGGCTCCTTACTGCATGACCTTAAGAGGGCTGATTCTGCAACCAAACCTCGGCTCGGCTGAAGTCCCAGCAGGGTGGGCGGGGGGGCATTGCTGCTTCCCTGGTGCCATAAAGGAGGCACTGCTAACCCCTGCCCCCACGAGGGTATTGGCACCCTGCATCCCACCCATGGCCCCTGGGACTGGGCATCCATCTCCTCACCCTCTGCCATTGGAGTGCATCTACCCTCTTGGCCAGGGTGCCTACTCTACAGTCTCTGCAGCACACAGGACACAACTTTTGCCCCCGGCCTGGGCAGAGGCCCCCACAGAGGCAGGCTGGGAGGGGCTGCCACCTCCTTAGCAGTATCAAGGGACAAACAAAGGTCCCTCGGCACTCACCTTGGGTCCCATCTCTCCCGGTGGCCCAATTGGTCCCTGGGGTCCCTGAGGGCCCTAGAAGACAGACAGATCCACAGGCAATGGGGAAAATCCAAGCTGGGCCTTCTTGGGGGACTGAGGCTTGATAGTATAGTCTGAGGCGGGGGTGTGGTGAGCACCCACAAAACCTGGCACTCTGCAGCCCACACCCCCAACCCAGGGCCATGCGGAGGATCTTGGTATCTCCAGTATACACTCCAATCCATCTGCACACTCTCCTGTTCATCTACTTAAAATCCAGCGGGGTCCTCCCCTGCTCAGAAGCCTTCCAGCTCAGAAGCTTTGTTTACTCTGTTCCCTCTGCCTTCATGCCCTTCCAGCTCAGATCTACTTCTGGAAACTCCCACCCCAGGCCCTGGTCAAGCCACTGTTCAAAACGACATCTGCTTGGGCCTCAAGATGTGAGAATAGAGTGCGGCCTGGAGGGGCAGGAGCCTCCTATACTCCCCCTGCCCCATTGGGGGCTTTTCCTCCTGTGCCCCTGGAGACCCCGCCCTCTCCTCTCCACCCCCAGCAGCACCACTCCACAGCCCCTTCGCGGGGCTCCCCAGCAGTCGGACTGCGCTCCCTCCCCTCGCCCAGGTCTGGCTCTCGCCCCTCCAGCCGAGCTGGTCCCAGCAGTTCCCAGTCAGCTTGTTAGTTTATTCCCACCCTCCCTCCTTCCCGTCCCTGTTCACGGTGCTGAACACTCTCTACACAGTTGTTCCTTTCATCTCCACGACAGGATGGCAATGTAGGGACCATTATTCCCCTGTTACCAGCGAGAAAACTGAGGCTGGAGGCTTAGACTCAACTCGGAGCCCCTGAACTCCCCAGCCAGCGCTCTTCCCAGATGCGAGGCTGTCCCATCAGCCCCAGCATTGTCCCTCTCCAATTTCTCTCCTTGGGTGACCGCTGGCCCACACCAGCTGCCCGGGCAAAGATGTAAGGAGGGAGGGGAGGGCACTTACCGGTTCTCCTGGGAGGCCCTTGGTGCCTGGCGGGCCTGAGGGGCCCGGGATGCCCTGCAGGGACAAGCACAGGTGACGTTAGTCTTCTCCACCCTGCTTGTCCCCTTGGCCTCAGTCAAGCCATCTCAGCTTATGAGGACCTACCCCCCACTCCCACCCTCTGCTGGGTGACGATGGGGTCTCTGAATCCCAGGGAAAGAGGCGGGCTGGAGGGTCTTCAGTGCAAGGAGTGGCGACTAGAAACCGGAGTTTCCACAGCAGGACGGGAGCTTGGCTAAGGCGCTATTATCTTCCCACACGGCCCACAGAATTTCAGGAACCAGCGGTACTTACGGGAAAGCCTCGGGCGCCCACGTGCCCTCGCTCACCAGGTGCGCCCTGGAAGCACATTTGGGTTCATTAGAGGCACATGCCACAAAGCAGGGAGCGGGGCGGGGGGCTGGCAGCCGTGGCCTGACGTACCTGCTGCCCAGGCTGGCCCGGTCTGCCCTGCGGTCCTGGAGGGCCCTGCGGGAAGCAAAGCACTCGGCGGTGGAGAGGGTACCTGGGAGGCCCCTTGACAGAGGGGGGACCCACACTCCCACAGGAGATATAACGAACCACGGAATCCACCCTTCTCCGCAATGGGCAGGTGGGGAAACTAAGGCCCAACAAGGGGCGTGGCTCGCCTCAGGTGCTCTGGGTTGAGAACCAAGGACCACGTGTGCCTGAAAGGGCTAGAAGCAGCCTCGCTTCTCAGGGGCCCTGGAGGGGTTTGGGGTCCGGGGAACGGGGCCAGAGGCCACGTGTGGTTCTTCCTCACTCTCACGCTTCCCACTCTCTCTCATTCACAGGCTTTTGCTCATTCTCACTCTTGGTCTCAAAGCTCCTTCTCCCTTTCCCTGCCCCCACGCTTGCTGCTTAGTGGTGTGTTTGTGTGTGCCTGTAGTTCGGGGGAGGGCAGGAGTGGCTGGATGAGCTCTCAGGAGCTACCCTACAGCCTCTCCTAGAGGGACTCCTGGCTGCCCCCAAGGGGCCTCGTGCCGAGGAGGGTGTGAGCCCTGCTTCCTGGATTCTTGACTTGGTAAGGGGAGAGGACGGGCAGGACATGGGGGTTCATACCTTCAGACCCCGGGGCCCCTGCTCCCCAGCTGGTCCGTCTGGTCCTCGGGGGCCCTGGAACAGGGAAAAGGGACTAGCACAGTGGACAGCAGGGGTCTCCCTCGGGCTGGGAACCAGGAGGGCGGGGCTGGCCAGAGCCTTGGGCTTTTCCCTACCGAGCCTGAGGCTCCTTCCTCTCCTTGTGTTTCCCGCTCACGCCCACCCTGAGGCAGGCCACCCCTGTGCAGCGTGTCTGCTGGGATGGCTCTGCAGAGGGCTCCCATGGGTGCACTCCACTAGAGGCCTTACCACTCCAGAATGGGGTCAGTGGTGCCTTTAAACACTATTTAAAGAGACCATGGGTGGGTGGCCAGCCAACCCATTTCACAGACATGGGGACTGAGGTCCAGAGCCAAGAGACCAATGGCCAAGTCCTCAGAGTCAGGTCTTTGGACTCTGCTGTCCCATGTTTTCCCCAGACACACTTGGGCATAAGCAGGTATGTGAACCACAGCCCTTGGGGACACTGACAGAGAAGGACCTGGAGAGGGTCTGCCTGTGGCCACAGCTCCCTCTCCAGCCAGCTGCCCCAGCTCATCTGGCCTAGCTCACGTGAGGAGGGGACAGGAGCAGGGCATGGGTCCAACGGCTGTTCCCTGGGGTTCTGGACTCAGGTCTGAGCCTCGAGACAAAATTCTTGGTCTTTTGAGAGCTAGAAGGTCTCCGGGACAGGTGGAACCTCCCTTTGCCCCTGCTGCACAGATGGGAACACGGGGGCCAAGGGAAGTGAATTGTCTGAGGTCTCTTTAGCACATTGGCAGCTGGCATCCCTTCCAGGGCTCCACCGCCGCCCCCGCGTTTCCCCCTCCATGGGATGGGACACAGACGGGAGAGGGCGCCCTGGGAAAGGCCCCCATGTGGAATGCTGCAGTATCTGTTCTGTGTGGGGCAGAGAGGCTGTGCCGGAGAGACAAAGAGAGGCTGCCCACCCCGCCTGGGAGCTTGTGGGCCGGCCACAAAAGGGAGCCAGGGAAGTGCCTGGGTGGCAGGGAGATGAGGGGTGAGAAAACGAAAGGAGAAATTACTTAAAAACTGAACAAGGAAGTTTTCCATTAATAATTGAGTTGGAAAAAGTGACAATTGCTCTTATCTGCTGCTCGGGGCTCTGGCTGCTTCAGCTCCACACCACAGCCCTAAATAGCGTCTCACTGACTACATCGGCTGGGATGGGAGGCCCTGAGGGGGTGGGGGCTGCAGCTGGGTGGTTTGGTGGTTGATCTGAGAGCCTTTGTTCCCACCATCCCCGAGCCTAGAGCCCAGCGGGGGTCCAGTGTTAGGCACTGGAAATGTCATGTCCTAGGGACAAGGGATTGCTCCTTGCTCAGCCTCAGGAATGGGGATGAGAACTCTTTATAATGCCCACGGGCAGCTCAGCACCTGGCCTATATAGTAAGTGCTCATTGAAACCTGCCTCTGCCAGAAGAGGCTGCAGGCTCCCGAGGGTCAGGGACACAGAGGAATGGCTCAGTGAATCTGGATGCAGCCCCTTCCCCAGAACAGGCAGCTTATATCATGATGTGTAGAACCAGCTAAGGGTCTTCACAGGTCCAAGACGAGGTTTGATTACAGGCTATGGGGGTGCAAGTTCTGGTTTTGCTGCCAGCTTGCTGTGTGACCCCAGGAAAGCCCCTCCTCTCTCTGGGCCTCAGTTTCAGGTAGACACTACAGACCGTATGTTAGACTGAACCCTCTGTTCATTGACAGGGGCCCGGTGGAGATGGAGCCAGATGGGGGTGGGACATCCTGGGTCCTGGGAGCCAGAACAGAGGCTAAGCAGAAGGGTGGGCATCTGGGCCTTTCTGAGAGATGTCGCCTGGCCTTCGGGCTGTCTCTCGCTCAGGCATAAACCCCCCCAGAAAGGAACAGCTCTGGGAGTGGAGCAGAGGCCCAGAAGGGTCAAGGGTTTGGCCTGAATCACACAGCACCCTGTTTATCCCAGGAATCAAGGCCTTTCTGGAGAAGTAATAACAGTGACAACAACAGCAGTAGCAGCAATAGTGAAAGCTATTGCCCTCCCTTACACATAAGGAAACAGCCTATGGTCACACAGCCAGTAAGCAGAGGAGCCAGAATTTCAACCAAGTCAGCCAGCCAGATGCGTATGGCTCCCCACCACTGCCTGTCACTGTTCGTCAGTGTGAGAGTGAGCTCCCCGTCACCGCACGTGTTCAGGTCAGGGCCTAGAAGAGCCTGCCAGGAAGGCTCTGTGCTGGGATGAGGTGTTAGAGAAGACAATGTCTAAGATCCCTGTTCCCCAGGGGACTCTGCTCCCTGGGCACACCAGAGAGCTCTGGAAGCTCAGGCAGGCTCAGGAGAAAGAGGACCAACCTTCCTGTCTGGAGGGAGAAGGAGGCCATGGGCCCCAGCCACCCTCACCTCGCTTCCCACTGTGCAGGCAGAGGACAAAGGCAGCCACACCCCTGCGCACCCTCGCTCTGGCCACTCAGCAGCTGACCCGTGTCCTGCAGGTCCTTCTTCCTTCCCCAAACGAACACAGCTGCGCTGCGCTGCCCTGCTGGAGGCGGGCCTGGATTTCTCTCAGAGCCACAAGTCTGCTCTCTTGGAGCCACTGCCCAGGAAGATGTCTGAAGTCACAGCTGGGGCTTGGTGGGAGGAGCCCCTGCCTGGGACAGAAAATCTGGCCAATCGCAGCTTTGTGAAAAAGAGGTGGCTGACAGAGGGAATGAATACACGCCAAGCGCACCCTACGCATGGCTGCCTGTCCGGAGCTGACCTGTGGGAGGTGCTCATGAGGGGGCCTAATCCCCATGGCCATCCCATAAGGTTGGTTCTGCTGCTGACCCATTTCACAGAGGAAAATTGGAGGCTCACAGAGGAGAAGTCAGGATTCAGGGCCAGGTCTGCTGGTCTCTAAGCCCCCCTCACAGGACCAGAATCCAGGGGCAGCACCTGAATCTCAGAGTCCTCCCAGCTCCCTCAAATGGGTAAGTGGAGGGAGAGTGCAGTCTCCCATGGTATTCTCCATCACACGGCCCCACCCTGCACACATGGCCTTCCTGGCAGTCTCTTGTAGGCCTAGACTTGCATATTTCTTGTGATGGGGAGCTCACTTCCACACTGATACACAGTGACTGGTAGTGGTGAATAAAAGTGTGCATCCAGCTGACTGGAGTTCAAATTCTGGCTCCTTACAACCTCTTCCTGACATCAGCTACCAAGCCTTAGAGAGGTTAATGCACTGCATTGAGGTCCTAGAGCTGATAACTAGGAACCCTGAGACTCACCCTTACACCTGTCTGACCTCAGAGCTCCCACTCATTCAGCTGGGGCCCAGGGACCCAGGCTCTGTCTGCGATTCTACCAAGAGCAGAGGGCTCAGGGCCCCATCCTGCCTCTGCCTCCATCCCTTAGTTCCCATGATTCCCAGGGCAGGAGGGTAGGGGACTTGGGGGGTGGGGGACAGCAGGGCCCATCTGCACATGGGCAGAGAAGCAGGCAGGGCCTTGCAGACAGAGCTCCAAGTCCATTGTCCATGGCACATATAGGGAAACTGAGGCCTGGAGAGCAGCAAGGCCTTGCTAAGGTCACACACAGAACAAGCCAGGATCTTCAGGGGCCCAGAGATGGGGGCTGCCCAGAATTGAGATTTTTAGCAGCACAGTGGGAGCCTCTCTAGGTCCCCCACTGTCCTCAGTAGTGACCCCATCTGTGCAATGGCCAACAGTGGCCTCGTAGGCTGGGGACCCAGAGGGCAGATCCCACAGGTTTAAAAAAAAGTGTATTTTTTATAAAATGTTCCTCAGAACAGAGACTTCAAACAACCAATGAAAAGATGAAAAATCAGGCTAGAAATACATACTATGCCAGGATTTACTAGTTCGCTGTTAAAAAGTACCTTATATTTGCTCTTAGGTATTTTGAGCAATGAGTAATTACTATATTTCACACATGGGTTAGGTGGTACTTTACCTACATTAGAATCATATCAACCTTTAGATGGGCATTTAAATTGTTTTGCTTTTAATCTTGTCAGATCCCACAGGTTTTGCATTCCTGCTGAACCCAGCAGGGGGGAGGGGCACGTGGTCCTGAAGCTCCCCTCCAGGCCTTACTTTGATGTGGTTGGGAGCCTGGGTTTCCTCAAGCAGGAGATACATTCCTCCCCCCACTGGGGAAGGTGGCCGGAGGGGGGCCTGCGCCTTCCATCTGCAGGGAGGGGGCAGGGCCTGGGCCAGGGGAGCTCACCCTCCAGCTAGTGTGGCTTCCAGAAGGAAATGTGCACAAGTTCAAGGTTTGGACCTGGCTATCAGTGGGCCGTGGGCCACTTTCATAGACCCAGGACATGCTGGGAGGGGCCCTGCCGGGCCAGAGGAATGCCTCTTAATCCCTGCTTTCCCAGGCCGACTGCTCAGGCCATCTGGTTCAGAGGAAAATTTAAAACCACTTGAAATTCAGCCAAGAGGAGCATAACTATCACAGAAGCCCTGTGTGGCGCTCGGCTAGCAGGCCTGGGCTGCCTACACTACCTGGGCCGTCTCGTTTCTTTCTTATAGGGCTACAGGGCTACACGGCCCGGCACCTGTGCACCAGTTGTCCTCCCTGTGACTGAAAGTAAGGCTGCATGCAGTATGCAAAACATCCAGAGTCACTGGGTTCGAATCCCAGCTCTTCACTTTCTAGCTCTGCAACTCAAGGCAAGCGGCTTAACCTCTCTCTCTGTGCTTTAGTTTCCTTGTCTGTAAAATAGAAATAAGAATAGCACCTACTTTACAGGGTAGCATTGAAGATTAAATGAGTTAATATATGTGATAAGATGGTGCCTGGCACATAGTGAGTACTAGCAATTACCTTTTGCTATCATGCTAAGGCCAGTCCTTGCTTAAAACTCTCTATGGCTCCCCACTACCCTTGGAGCATAGCCCATAAGCCTAACTCTGGTGTTTGAGGTCCTGCTTTGCTTAGTACCTGCTAATTCTTGGTCTCATCCTTCTCCCTTGAACCCATGAGGATCCCTGAACATGCCACACCTTCTCTTGCCTTAGAGCTTTCCCTCTGCCTGGAGTCCGGCATCACTCAAGCACTGCCCCCTCCCTGAAGCCTTCCCTGGTACCTTGTCCAGGTGAGGTGCCTCCGCCAGGCTCCCAAGCTGCCCTATGCTTCCACCGACAACATGCTCATGACCCGAAACTGTCTGTTCGGCCAACTTGGTTGAGTCATGAGGGCAGACAGGCATCACACTGGTCCTAGTCTCTGTGGCACCGACAGAGCCTCCACCAGCGGCCCGCACAGAGCAGGTGTGAGTAAAAGGTGGTTGAGTGAATGAAGGGACAAGAGCCTGTCTGCGCCCACTAGTTGGCAAGGCCTGGTGCTCAGAAATGGGCTGGGAAAGGTGCCTGGGGTGGGGTGCTACAGTGAGCCTGGAACCCTGCCTGGTGCGGTGAAGGTCAAAGATCTCAGGACTGGGCAGGGGGCAAGGTATAGGAGGTGGTCTCTCTGGCAGGTGACCAGTATCAGTCCCTGGGGGACTGGGCCCCACTTACCTGGCGTCCCTTTGTTCCCCTCATGCCAGGCGGGCCTCGAGATCCCGGAGGACCCTGTGGGAGGAGAGTGTTTGGAGGAGCCCTTTTTAAGGGACCGAGTGCAACACCAAGGGCTAGTAGTGAGGGGCGAGGCTTGGCCTCAGGGGCAGCAGCCCCCTGCTCAGGCTCCACATCCCTCCTATTAAAGGGTTTGGCCCAGTGGGGCAATCTGTCCCACTAGGAGAGGCAGGGGATAGGCTGCAACCTTGAGCAGGAGTCTGCCCTGGGTTCCACAGGGGCCTCAGCCCTTCCTAGGAATCCTTAGTCGGGACGGACCTCCCTGTGGGACCCATTTCCTTCTTTTTCTCAAAATCCACAATCAGAAGCTACACGGTAGTTCTGAAAAAAAGGTCTCCTTAAATTCCCATTTCCTCTTTCCTCCCCCCATCAGCAAAGATAATGTGGCATCCCAAGTTCTGTCCCTGACCCTGTCCCCAAGTATCACCTGAGAGCTACCTGAGAGCCTAGACAGAGCCCTGGGGTTGCAGGGGGGAGAACCAGGCCACAGCCCAGAAGGGGGGGGGGCGGAGCTTATGTGGGAAGGGAGGGTCAAGAGTGGGCTGGAGACACTGGGTGGAGAAATGGAGGTGGGGAGAGGCAAAGAGGAGGGAACTGGCCTGGCCCTAGGAGGATTCCCAGTTCTCTCGGTTTGATGCTGGAAGGAGAAGAGGCACCAGGGAGTCAGGGAGGGAGGGATAGAAGACATCGGACGGACTGGCTTTGTTCCTGGAATTCTGAGCACCTGGGCCAGCACAGGCCCATGACATAGATTTAGAAATCTGTAGAAGGAATGATGAATATGCAAACAACTCGAGAGGGCAGAAGAAGGTGGGGAGGGAGAGAAAGAAGGCAGAGAGAGGAAGCAGGCGGGCTCACTGCCCAATTCTCCTCCCCGGGTCCCAGCCCCAGCTGTACTCATCAAGCAGCAACTGCACCCTATGGCCGGCCAGGACCCCTTCGACAGCTGCAGGAGACTCCCGGCTCCCCGGCCAGTCCCAGACGAGGCATGCCCCTTTTACAAGGAAGAGTCGGCCTCAGCCCCCTCCGAATACCAGGGAGAGGCCCATCTCTGTTTGTGGCCTCGGAAAAAACTTCCAGCTCCCTCCATCTCTCTCTCCCTATGGCCTTGGCCTCGAGAGGCGCAGACCCTCCAACTGCTGCTGATGTGAGGGGCTAGGTCTCAGCCTGACCCCTTCTCAGCAGAGCAAGCAGGGTGGGAGCCTGGGCTTGGCCCAATAAACAGGCAGATCTGACTCCTGGATGGTGGCGAACACAGGGACTGGGTGAAAATGGATGGATCATTTTACGGAGGGATCTCATGCCTCAGAAGGCATGCAATGTGTTACTGGGAAATTTCAGGAGCCAAGTCTTGATGCAGAGGCAGTAGAGTGGAGCGCTTAAATTAGCCAACTGCTTGCTCCACCAGAGACCTAGGTTCAAGTCCCGGCTCTGCCACTCACTAATTCTGTGACCTTTAGCAAGTGACTTAAACTCTTTGGGCCTCGGTTTCAACAACTAAAAAATGGGGGTAACAAGAGTTCCTGCCTCCGAGAGCTGCTGAGAAGACATAGCGACCTGGAAGGTCCCCAGTAAAGAGTAGCCATGCGCTCTCTTAAAGGAGTGGCCAGAAACTGCAGGGCTCAGGACTCCGCTGCGTCCCCTCCTCCAGTTGTGGAGATAATAATCTTGGCTGACCTCAGGGACTGCAGAAAAACACGGATGTTAAAATGATTGGAAAAGTGGGAAAATGCCAATCTGGTGGGAAGAGCATCATCAGAAATGTATTAGTAATTGTCTTACTAATATCTGTGGCAATTAGTGTAGCTAACAGGTAGAAATTATTATTACTACTACATTCATGAAGCACTCGGCATATGCAGGTAGTTTGCTAAGTGATGACATCATGAACGGTATCATTGGTCTCTCAACAATCTCATAATGAAGGGAGTATCGTGCTGGCTTACGGACGGGGAGACTGAGGCTCAGAGAAGCCATGAGTGCTGCCGAGAAGCACACAGCTGGTGGGTGGGGGAGCCAGCACGTGACTCACACGTGTCTGATTCTGCGCTTGGGTTTCTGGACCTCTGCGCTCTCCTGCTTCCCCAGTGGCATGAGGAGCAGCCAGCTGGCTGGAAGGAGCCCCGGAGGTCAAGCGGACTGGCCCCACACTGCAGCAGTGAAGGGTCAGTGGCCACCTTGGGATCTGTCTGATCTCACTCAGCCTGGGCCAACCCATCAAACACGTGCAAGCACGGAGGAAACAGGGCAGCAGGAGGTCAGGAGGAGGTCAGCGGGGCCTCGGAGGCAGGGGATTCAGAGGCCAGCACCTTCCTTCTGTGTGCTGCTCTGGGTGTCTCCACCATTTGCCCTCCTCCCACTGGCCTTCCATTTTGTCCCAGCAACTCCTTTCCAGGCTTTCTTCTTCCCACTGGACAGATGGGGAGACTAAGGCCCAGGGAGGCCGAAGTCCAAGGGCACAGGAGCTAGAACTTGATAATGGTCCCTAGCATCCTTGTACTTGGGCTTTGACCCTGGGCACCTCCCATGTTGATGGGTTCTAATCACTCTGTTTCTAGGGGAGTCTCCTGGGCCTGATACTCAGGTCCTGTGACCACTGGGGAGGGGGGAGGAAGGGAGGGAGGACAGTAGTCTTTGGGTTGGGTGGCTGGGACCCTTGGATTCCAAGCAGGGTGCCTCGGCCTGCAACCAGCCCCTCTAGCCCCAGGCCAGATGTGGCTTCTCCTCCTCCTCATGGACCAGGAAAAACGCACCCCTGGGGGCCCAGAGTGCTGGCTTCTGGTCCCAACTCTGTACCCCACATGTTTTCCACCTCATCAAAAGGATCATGGGGGCCAGACAGAGCCCCCTAGTGCCAGGCACCTCTGAGTTCAGATGATGGTGACTTGCCTGGCACTGGCACATAGTAGGTGCTCAGTAAAGGACTGTTAATGAGCGAGAAGGTGTTTATACTTGGCATTCCCACTAGACAGTGCGGCTCCTGAGAGCAGATCTGCTTCTCACCATTTTTGTGTCTCCGGAGCCGAGCACAGGCCCCGCATGTAGTAGGTACACGCAGAAGTTTGGGAACTCAGTTGGCTTGCTTCCACAGCTGGCGCACAGACCTGGTGTGTGCCCACTTTCCTGGGGTTCAGACCTTCGAAGGCTTTTGGGCCTTCCTTCATCAGACTCTAGGGAGCCCCTCAGTCTGGGCTTTGAAGGGACCTGGGCATCATCCCCCAGTCCTGCCTGGGGATTCTGATGGGGCTTGGCCTCCTCCCCACACACCCTTTCCACCTGCCCACAGTGCCCCCCACCCCCGCCTCCCAGAGCAGGCTCCCAGCCCTCCTGAGTCCTGGCCTTGGCTCAGGTGCGTGCCCTTGCCCGTCACCACAGCCTCCACCAGTGGAGGCAGAAGGACAGACTCCCGTGCTCTAGAGGAAGCCAGCTCTCCCTACCCCTACATCACCCTCAGAGGAGTGAAGGGCCCCCTGAATTTGGGTGCTCCTACTACACCGCTCCCCCAGCCCTCCTGCCTCCCACCCATCCCTACTTTGGGATCCCCAGGAAGATCCCAGGTTCCTCAGTGATCACAGGAAGCCCAGGACCCCTGCATGCTCGGCTCTGACCCTCAGTTATTTGTCCTCAGCATTTCTAGTTTCTTCCTTCCTCCCCCCATAGCAGGCATTTCTTGTTTATCGGGTCCTCCCCCACCCCCCCAAGCCAGAATATAAGCTCCTAAAGGACAGACAGGGACAACTTTCTGCCTTGTTGATGGCCACACCCCCCACTCCTGGCGAGGCCCCGGGCACATATGACACAGTATTTCCCGAGTAAATGGACAAAGCCATAGTGGTGATGATGACCAAGATGCCCCTGTGGAATGAACGTCACTGTCTAATGAACATCAGCTGCGTGGTTTCGTTTGCCTCGAGCCATCACACTGTCATGACTGTGACTATTTTCTCTGTTTTCCAGCTGAGCGTAATTTACACTCAGAGTTCAGTGGTCTGCTCTGCCAGCGCAGCCAGGGAGGAGTGGAGCTGGGACTTGAAGCCCGGTCTGTCTGACTCTGAGGCCTGGACTCCTCATCCTTACCTGACAGTGGATTTGAGCCCCAGGAACATGAGGGCTTTGCTTACCGGGGGTCCAGGCTCTCCAGGGGTCCCGACTCCACCTGGCATTCCAGGATGACCCTACTCAGAGAGAAGAAAAGGAGGGACTCAGCGGTGGAAGGTGCCTTTCTCCTCCAGTCCCACCTGGGCTGGCTCAGCCCCAGCCCCGGACACGCGGCAGCAGCCGGGCCCCCTGGAGGGAGAAGGAACAAATCACCCTGTGTGCCTGGGGCAGGCAGAGGCAGGCAGAGCACAGCTGTCCCCACGGCTATGGCAGGAGAGGGCAAAAGGGTGCAGACTGGCTCCTTACCATTGACCCCTTGGGTCCAGGCGCTCCTGGGGGTCCCATCGTGCCCCGGTCACCCTGTGATGGAGACAACAATTCAGAAAAGTCATAGCTGTGGGGTGGCTCTGTACCTGTGGGCAGGTACAGAGGACGGTACAGACGGCCTTCCGAAGGCCAAATAGGGGCAGGGACTTGCCCAAGGTCCATAGAGAGTCCCTGTCCGGCTCACGGACACATCACTCCTGGGTGGGATAGGGGACAAGTGGGGGTCTGTAACTTCACTCAGCAGAACCCAAGACCCCCGGCAAGTCCTAGGAGGCCTCAGCTCCACTACAGTGTACCACACCGTGGGCTCCCTCCGGCAAGGACTGTCCTGATTAAGGATACACTAATTACACGTCCCCTTTGAGCTGGGCCCACGTCGCATGGTCCTTGTTAGGCCTGGCACCCCCTGGCTGGGCATGCTGAGGTGCAGCAGGCAAGGGAAGACTTTTCTTTCACTCTCCCCACCCGCTGCCCAAACCTAGAAGAACCAGAGGTGCACCTCCTTCCCTCTCAACCCATCCTGGCAGACCTGCGGATGGTGCGTGCTGCCCACAGCTCTGGCTGGAAGGCAGGGGCTCTGGGTTCAAATCCTGGCTGTTTTTGTGAGGCTCCGTTTCTTGTACTCACCCACCCAGCAGCAAACATTTACTGCGCACCTACTATGTGCCCAGCCTGACATACAGGACCCAGTAGACAAAGTAGAAATAGACAGATCCTGCTGACAGGGAGGAAGACCCCAGTTCCGGGAGGGGAGGGACACAAGTTACCAAAACAGATATAAATGGGGGTACCACAGTGACAGAGTGGCTCTCGGCTACTAAGGCTTTGCAGCACGGGATCTGCCCCATGTGGCTGCGGGGATGTGCTGGGGAAGGAGTCCCTGAGGAAGTATAGCTGGACCTGAGAGGTGAGGGAAAACCATGAGTTCCTTAGGCAAAGAGGGTGGAGAGGGCGGGAGTGGGAAAGGCGTTCCTGGCTGCAGCACCAGCCGGCAGTAGATGAGGAGGGACGTGGAACCTCTGACGACAAGAGAAGGCAGAGTTGGCTTAGACGTCGCACTGTTGTTATGCAAGATGTCACCGCTGAAGGCGGCAGGGGAGAAGGCACACTGGCTCTTTCTGTACTGTTTCTTTTTCTGCACAATTTCTTTTTCTGCAACTTCTTGTGACTCTCTAATTATTTCAAAATAAAAAGTCAAATTTGAAAAAAAAGAAGAGGGAGAGGAGGAAAAGGGGAAGGACAAGGAGGAGAAAAATGCAGCAGCCAGAGGGTATAAGATACAGGGAGTGAGGAGGAGGGAGGCTCATGATAAGCCTGGACAGGCAGGTGGGGTCAGGTGGGGGTAGATGCTGCTCCTCTCCGGACCTCAGTTTCTCCATCCACCCACTAGGAAGGACACTGGCTCCTCCCGAGGCCTGCCTGGAAATGAGAGAAGCCCACACAAGGCAAGCAGGTGCCCTCCAGGGCCCATGGGCGGAAGTGGGAAACCACAGGCTATTGGTGAGCCGGGTGCCAGCACAAGGCAGAATGGCTTAGCAGGCACAGTGTGGCCTTGGGTACCGAACCTGGTTCAAATCCCAGCTCTGCCACTTCCTGCCTGGGTGATCTTGAGCAAGTTGCCTCCTCTCTTTGAGCCTCGGTTACAAGAGGGACAAGGGTTCTTTGAGGGTCCAGATGCCAAGGCAACGAGGAGAGAACAGGAGAAAGAAGTCCGAAACCCCCAGGTCAACTGGCCCCTTCGTCTTTTTGAAATTGCAAAACACGACCTCTGTTTGTCTGTATGTTCCCCTCAACACCACTTACCTTTTCTCCCACGATTCCTGGCTCCCCGACCAGACCAATGAATCCCAGAAGTCCCTGGAAGAAACATTTGTGAAAGCAACAGAAAGGAGGAAGCAACGTGAATCCAGGGGCGTGCTGAGTTTCAAAGGCAACTTCGCTGCGGCTTCCTTCCTCTGGGGCTCCTCTCCCCTGTGTCCCCTGCCCCGTGCCTGGTAATCCTGCCGGCCTGGAGCTGCCACCGAGAGAGCCGCCTCTCTCCCGGCACTGTCCTGACTTCCCTCACTCCACCAGATGGTTCTCATTTTGGAGCCAAGCGGTGGGGCCGCTGCCAGCGTCCCCGGGAGCGCCGCACAGTCTTCCCGCGCCAGAATCCGGCTGGGAGACAGCCACGTTGGGAGGGCGGTGGGGTGGGGGGAGGCCCGCGCGCTGTGCTGGGCAGAGAGGCCCGTCTGTGAGAAATCTGTCCCCATCTTTCGGGGCTCTGGTGCTGTTGCAACGAGAGAAACAAACGCGCTGGCCAGGATAGAAATACACTACCAGCCTCTGCCAAAAGACCTGATTGAAATCTGGGAAGTGGAGGCCTTTTTACTGTCTTGTGAAAGGCTTCCTCTCCTTTGTAAAAGGGCGCACGCGCGCACGCACTGTGGTTCCGGCTGCCCTTTTTAACTCCCCTGGGTGATAACTTGCCTCTGTGTTCCAGGGGCTCTCCGAGGCGGCTGCGAGCCTCGCTGCTGCCCTGAGCAGGCAGACGCGGGCACGGCCAGGCCGAGGAGCCCAGCGGAGCCACCCAGGGAGGTGGACGACTCCCTGTCCAGACCCCACACCCTTCTCTGCGGCGGAAAATTCAAGCTGGGGAGGGTCTCGCGTGGTTCAGGGGGAACAAACAGCCTTTGGGAGAACCCAGGTCTGCAGCCAAGACTTTCTGGGAGAATGAGGAAAGACTGAGGGGTCAGTGGGTTTGTCCCATACTGTCTGCTCCCTGTCCCCTAACTGTATTCAGAAAGGAGACCTTGAACCTGATCCAAAATAGATCAGAAGCTGGGCCCTTGGCCAGTGAAGCTCCAACGTGTCAGCCAACTAAAGTGACAGAGTGACACCCACTTCCAAAGGCTTAGCTCCGTGGGTCTCAGGGGTGGTTTTAAAGTGGCACCTTGGGCCAGGGCCCTGTGTGCGGCAGCCCGGGGCTGCGAGTTTCCAAAGGCACCCGTCCTCCCACCGCGGCCTCCAACGCACGCGGCTGTGAGCGGGCACAGATCTCCCTGGTCCCTCGGCACCGTCACTGCCGTGGAGGGTCCTGGCTCTCCGGGCTCAGAGACCCTTCGGGGTTGAGGTATGAGGGAAGAGAGTGACACACGAGGTATGAGGTCATGGCTAAGAAGCCACAGAAAATAACTGAGTGTTTGACTTTTGCAACAACTTACTTTAAGAAAAATAAGTTAGAGCATTTTCAGGAGACAACAATGTGAATAACAACGGCTGGGCCCTGGCACCTTATCTATGCCATTGTCGTTGACTCTTCAGGTGCGTGCACAAATCACAGAGGCTCTCTGAGTCTCATCCACAGAATGCAGGGCTCTCGGTAAAGGTCCCTGCCTACACCCCGGGGTTGCTCTGAGTCCTACAGATAATGGGTGGCGCATGCAGGCACTCAGTAAATGTCTGTCCCCTCCCATCCCATTCTAATTTAGTTTAAAAGGGCATGGGGTTAAGACAGAGGCCTGAGCTCCCCACAAGGGAGCAGTCAGACGTTTAGAGGAGGCTGATGGAGGGAAGAAAAGCTGCTCTGTTAGAAGGCTGCTGCCCGACCGGCCCAGGGAAACAAGTTTCATAGTTATTTTAAATTTATGGGTTGCTGGGTCCTGGAAGGCAGGCGGGTCATAAACCTCAAACAAGAAGCCAAACAGGATCCTAATGAATAAGGGCCATACAGCGAGTGCCCCATTCCCCTGCCCCCCACCCCTGGGACCCCCCTGGGGCACCACCCCGGAACATCCCGGCAGGCCTGTCCTGCAGGTGGAGCTGAGGCCAGCCCGGGAGGCCAGCGGCAGAGGCCCAGGGCTTCCACCTGGTGGGCCGGGTGGAGCAGCAGTTCTGACAGCTGCAGGCACACTGGCTCCTCTCCGGCTGGCAAAAGAGCACGGGGAGGGGGCAGTACGGTCACCACCTGACAGTGGCCGCTGCATGGGCAGGATCTGAGTCCCTGATGTGGGGCGGGGGAAGCTGGCCTGGTTCTCTGTGTCTACAGATAAAGGGTCACTGTCTGCTGTGGGAGTTTCTCTCCCTCCCTTCTGTCACGTGACATTCGGCCAGGTGCTGGGGAAGCAACTAGGAACAAGGCAGCTGTGGGTCAGACAACGCAGGGCTAGGTGCTCACATGCCTGGCCTCCCCTGGCAAAGAGCTTCTTAAAGGCAAGGCCCACACCTCGTAACCATCTGTGTCCCTAGCACCAGGGACAGGGCCTGGCAAGCTAGCAGCACTGTAAGGAGCTATTAGAAAGCAAGAGGTCAGAGGGTTTTCCAGTCCCTCTTGGCAGGTCTGGGGAACCCAGCAGACCTGCGTGTCAGCCCTCTTATGTTACTGCCTGGGAGAGCTTGGGCAAGTGACTTCTCAGAGCCTGGTTTCCTCATGTGCCAAACGGGGTAGTAACACCTACCACCACGGGGCTGCTGGGGCAAACTGCAGGTAATGGTGCAGAAAGTGTTTGGCGTAGGGCCTCGTACCTGCCAGGTGCCTGATAAATGCAGCCAGTACTGTGATGACAAGGAGGCTGTACCTGTCACAGATATTGACATGTTGTAGTACTGCAGAGGCTTCAACATGTGTCATTAAGGCTGGTCACCACTGTGAAACTGAGGTTGTCATCAGACCTACTGCTAGGTCTCGTCATCAGCTGCACTAATAAAGAAGCACATCCAAGCCCTGGCTGGTGTAGCTCAGTGGATTGAGCGCAGGCTTCGAACCAAAATGTCGCAGGTTCGATTCCCAGTCAGGGCACATGCCTGGGTTGCAGGCCACGGCCCCCAGCAACCGCACATTGATGTTTCTCTCTCTCTGTCTTTCTCCCTCCCTTTCCTCTCTAAAAATAAATAAATAAAATCTTTTTTTTAAAAAAGAAGAGTATCTAGGAGCAGATCACATCTGCGAGTACTTCTATAACTGTATTTCGATAGAATTGATTTTCCTTGTAGTTCTTTGTTTTGTATTTTCTGCACTTAAGCGCTTTATTCTTAGAAGGGGTCCACGAGTTTCGCTGGCCTGCTTAGGGGATCCAAGGCCCAAAAAACATCAGGACCCTGGAACACAGCGATTTCTAAGGACCTTCTGTTCCCTGACATTCTAGGATTCCGTGTCTCTGTTTCCCGAGGGCCGACCATCAGCATAACTATGAAATTAAATTCACTGATCATATTGCCTTTTTTTTTCCAATCAGGAAATACATCCAGGCCGCAGCAGCCCTTCCAAACTCCTGGGCTTCCCACAGAATGCGCTCAAATGACACTGGAAACGTTTCAAAAAAACCCAGTCCTCCCCCCTTCCCTGCTTTAATTCCTTTCTTCCCCCCAACAGATGTTGCAGGCCTGGCAAGGAAGCCCATCGAGTGCGGCTCTCACGCTATTGATGGTTCTCGGTGGAGACACAGCCCTCTGGGTCCCCAGCATCACCCCTCCTCTGGACCGAGGCAGCCCCCGGAGGGTCTTTCTTTAAAGGAGTGGAGGGGACTGCCACCTTCCCACTTGTCCACCCTCCTGGCACTTAGAACTGCTTCTCTCCAGCGCCAAGGCCCCAGCCAGGGGTGTTCAACCTGTCTATATCTGCGGGCCACAGTGGAACAAGAGTTGTCTTGGGCCACACATTAAATCCATTGTGACATGTAGTCACACACAAAAAAATCTCATAACGGTTTAAGTAAATTTACAGTTTTGTGTTGGGCCTCATTCATAGCCATCCTGGACCGTGGTGAGTAGGACACCCCTGCTAAATAATGTTAATGAAAGTTGTGATCGTCAAACCTCCTTTAAATAACTGCTTGCAACCTCTGCTGTCTTTAGACTATGGCCTGGCTTCTTAACTAGCCAGAGCCACTGGTTTGAACTTCTATCTTTGTAATTGAGGGCTGCCTGACCAAGAGCCCTTGGCAAGTGGCTACGCCTCCCTGGCCATCAGCTTCCCATCTGTAAGTTGAGTACAGATGCCGATGGTTAAAGGGCTCTTCCCGTTTCAATGCTCTGGGAGCAAAGTCACGTCACCTCTTTGGGCAAAGGCCCCAGAAACATCTGCAGAAGCAGGCCGTGGGGAGTGACCAGGGTGACTCCAATTGACGGCTCTCTCATTCAGTGACTTCGCCTCCCTGAGATGCAGCATCCGTATCAACGAAAGAGGGAAATGAGTGAACGTACCTCTGGAGCTGGGATGGGAAGGAATGTGGGGTGCGAGTGGACAGCTTACCAAAGGGCTTGGCACATAGTAAGTGCTCAGTAAAGAGAGCCGTTATGCTCTGAGACTAGTGTTGACTTACCTGCTCACCCACAGGTCCCGGCCGTCCAGAGTTGCCTGGCTCCCCCTGTGAAGAAACAGAGGGGGTCACTTGGGGGGAGTCTAGGCCTCCTGGAAAGCACCCCACCTGACTGGCCTTAGTCCCTACTGCTGGGGATGGACAAGGAACCTCATCGCCAGAGTGTGGCCTTAGAGACTCCAAACAAATGGCAGGGACAAAAGGACATAGACCCTCTGGCCCTAGAGATGGCCTGGGTCACCCATGTCCTCTGAGTGGCCCTTGGCAGGTTAATTGGCATCTTGATGTCTGTATCGCACGTGGGCCCTTCCTCAACCCACTGCGTTTTGTGGAGGTGGAAACTGAAGCTCAGGGAAGTGACCTGCTCAAGGCCACACAGCCAGCTAGAGGCCGGGCTAGCACTGGAACTTCAGTCTGACTGACCGACTGAAATCCCCATTCCTGCGGCGACAAGCCACCTCACTGCAGGACGGGTGAGGACTGGGGAGCCTGGGCCCCTGGGTCCGGGACCCCCGCCCCTCTGGAGCTCTGCCACCGGCTCCCAGGCAACCTTAGTGGGCCTTGTCTCTGCTCTGGGCTCAGCCTCCTTGGCTATAAATAAGGGAGACCAGACTCGTTTGTCTCCAAGGCTACTGCTGGCCCTCAAGCTTGGTGGTCTCTCGCGACCTCGTCTGTCAGCTTTTTCCCATGCCTCCTGCTCCTCAGGCAGCCACAGCCGCCAGGGTCACCCCACAGTGTGAGCTGGGCAGAGGCCAGTAGAACCATGGGATGAGTCCACCCGAGCTGTCACCGCTCCCACCGCACAAACCCAATGGGTGTCAGAGGGGGCAAGGCCGCGGCCTCAGAGGGCAGGACAGGGCCTCAGACTGGCCAGGGCTTTGGCTCACAGATGGATGTGGCTCTTTGCAATCCCGGCTCCAGCCTCGCCCTTCCCCAGCTCCTCCCTCAGGCCTCTGCTTGCGAAACCCAGAGGGGCCAGACAGACAACAGGCCATTTCCCCCGAGGGAACGTGGACAACCTGCCCCCACCCCCAGCTCTGCCCTAACCCTCTATAAACTTGCTCAGCTGTAAACTTGGCCCAGTCACCCCTGTCCAGGATGGCTGGAAAAACCCAGCCCCTCAAGTGGTGGTGTACGGGGTCAGGGGAAGTCCCTGGAAAGCTGTGAAGTGAGGCTACCCCTGCGCTGAGGGTCATCACTGTCCTACCCAGGCCAGCCCTTTTTCAAAACTTAAAAAAAAAAACAAACAAACCCTGTTAACAAATATCATACATATTTATTGTGCATAATGGGGAAATATGGAGGCTCAGAGAAGAAAGTGGAGACCTCCCAGAATCCCAGGGCCCGGAGGCGACACCGTTCACGCTGCAGACTCTGCTCTGAGACGCAGCGCGAGCAGCCTGTTGCGGGCGTGGACGGGCTGTAACGCTCCGTTCTTTAACCTGCTTCCTACCGCCGCCACGCCCACTGGCGTAGAACCCACAGCTCGTAAAACCTTCCGCCACACCATCTGCGCTGGCCGCCTCGTATCCCAGTACTTGAGCTCCAGCCCACTGTGGGACATTTAGATTACGTCCGTTTTCCCTTGGGGTACCAATACTTAATAAAAAATGGGGACTATTCTCCCCAACTCTGTGTCAAAGCTGGCCACGGAGTTCAGGGTTCGTCCTGGGTCTGGGTCATTATATGTTGGCTCCTCCTCTCTCCTCCCCTCCCCAGGCGTTTCCCTTCCTCTTCCTCAGCCTAGTCACTTCCAAGCCCCCTCACCTTCAAGCCATCAGGGCCAGGCCTCCCAGGAAACCCTTTCCTGCCAGGTTGACCCTGCAACAGAAAGAGAGGAGTGAAAGGCTGGTGGGGCAGCCCTGCTGGGGTCCCGGGACCTGGCACAGGGGGACGGCCACAGTGCCCAGGATAGGGGCCAGGGATACAGAGCCCGGTGTCAACAGGCTGTTCCGGGGGTGCAGGGAAGGTCTGCAGCTGTGCGACCTCGGGAAAGTCCCCCTTCCCCAGCTGATCTCATTTATAAACAGGGAGATGACACTGGCTTCAAGGACTGGGGGAAGCGACAGAACGGATGACAAAGAGCACGGGGGGTGGGGACAGTTTACGCTGGCCGTCCTGAGAATGTGGGCTGGAGACCCCTACGGGTCCCTGAGACCCTTTCGGCAGATTCACATGGTCAAAACCATTTTCATGGTCACACTAAGATGTCCTTTGCCTGCATCACTCTCACTCCCGTGAGTGTAAGTGAGCTTTCCAGAGACTGTGAGACATGGGCGACGGTCCGCAGATTGAATGGGAAAATAGCAAAACAACGCTACTCTCTTCATTGGAGTATTTTGATTGGGAAAAATAGAGCTATTTTTCATTGACTAGTATTTTTGGTGCCATGAAATGGACTTGTGATTCACTTTCAATGGATTTATAACTACATTTCAAATTTCTCAGTTTTAATGACTAATATGGTTAGATGTAACCCACACAATGAAAAGCATTTTGCATCCTCAATCAGTTTTGGGTACCAAGAGGGCCTAGATCAAAATATTTATGAAGTGCTGATGGATGCAATTGCAGGGGTGAGAGTGGGGGCAGAGGGTGGGCCAAGTACCTCCCAGAAGGCCGCTTGGAGCAGTGGAGAGCTCCCTGGCAGTGAGATGGTAAGCTAAACTTCACTCTTTGAGCCTCACTGGCCCCCAGCAAAACAAAGAAAAGTGGTGCCTCTCTCACGGGTGACTCAAATGAGACCACGGATGCAAAGCAACAGCACACAGTAGGTGGGCAAGGACGAGGCCAGCTTTCTGCCCCTTGTCTCCCTCCTTTAAGATCTGGCCCCCCTCTGGCTGGCTGAGGCTCCCACTGACGACTCCGGTCGGAGCACCAGCCAGCGTTGCCTGCCGGCTCTGCTCAGCTGGCTCAACTGCAGCACATCCCAGACCAGCAACACTCACCTCCAAGCCGGGGGCCCCAGGTGGCCCCATGGGTCCCTCATCGCCCTAGAGTCAGGAGACACGAGAGAGGGAAAAGGGAGAAGATTAATCCAGCGGGACTCTCGGAAAACTTGTCCTGTAAAAGAGAAAGGGGTGTACACCAAAGAGATTTCCTTCTGGACCCAGAGAAATGGCACCTGGGTGCCCTGCCTGGCCACACCCAGGGCACAGGCACCATGCGTCATGGCCTCAAGGGCAGGCCCCACAGGAACTTCCAGGTGAGTGGGGCCCTCAGTGCCATCTGCATGTGACCAGCCCGGGTTCACGACAGTGCTGGGCAGGAAAGTCAAACCCTGTCGTGTGCTGTGGGAACAGAGCCCCAGGCTGCAGCTCAGAGATATGGGTTCTATTCTGAGCTCTGCCATTTACTTGCTGGCAGACCCTAACCTCACTGTGCCTCAGCTTCCCTGCCTGTCTGGAACATGGTGCGGAGTGAAGAGGATCATCCTAAAGTATAAACGACTGGCTTAAGTCGTGTTCCTGGAGGACAGTGATGGACTCTTAAGCTTTTTGGAAGCCACCCCCTAAATACCACTCCAGACGGGTGTGTGCACAGGGTCCAGCAGACGTGAGGAAAGGGAGGGAGGGGCACGAGAGGGAAGACACGGAGACGTGAATGACTGTATGAGGGGATGCATGAATCAATGAAGATGTGAGCAAGTGGCAGGGCCATTGAGGGTTCCCTTGAATGGTAATGAGTATAGATGAAAGCACATGGCCGGCGCCATTTTCCCCTTCTCTTCCCAGCCCCGCTTCCCACTTCTGGCCCATGGAGAATCTCCAGGCCTTACCACAGGCACCAGCAGCCTCCAAACTGGTCCCCCTGGCATGCCAGGTCTGACCAAGGGGCCCTCATCAGAGCTGCCCCCCTGCCCCAGCTTCCAGGAAAGCAGCCTCATGTGGCGGCTCCCAAAGCCAGCGCTGGGACCCCGCCAGACCCAGAACCAGCTGGATGCCTGCCTGCCTGTGGTCATGTTGCATCTGGGCCTCCTGCACTCTCACCCAGGGCTGTATGTCCCGGGGCCCTGAGGCCTGAGCCAAGATGGGTGGTAGAGGGGCTCAGGTGTGTGCAAAATTGGGGGCCTGCCTGTGGAGTGCCCCACAGCCCTCCAGCTGGTGCCCCAGGAGGCCAGCAGGGACCTTGTCAATCCCCTTCATCATGTGTGAGTAAATAAGAGATCCCTCTGCCACTTACTAGCTATGCGAGCCGTGTGCTTCTCCGAGGACGCCCCAGGCAGCTCCCAGGAGCACGTTAAGTCAATAACACAGGGTCTGTGTCGTGCTACTCATGGGATTTGGGCTCAAGCAGACCTGTGTTTGAGTCCTGGCCCTGCCTGCCACTATGGGACCAGGCACAGTCTCTTCACTCCTGCGGGTCCCAGGGCCTCACTTATAAGACAGAGCCAACAGCTTCTCCCCTCCCATACTAATGCCCCAATAACCTGTGCCACCTTGGCCAGGAGCAGTGATACAGGTTCCTAGAAAGAAGCCTCAGGGCAGTGGGGTACAGCGGGGTGCCGGGTGGGGGGTGGGGGAGAAGGAGTGGCCCACCTGCCAGCCCCGGGCAGAGAAGGCCCCTGGAAAGGTCACAGAGCAGGGCTGTCAGGGACAGGCTGGAGGGGGAGCTGAAGGCCTCCCTGGGCTGTGTCCTGACTGAGGCCCCACCCCCAGCCCAGGCCTCGGAGGGGGGGCGGGGGGACGCAGGACAGAGCAGGCGGGGGGCTGGGGGAGCATGGATGGGGCAGAGCCCGGCGGTCTTACCTCGGGCCCCAGCTGCCCAGGGGGTCCCGGCAGGCCTCGAGCTCCGGGCTTACCCTGGTGAGAAGGAAACAAAAAGGGGTCACAGAGGCGGCACCTCCATGTCCATCTCAGGCTGACAAGGCTCCCCTTCCAGGGAGCCAGCCCAGGATGCCTGTGGTTTCCACGAGCCGGGGCCGCTCATGGCAGGACTCACCTTCATGCCTTCTGGGCCATTGTCCCCAGGGGGGCCGATGTCTCCGGGGAATCCCTGGGGGGAGGCAGAGAGCAGGGTCACCCACGGGGTTGGGGACGGGGATAGGGACCCCATCCTGAGGGGGTGTGGCCCTGCATAGGGCAGTGAACTAGAAGAGGGGTTCAGCGGTTCTGAAACAGGGATGGTGGCAGCACCCCTATGCCTGAGACAGATGCTGAGAGAATTCAATGGAACAATGCCAAGTGTATTTAGCACAGAAACGAGCATGTACAAAGTCGTCTAACCCAGAATTTCTCAAGTCCCAGGCCCGCCCAGAGCCAGCCACCTGCTGCTCTAGGAGGTGGGACGGCAGGGATCCTGCAGACAGGAGTGTGTTCTGGGTCTGCCGTGACTTGGAAAGGCTCGAAGAGCACCGATCTAACTGTTCTCGGCTCCTCCCGTTTGGAGCTGAAACCCCCACTATGTCTTGGTCAGGTGTGTTGGATTCTGCCCCACAGGCCCAAGGGGGGCTCGCTGACCCCAGGCCAGTCCTTCCAGAGGGGTGACTGAGCAGTGGACGCTTCTTCCTGATGCATAGCAGAATCCCCTCCCTTCTCCCTCAACAGCTTCCTGCTGTCCCTCACGGCCCCACAAAGCACAGCCAGTCCCTCTTCCCACAATGGCCTTCGAACATTCCGGAGACCAGTTTCTCCATCCCTGGAGGACTGCTCTTCTCTGTCCTTTCGACAGCTGCTAGTCAGGGGCTAGGGCTCCTTGGCCTGGCTGCCCCCAGCCGGTCATCACCAGGACGCTTGTGCTTCTGTGGGTGTGAACTGACCAGCACAGGCAAGTATGGGAACATCCCCTCCCTTGAGTTAGGTGTAATACCTCTGTTAACTTGGCTTAGAACCCCATTCACTTTCAGGACAGCTTCGCTACTCCCTCACTTTTCTGCCAGCTAAAAACCAAAGCTTTTTTGGTATGAATCCCCAAAACCAAAATGCCCCCTCCTATCTTCCTTCAGAAGGTGGCTTTTCTTTTCTTCTGTCTTTTGACCTTTTGGTAATTCCTGTAAAACTGCAGCTCGAACATCCTATCCACCCATGTCACCGGCAAAGGTGAGAATGGTCCCAAATTTGAAGCTAACACGGGCAGCCAAAGCCCAGGTCTTCTTCTTCAAAATGAGGGGCTCAAAATCCTCTTTGCCACCAACTCACTGTGTGACTGCAGGCAAGTTCCTGAGCCTCTCTGGGCCTCAGCATCCTCATCGGTGAAATGGTGACCACTACCACCCACCTTACAGGGCTCTCCTAAGGCTCAAAGGGAATAAGGTGAGCAAGGCCTCCCCTAGCTCAGTGCCTGGTGCCCAGTAAGCACTCAATGAAAGTCTGCACCCAAAAGTACATTGGGCCCTCGCTGGATGGCTCAGTTGATTGGAGCACTGTCCGTGAACAAAAGGGTTGCGGGTTGGATTCCCAGTTGGGGAGAAAACCAATTGATGTTTCTCTCTCACATCAGTGTCCTCTCTTTCTCTCTCCCTCTCTCTCTGCCACTTCCTCTCTCTCTAAAAATCAATAAATGAATCCTTGGGTGAGGACTGAAAGAAAGAAAAAAAAAAGACCCCAAAGGATTTTGGGTCTGGCGTCCTAGGAAAACAAGCCTGCCAGGGGTGGCTCCCTCTCCAGGGAGAACTTGGTGATCGGGACACTGATCAGATTCTGGCGCTCACATGGATGGGGCCCACTAATGAGGAAAAGAGATCACAGGGGCTGGAGAGCCGAAGCTCCCACCCATGGTCTTTGGGAAAGGAGGCAAAGACCCAGGGAGGTGCTGACAAGCTCATCAGCTTCTGTCTTCAGCTGAGCAGAGCCATCTTCCGTGTCAGCCAATCCAAACAGATCACAGAGCCGGGACAGGCAGACCCCAGATGCTTCCAGGGACCCACGAGAGAGCCAAAGTCGACCGTACTTGCTGCAAGTGGCAGGGACACTGAGGAAGTCGCTTCCCTGCGCTGTGACTCCCTTTCCTCACGTGTCCTTGGTGGTAGCAACACCTCCCGCAGGCTGTGGTGGGGACTTAACAAGTTCTCACCCTAAAGATGCTACACAGCCTCCTGGCACGAGGTGGAGCCTAGTAACTGCGAGGGAGCTTGCTTTCCAGCCTCACTGGCCAGGCTGCTGGGAAAACCCGGACTCGCAGAGAAGTCTTTTTCCACAGTGACCAGGGGAAGGAGTCAGGGCCATGGAAGAGGGGCCAAGTCCATTTGTCTAAAGATAGGATTGTGTCACACGGCCAAAGTCAAGACAGTGGAAAGTCAGAACTTGTAGCTTTCAGGAAACACTCCCTCATCCATCCGGGCGTTACCAGGAGTGATCTTTGGAAGGGTCTGGAGAACCCGGCAGAGCCAGACTTTTGTCTCTGAGGCCTCGCAAGCCCCAGGCCAGGGAGCAGAGGGTGGGCGGGACTCTGGCTGGGCTTGGTGGAGACCCCCAGAGGACCTGGGTGCTGAAGATCCTGGACAGACACGGCCCCGGCACTGCTCAGCCTGTTCTCCAGAGAAAGTCCCCACATTAGAGAGAAGGCGGGGGTGGGGGGCAAAGAGCGCCCACCCAGCTGCCTTTCATTTCACGAGGAATGTCTAGCATGCCTGCGCTAATTCTCACACGGAGCTGCTCCCAGGGCTCTGCTTATACCATCGGAATCGGGCAGAGGCAGGCAAGATGGCCGGTGTCGGAATTTCCATTCCCAGCCCCATCTCTCATTTGCTGTGCGATCTTGGGCAAATATTTCCCTGTCCCAGGGTCTTGATTTCCCCAGGACAACACCCAGTCCCAATGGCAGCCAGACATGGAGAAATAGGGCATCACATACCTCGGGCCCAGGGGGCCCAGGAAACCCAAGGGACCCTTTGTCTCCAACTTTGCCCTGTGGAAGAGAAGAGATTATGGGCGAGGCGGGGGTAACGAGGGCTCAGCTTCTGCTGACCCCTTGCGTTATCCCCCTGCCTGCGGGTGGCTGGAAATGCTCAGGGGTATGCGAATGAAACCTGCCTATACAACTAGAAGAGCCACAAGTGTTCAAATCCTGCCTCCTACACTTACTAGCCATGGGAATCTGGGCAAGTCACTTCACCTTGTGCAACCTCAGTTTACCAACCTGTAAAATGGGAAGAAGAATAATTCTCTAACCCCAGGGGGTTATGGGAAAGATGGGATACACAGTAATATTCAATAAATAAATGACACCCACTGCTATTACTAATTACTTTGCTATTGTTTACAAGGTATGGGGAGCCCAAGACTCTTGCCAGTGACCGAGGCCTATCTATGATGCTGAGTAAGTTCCTAGCCTCCCGAGCCTCAGGGTCCTCATCTGTGAAGTGGGTGAACCTCCATTCCCACCTTGCCCTGCTCACCACCCAGGCCTGCCGCAGGAGGAAGTGAGGTCCTGGATGAGCTTTTGGAGGGTGTGAGGTTTGGGGGCCTCAGAATGGAAGGTACTTACCACAGGCCCTGGCTTCCCCCGTGCACCTGGGGGCCCCGGCAATCCCTGGCTCCCCTGGAAGAGACCCAGAGACTGGGGTTAGTGAGGAACACAAACAGCCACATGCTGGGTCACCCTTGCCGGCCTGAGGCCCAGAGAACACCCACCTTTGGGAAGGATGGGCTCTCCCCTCACTTTCCCAGGTCATCCTGAAACCCGGGGCCCTGGGGCTCCAGCAGGCCCTGAAGCACCCTGCACGACTGGGGAAGTCTGGAGACTGGAGCCCAGCAGGAGAAGCAGCCAGGCCTGCGTGTCTGGCAACCCAGAGGCACCGAGGCTGGGTCAGGACAGGCCAGCCAAGAGAGAGGAAGGGGAAGAGGGAGCGCTGGCCACATCTGGGCCTCATTCCCTGACAGGGTGAGGTCCAGATGTGGCCACATGGTATGGGATGCAGGCCGAGAGGATCCGGCCTCCACAGGCTGCCTCAGCTCATCAGCTGGTAAGGCCGGTTACTCACTCACTCACTCACTCACTCACTCAGACATGCCTTAGATGCTCACTCTTCCATGCAGGACCCTGAGTGCCACCGCACCGGGCAGTCTGGCAAGCATACTATAGGCAGGGGGCTGAGCACAAGGGCCCATCTACCAGGTGAGAAGGGTACCGCCACAGGTCAGCTCAGACAAGCTGCTCAGGCCGCTGAGAAAATGAAACAGCCACGCCCCGAGCAGATGGAGAAAATGGCATCGGAGCAGGTCCTGAAAATTGGGGCAGGGTTGGGCCGAGCAGAGGCCGGGCAGAGGGTGTGCCAGGCAAGGCAGCATCGTGTGCAAAGCCTAGAGGGACAGGGGGCGGGTCAGTGGGGCTGCAAGGATGAGGGGCAAGAGGGCGTCAGAGGGGCCCGCTCACTGGGGTCCTGGGTGCTGACGGTGAGGAGCTGGGCCTTCCTTCTGGGAGCAGTAGGGAGCCATGGAGAGCTTGTGAGCAGAGAGCAAAGCTGTGCCCTCAGGGGAACATGTTGGTGGCAGTGAGGCAGGCGGACTGAGAGGGGAGAGGCCGGGGGCCTGGAAATAACTTGGAGGTCTATAAAGTGCAGGAAGGAGATGCTGAGAGCGTGGACTGAGGACAGAGAAGACAGGATTGTTTGAAAGGAAGTTATCTTTGGGTAGGTCCTGGAGTTCGATGGGCCCTGGGAGAGGAAGCCAGGGCCAGGGAAGAGCAGGAGGGGGGAATTGGCCGAAATTACCTTGTCGCCTTGGAATCCGGGATCTCCTGACACACCTGGAACCCCTTGTTCACCCTAAATACACACCAGCAAAGAAGGTTATGATGGAGAACACAGTGGGTTCTGGAAGCCTCCCCCACCTGCAGACCCACTGGCAAGGTACAGCTTCGCCCAGACTGTTCCCAAAGTCGATCTGACCAGCAGCAGCCTTGTTAGAGAAGAGGACAGCCCCCGGCCTGGGGTGGGGAAGGCAGGCCCCAGGGGGACCCAGCCAGCCTATCTGCAGATCTGCCTGGGGTTGCTCAGATGGCTGAAAACTCCATCAACAGAAGCTAAACCTCCCAGTGCCACCTGGCCTTCCCAGCAGAGCGGACTGGCTGCCACTTGCAGGTGCAAGGAACTGCTCCTTGACCCTTGAACCTCTTCATCATCAGCTGATGTCACACGGGGCCGAGTGCAGCCTGTGCCTGGTCCCACACTTCCGTGCTCTCCCAGTGCTGGCATCTGTTGCTCCACGTTCCTCGCCACCAGGCTGCACGCTGCCACTTCTTCCTTCTGTGGGAGCCTCCACGCCAAGAGTCAGCTTCAGCCCACTTCTCCGGAGCTGCTTCTAGCCAGCCCATCGCCTGCGGGACCAGAGAGCCTGGCTTGCGAAGATAATATGTAAACAGAGGGTCGGCTGGTCCCGAGCTGGGTCTTTGTGTTTCTTTTCTGAGATAATATGTTGCGTAGGCAGCTGACACGGACTCTGGCTGTGGGAGGCCTCTTCCGTTCCCTCCGAGTTCAGCCTCGTCCTGGTGAACGAGCTGTCGCAGAACCAGACCAGGTCTCTCCTTAGAGCTGGGGCCACCTCGCACGGCCCTCCTCCTCTCTGGCTTCCCGTGGTGGTCATTACCAACGGCTCTTTGGCCCCAGGACTCAGAACGAAATTCTCAGGCCCAGGAGCCGCTGGAAGAACACTCTTAGAGGACCCGTGTCATGCAGACCCAGTGGAAGAACTTCCTTGGTAGAACGACAGCCAGAATTTAAAAAAAAAAAAAAAAACACCTTTTTTTTTTAAAAAAAAAACTTAACTTTGGTTTTTCCGACTTGGAAAAATCCTGTGCAACATCCCAGAGTTTTAGCGACCAAGGAACATTTTTTTAAATGTCCAAAGGAGGAGTGAGGGGATTTAAAAAAAAAGTGTTTTAAAAGGCACCTAAGAAATCAGGACAATGGATTCGGAGAAAGCTGACCCTGGAGCAGGAGGCTTGGTCCCAGAAATTGCCTCCACGCAGGGAGAGGGAGCCAAGGGGTTGTAAGTGGGACGGAGGCCAGGCTGGGTCATGGAAAATCTAATATTCCAGGCAGGACGGCCACGGAACATGAGGCAATGGCTCCTCCATCCCCAGGAAGAGCCAGGGTGGCGGACGGGGACAGGAGGTTGGGGAAGAGGCGCTGTTTTCACAATCCCGCTTCCAACATTAAGGCCCCTCCCCAGCCAAAGGGGTGGAAAAGAGACTTCTTTCTCTTTTCTTCTTCTTTTCAGCCCTAAAGGCTTATTCAGTGAGCAGAAACACAATTTCTTCCTCCTCTTCCCGCCCCCCCCCCTCAGAGGTTTCACATCTCTGAGTGTCCCGGGCGCCACGTGCCAGCAGGCCAGCCGAGTTCTAGGGAACACATTTATTTCCATGTTCCCGAAGAAACAGGGAGCTGGAGGCCAGCTCTGCATAGGAGCCTATAAAAAGCTCACTGCCTACATTCCCATTTCCCCCACTTCCTTTCTCCCTCGTCCACGCCTCCAGCGTTTCCAGAGTGCCGATGCTTCCAACCTCAGGGGAAACGGGTAGCTGTGGGAAGCCCCCGCTTCCAACAGAAAGCCCTCCAGTGTGAGTGGGGGGGGGGGCGGTGAAGGGGAGCTCAGCAGCCAGCAGAGCAGCACCAGAGGGCAGACATGGGGGGGGCAGTGAGGGCAGCAGGGGCTGCAGCTAGAGGCTTGGGCATGACAGTGGGGGACAGAAGAGGTGGAAACAGATGGAGAAAGGACTGGGGTTAGCGTCACACCCCTGGTGACCTACAGGTGGGGGGGCTGGTAAGACAATCTGAATGCGCCCACCACAGCCAAGCAGTTCCCGTTTTCTGAGAGCCCAGGGGCCCAGCAGATCACTGAGCATCCTTTGACAAGTCCCTTCTCTTTGTGCCACGCCCCCAGCTGCGAGAAGCAGGCCCTGGAGGAGGTGGCCTCCGAGGGCCACATCAGCTGAGCCCTTCTGACCTCGGTCCCGTTCCCGGTTGAGGTGTCTGGGGGCAGGTGGCTGGGTTTGAATCCCAACACTCATTACCAGCTATATGGCCTCAAGCAAGACTCCTACCTCACAGGGGATGGAGGATGGTGGGGTTAATCCCCACAGAGTGCCCAGCTGGTACCCAGCACTGGAACCTGTTCCTATTTCTCAGGTTGAGGAGGAGAGTCATCTGAAGACAGGTAGAATAGGAGCCTGGCCTCTCTCCCCCACTCAGGCTTGTAGGAACTTGTTCGCCGGCCAAACGTCCTCCTGCACTCCCTTCTGAGTGCCCCGTTTGTCAAGGGACTGAGGGGGGAGGGCAGGAAGACAGCTGCAGGGCAGAGCACAAAAGGCCCCGTGTCCCTATCACTCAGGTGCTGCATGACCCAGGCTGGGTTCTGCCCATTTGGGCCCTGGGGACCCACCTACCCACTTCCAGCTCTGCTGTGGCACAGGGCGAGACAAGGAGAGTTCAGCTGCGAGGCTGTGCAGAGGACACTCAGCCAGGGTGGCCTCCCCATGGCAACTGGGAGGAAAGCGGGGCAGCGGCTCAGGGGCCCATCCAGGCTTTTCTGTTGCATTTTCCCATCTGTCTGGGATGGATTCCCAGTTCCAGTCGGACAGTTGATGTGAATTTGTTTCCTCCTGTGTCTGGAGAGTTCTCAGAGGCCTCAACGTTGTCATCTCAACGACACCCCCACTTTCGCCCCCCACCCCCACCCTCTTCATTCCGTGGCTTTGGCCTCTCAAAGCTGGACACTGGCCCCCACTGTACTCTCTAAATCCAGACACCTGCCTTGCTTTACTCCCAGCCATGCCTCCGCAGCCCCCCGTGCTCTATCTGCCAAGGCTGCCTGCCCCCAGAACCACCTGTCTGAGCCCTCCAGCGTCACAAGGGAGAAGCTGGGGAGCAGAGATTTAGGGGGGCCAGAGGGGACACAGGGGAAGTGCAGGGGAGTGGACTGGCAAGAAGTCAGCAGCAGTGGGGAGGCGGAGTGGAGGTGGCATGCAGATAAAACACAGTGCAACAAGGGAGTATTCAGATCACCTTATCACCTTTCAGTCCGGGCTCCCCCATGTTTCCCATCAGTCCCTGCAAAATAAAGGCGGGGGTCCAGCTCTGAGGGTGGCTCAAAGCCACCAACATCGGGAGCCCTGGCTTACACCCACTGACTTGCCATGAGCCCCTTGTGCTCTGTGTTCTCGTCTGTAAAGGGCACTAGTCCAGCTCCTAGCTGGGCTGAGAAGGAGCAGGAAAAGGGGCAGAGGACTCATGAGCCACAGCCCTAGAGAAAGCCAAGGGGAAAGGGTGCTGATGGGGACAGATAGGCTTAATGAGCAGTGTCACATGCATGTTGGCCAATGGGGTCGTCCCCGGAACATGGTCCTAGTGGGGCTGGCCCATCTTTCTCCTGGATGCTCATCCCCCTCGGGGATGTATGGAGTTCAGTGGTTTGCCACTGCAGTTTCTATGGTTTGCCACTGCAGGCTCTGGTGATGAGGTCTCAACCACATCAGATTCACGCTCAGCTTGAGGACTGATGCCCAAGAAAGATGTCTGGCCCTAGTAACACACAGATAATTGGCTCTCAGGCCTGGGAAGGGCTGAGCTCTGGACCTGTCCACTTCCACCCCAGCACCCCTCTGAGCATCCTTCCAACCCATGCCCTCCCCTCCCCCAGCATCACGTCTGGGTGCCCTTCCTTCTGGCTGAAATGGGTCAGGGGGTCCCTCTGTGATGAGGCCCGGAATAGGGTGCGGCCCTGTTTACCTTCATGCCCTTAGGTCCTGGGTAGCCAATCGGACCCAGTGCTCCCATGTCGCCCTGGGAACAGAAAGAGAAGAGGACGCTGTGAGAGCTGACCCAAAGGAGGCTGGCCCGGGTTCCCAGGGTCCCTGGGGATGGGTTCCCCAGGATGCAAGCCCGCTGGATTGCTCTGGGAAATAAGAACATTATTTCGTCTGTTAATTCCACTGAAGTGCTGGAATGAATTTTACATAGGTCCTTTCCCAAAGTCATTTTTTTATTGCTGCCCCTCCTCCACCACTTCTTTCCATTTCATATTAGATATCAGATCTTTGTACCCCAAATTAGATCCTTGACATCCCTCACTAGCTAAGGGACTCAGGACATCTCATGTGACTTCTGTGGACCTCAACCTACATAAATATTTATAAAATAGGGACAGCGATCCTTCTCCCTGAGCAAGCGGCTGTAAGGGTCAAGTAAGCAAACAGGGACTTTGATTCCTCTAGCTTAGTGAGAGGGAGGCACTTCCTGTTTCCCAGAATCTCGCTGGGCCCTCTCCTTGCAAGGGCAGCAAGGAAGGGGTAGGCTGTCAATCACAGACACCCCTGAGTTGGAGACAGACCCAGTAGATCCATAAGACCCTGGACCACAGGTTGGAAACGCAGCTTCAGATCAGATGAGACTGTCCCAGGTGGGATCCACCAAGTTCCTAGACCCCGGAGAGCCGGGAGGCAGTGTTCCAGCGTGAGTCAGAGCCAGGCCGCCTGGTTTCATCTCCTCTCTGCTGCTCACTCATTGCTTTGGGTTCACCTTTCTGTGCCTCAGTTTCCTCATCTAACCAATGGGAATATGTACCTCCTGGAGTTGTTTTGAAGAGTGGTGGACTTACACGTCTGGTGGCATTTTTGGTTGTCATGACTGAAGAGGTGCTACTAGCATCTAGTGGCGAGAGGCCAGGGATGCTGCTGAATCTTGAACAATGGACAGGCCAGCCTCCCACGACAGAGCATCCTCTGGCTCTGAGTGCCAGCAGTGCCGAGGTGAGAAACCATGGTTTATGGAGTAAAGTGGCTGTATTTTCTCTAAACAAGCCCACCCTCTTTCTTGCAAATCCCTTCACTTCCCAACCACCCTCACTGCTGCCCCCAGCCACAGCCGTAATATGAAGCCCACGCCAGAGAAAGGGAGTCCCTGAAAATATTCTCTTCTTTCCCTTGCATGTCCTCTGTAGCAGGTCTAAAGGCCCAGCCGCCACGTGAGTCAGTGTGTTTGACCGCTCCAGGCCTCAGTTTCCCACGTGCCTGGGTCAGGCTCCATGGAGGCCCCTGGCCCGTGCTGTGAAACATTGCAGGAACAAAGGCTGCCCCAGGTAGCCGGCTGCATAATAGGTTCGTGTGCCGGAGCTGCCTGGAGACTGCTTGGCGGGAGGCTGCGCAGAGAATGAAAAAGCGCATTCCTGCCTGACTCCTAGAGCAGGGCCCCGGGGCCTGTGCAGTGGAACGCCCCAGGGAGGTGCAGAGCCCCCAGCCCCTGTATGGCCTGGCGGAGGCAATGCTGATTCTCTCCCCTCCCCCTACCCCACCCGAATGACGCTCTCAGCTGAGGCAGGTGCTGAGTCTGGCTGTGGTCCTCCTGTGTGATTTTGGGCAAAGCACCTTCCCTCTCAGGACCTCAGGGTCCTCATCTGATTGGGTCAAACCAAACCTTCTAGTGGAGCCTTTGCTCAGAAAACCTGCTTTCAGTTCCCATCTAGAAATCTCATGGAGAAAGTGTGGTCTCAGTGTTACACGTGCTAATAGTCACACAGACGACGCTGGCTGCCAGGCCCTGTGCGAAGCTCCTTACCTGCCTCAGCTCCACTATTCCTGACACCAGCCTTTAGTACCTGATCGGCTACTGTCCCCATTTTACAGATGAAGAAACTGAGGCCCTGAGTCATTAGGGCTTGAGCAAATCAGAGCACGGCAGAGCTGTGATGTACACCAGGCAGTCCATCTCCAGAGCTTCTAGGCAACTCTTAAGTAACCTTTGGGGAAAAGCATGTGAAGAAGCCGAGCTCACTGGCAGGGAAAGGCTGCAGGCAGAGGGAAAGCCAGCTCCTCGGAGCACTGCACTTCAACAGATCACTCTGGCAACGTCCCCCTCTCTTTCCTGGACGGGGGGAGCCGGGGGGTGGCTTGCCCCAAGCTCCCTGTGGTGCACAAATAAACAAAGCGGGCTCCGCTGGCACACTGGCTCCGACTTGGCCCCGGTGCGGGCACAGGACCAGTAGCAGCTCCAGGAACACAGGCCCCTTCTTCCCCGCTCCAGGCTTGAAGGCGGCTTGTTGTGTGGGGACTGGATTCAACATGGGCCTGAGTGACGCCCGGGTGGGGCCGTGGGGGGCTGCACCATGCAGCATCATCATGCATGCCAGGCCTCTCCAAAGGAATCTGTGTGTGGTGGGGCAGGGCCCAGGGGAGGGGTCCACCCCAACAGACAAGGAACCATGGAAAAGGGGCTCTGGCTGCAGGGGACATGGGGAGAAGGTGGTGCTCGCTTAGAGCAGGTCTGCCTCATGTCAACGGGACCCTCATATTGGGATGTCAGTGCATCTGGGGTAGAAACAGAGAAAACTCCAGCCACTTCCCCTCCAGCACAGCCTGCAGTACACCAGTCTCCTCTGTGTTAGACACCCTCACGGGAAGCTTGGCAGAGTGTTCCCGCAAGAAAGAACAATGAGTAATACCCTTCATTTGGATCCTGTTTCCACTTTTGCCTAAGCTCCCAGACACGGCTCTACACATTTTGCCCTCATCTCTCTGGCTCCCACCAAGAACACAGCCAGCCACATCTGCAACCACTTATAGAGCTCCTACTGTGTGCCAGACACCATGCTCGACACTTCAAGTCTCATCAGATCCTCTTTAGCAAGAGCTCATGCTGCGCCAAGAACCACGGTGTGTGCAGCTCCGACACTCGCCAACTACCCACAGCAACCCCATGAGGTCAGCACTGTTCTCCATTCCATGCTGTGGGACCGAGCCTTTGAGAGAGGTGCAGTGACTTGCCCAAGACTAAGCGAGGAGTGGGGGGCACAGGCAGGACCAGGACCCAGGTCTGTCTGGCTGGCCGGCCTCACGGTCCAAGCTTACGAGCCCTGGATCGACTGTTCACTCTGATAATGGAGCTGGGGATGCCTTTCGTAGTTGCTATCACTCGTCAGACGAGGCCTGAGGACAGACTTCCAATGCAGAAATAGACATGAGTTCTGCCCCTCTGAAGTACGCCATGGGGACCCCCGGAAGAAAACCCAGGGTGCTTCCGGTACCTGCTCTTCCTGGCAGAAGTGCTGACGGGTCTCCCTCCCTCATACGTCTCACCTTCGGGCTCTGCCGTCCCTCTGCAGCTGTGACATCCTTGGCCACTGTTTCCTATACCCGTGCGCTTACACTGTTTACACCCTCTTGTCCTTCTGGGTGCCCAGGCTCCGTAGGCCAGGTCGGGACCCTGCCGTGGGGTCTCAGAACCTGACGTGGCTTTCACTGCCAGCCCATTGCACACTGATGGCCATTTATGTGTGTGCCTGTGTGGCCACCACCTCCCCTGTGCCCCAAAGGAGCCTAATGAACGGGTGAGAAAAGATACCCTGCAAACTCTCATCTACCAGGCCTCTAGGCACAAAATCTTGCCTCAGCGTTCCCTGGAACTGCCTTTGAAGGCAACAAGGCCTCTTTCCAGAAACTCTGATAGAGGGCCTCCAGCTTGGGGACAGGGACCTGGGGGCTGGGGCCAATCCTGGCTCCTGTGTGACCGTAATAAGCACCATCACACAGAACGTCCTCACGCCTCTGCTGTCTCCACTCGGCACAGAAGTCTTGTGGAGCTGGCTGTGGGGCATAATGGCAAACAGCATGAGCGGTACACACAGGCCCAGGTCCAGCTTATTGGCTGTGTGACCTTGGGCAGGCGCTCTAGCCTCTCTGAGCCTCGGTTTCCTTAACCGTGCCATGGTGACCCCATTCCCTACCCTGAGAGACTTGCTGTGATAATTGAGTACTTAGCACAGGGTCTGGCAGCTATCAGTGAGTGGGGCTGAGGACCTCGCTTTACAGACGAGGAAACAAAGCTAGGTGGTCAGTTAGTGGCAGAATGCGGTGGGCTCGTCCACTACATCCCACACACTGGGTTTGGGCCAGATCACATATTCTTTGGGTCTCATTAGATGAAGGAGCCAAAATTCCATCGGTCTCACTCAGAATAAAAAAAGACAGAAATCTTTTTTGTTGAGCAGACTCTGGAATCAGGCACACTTTTCTTGAGGGCTAGCCAAAGGGTTTCAATTACTCAAAGGAGGCTGTTTTGCGGCAGTCTCTCACCTCAGCGGCTGCAGGCAGGGGGTCCCACAGGCCTGGGCTGCAAGCCCCTAGCTGGTGACCTCGGCCGAGCCTCCGCATATGGGTGCCCTGGGTGCCCTGGCTGATGCAGCCCACCTTAAGAATCTCAAGGCTCCCAGAGCCTAATGCATGCCAAGCGCACACAGAGCAGGCAGGCGCTCTGTACAAGTTCGTCTGCTCTCTCCTGCCCTTCCTCCCGGCTGCAAAGACCCGGGTGACAGGGGAAGTTTCAGCTTCGGTCTGCATACAAATTGCTTCAGCTGACTAGACAGAAGGCATTGAATAAATATGAATCTCCATTAAAATGATTACCAATTCATGGAATTCCCATTTGCTCAGCTAAAAACCCACATCCTCTGGGAAACCAAAGGTGACTCAGTCCATCTCCCCCTTTAACTCCTGGTTAGAAATGTCTTTTTTTCCCACACTTTGGGGAGGCAACTTTTCCTCCAGGCACTGAAGCCTTTGTTCCCAAAAATCCAGGGTGGGGGTGGTGGGTGTCTTGGGTTGGAGAGGACTCTGCCTGGTACAGGGTGTGGGGTCGGTGGGCGGAGGCAGCAGAGACTTGGTGGTCTCAAGTCCAGCCCTGTGACCCCCAAGGCACAAGGAGAAAGGGACCATCACCTTGACAGTAAATGGGATTTAAAAGTGCTAAGAGAGGCTGAGAGTAGCAGAAGACAGCCCCAGGCCAAGGGCAGCCCCAGACCAAGAGGGAGTCATAAGGAGGAAACTTATCAGCTCTTCAAAAAGTGATGTAGGGGGGCACATCATCTGAGCAATGCTGGGGTGCCCAGGGCTCACCCTTGCTAAGACCCCTCAGAGGGGAGCAGGAAGAGGAGCACACTCGATTAGGAGTTAGGAGACAACACCTCCGTCCTCTCCTGCCTTCTGTGTGACCTTGACCAAGGGCCTCAGTTTTCCCATCTGGCAAATGGGATTCCACTAAGAAATACCACAAATAGGGTTGCCAGATTGAGCAAATAAAAATAGACTGCCCAGTTAAATTGAATGTCAGATAAACAGTGAACGATGCTTTCGTCTAAATGTGTTCTAAATATTGCAGCTGACTTTCAAATCTGTCTGGGTGTGTTACATCTTAACTGGCCACACGAACTATAGAGACAAAGGGGAGCACAGGTGGGCACGGGTTTTGTGAAGAGTCCGGAGGACCCAGGGCTGTGATGGCGGCGTCTCCATCTCCAGAATTCAGCCAAGCAATTCCACCCTCTGAGGAGCCAATATAGTGGATGCGGGGCAATGACAAATAGGAATATGTGCCAAGGATGACAGCCAGGATCCCTACATTAAAGCCTTAGGGCCTGGGGTCACACAGCCTGAGGAAGCAGCCGGGGGAAGGGCAGACGATGACCATCTCTACGTCTCTGGCGGCCTCTCCCACAGGCAGGACAGTGACGTGGGCTCGACACACAGGAACATTCGTGCAGTGAGCGCTCTGTGGAAATGGAGTGGGCTCCCACAGCAGGGCCCGTCTAACACCAGGGCGTTCGCATTGGCGTTTCGTGACCATGTGACCAAGAGGCTCCAGAAGAGACCTCTGCTGAGCTTAGAGAAGGTTAGACTAGGACACTTGGAAATTCCCCAGGAGGCCAGGTTCTCTAACGCTCCGTGCACAGACCGATTTTTCCAAAGCATCTGGGTCAGTGCCTTGTGCCAAACAAGGTGCTCAGCAAAGGACATCAGGGATGACATATGTATGACTCATGTGTTGACATGTCCTCACCCCTGGGCCAAGGCAGGCATCACTAATCAATTGCCGCATCCTCTCCCATTAAGTTCCAATGTGACTTTTAAATCTTTCTCAGTATAGCTATCTAGACGGCTGCTACCAGGCACAAAATATCCTATGTATATATGTATCATCATCATCATCATCATCTATTATTTTAACTAGTATTTTTGAGTGTTTATTATGTACTAGGCACTTTATATGTACTAGTTTCTTTAAATCCTTGCAACAATCCTCCAAGCTAGGTACTAATATTATCCCTATTTTACAGATGAGGAAGTTAAGGCACAGGGAGGTGAAGAAATTTACTCTGCATTGCAATTAAATGAATGGTAGAGCTTGGACTTGAACCTAAAGGAATCTGGCTCCTTCTCAGCCATGGGCCCAGACCAGATGTGTGTATCTGTGGTCCTAACAACAGTGTGCACAAGGAGCCCATCTTCCAGGTGGGATCCCTGAGGTTCAAGGAAGCAAGACCACACAGCCAGGAGGAGGGGAGGCCAGGATTTGGACACAGGTTGATCTGACTCTCCACCCCCACCCCACTCACCTGATGGAGGCACATTGCCCCTGGGGGCCTCTGGACCCTCTTCACAGCACTGGCTTCCCCAGAACAGTGGGGCTCCACAACCCCCCACCCCACCCCCAGGGCCTTCCCCAGCCTCCCTCTGAACAAACAGCTGGCGTGGCTGAAGCACCAGGGAATAGTCTGCTTGTGACCGCCATGGCCCCTCAGACTGAAGCCCCCCCAAGAGGCATGAGCCAGAGGACAGAACAGAGTGGGCACCAAACCCTGGGGAAGTTCCTAGAATCATTTCCCAGACGCAGGCCTCTCATTGGCCTTTGCAGCCAAGCCCAAGGGTCAAGGCCAAGCCTCTGAAGGCCCAGGAGGGGGCCCCAGTTTTGGAGCCCCAACTTGGGAGCCCCAAAGACCTGCCCCAACCTGGGAGGAATCAGAGGTCAGGCTGCTTCCCACTTCCCTGTATACAGGCCTCTCTCAGTGCCGGGCACATCAGGAGGTAATAACAGTAGTTGATGTAACAATACTTCCCACTAATTGCACATTTACTGAGTGGCAGACCTCATGCCAAGAACTGTACATGTGAGGCCTCATTGAATCCTCACAACCACCCCAAGAGGATTCTGCTATCAGCCCCTTTTTAAAGATGAGGAATTAAAGCTCAGAGAGGGTAAGTAACTTGGCCCAGGGCACACAGCCAGGGTGTGGCAGAGCTGTGGCTTGAACTCAGGTGGTCTGCCTCCAAAGCACCCCACCTGTCAAATGGGCATGTCCACACCTCCTTGCAGAGTGATGGAAAGGCTACGGGTGTGAAAGTACATCAGCAGTGTCATGCTCCAAGCCCCCTCCCATTAACTAGTGAAGAAAGGGACTCGGCGAAGGTAGGTAGTGACCATGCAGAGGGGCCTTCTTCCCACAGCCCCCCTGCCCAGACTGGTCTGTCCTGCTACACCAGCTCCTCCTGGGGTTTGATGAGAGAGGGGACTTTTCAGAGAATTTGTTGCTTGTTCCCCACACCTTGCCTCCTGGCCCTCTCCCCCCCAGGCATCTGTGTACTTACAATGAGGCCAGGGACTCCTGGGGGCCCTGGCAGGCCCAGTTCTCCCTGCAAATAGAGAGACCAAGGTGGTTAGTTGCCCTGTCTCCCTCAGGAGCCACCCCCTCCACACCATCCTGCACGTGGGTGCCTGGTGGAGTCGTCCGAGCTAACCATTCCTTGTTCCTGACGGTGGCTCTCCTGAGCCTGGCCTAAGGTTTGGACAAGACCCTTGGCCCCTCAGCTGTCAACTTTCCACATCAGTAAAATCGGGAGATTGGATTTCCAAAATGTAAGTGTGAAGGAACGGGCGGAATCCTGGTCATGGGAACAAGGACATGCAAGGTGATTAACCCAGGTCTCACTTCGTCCTCACTCCACAGATGGCAAAAGCGAGGTTTGAGAGTTAAGTGATTTGCCCAAGGTCAAGTGCAAGAAAATACCACAGTGCTGAGGGCCCCAGGCTGAGAGCCACCAGGTTAGCCTCCCGCCTCTCAGCCAGGAGGTGCCCAGGGCCCTTAAAGAACCCCTCCGGGCTCACAGGTGTCTGCCTCCCAAGGCCTCCGAGATGCTGGGAGAGCTCTCGCCCAGGAGTCAGGAGAAGTGGCTGGGTACGGCAGTGGGCAGGTGTCTTTTTCCTCATCTCTGTAAGTGGACCTTCAATTGCTTGCACCAGAAAAGATGGCAGAGGGGTTTGGGTCAAGTTCAAAATGCGAAGATGTGCATAAAAATAAGGGGTTCTAGAGGTGGTGATTATCAGTCAGGACTGCCAACACCACCCAGGGGATCTGTCTGCCATCCTCTGTGCCATCCCAGGGCTGCTTGGATGGAGGCCATCGCTCCAGCCACCAAAAAGAGGAGGAGGGGGTGAGAAGCAGCCTTGGCTTTCAAATAAGGGAACGGAGGCTCAGGGAAGAGAGGGACTTGTCCAAGGCCACACACCAACTACGTGGCAGAGCTGGGACCACACATTAGGTCTCCTTTCTGCTCCTCTAGGCCACGAGTATAAAGTCATCCCTGCCCCACTCAGGGGCCTTCCAGGACGACATCACATATTGGTTAGTCCAATGACGGAAAGGCTCTGGTTTCTCAACTCTATGTCTTTGCTGGTGTTCTTTCCTCCCCCTGGAGTGTCTCCTCGCTCTTTCTTCAACCCAATTCTAACGTCACCTTCCCCAAGAGTCTTCCCTACTCCTCTCTCTCCTCCACAGCACCTGGGACCTCCTTGATCCCACCCATCCGCTGCTCCGCCTCGTGTGATAACTGGGAGACACCCTGAGCTCCTCAAGGGCAGGGACTGTGCCCTGTTAATATGCACGCTACCATCCATACGGCTCCACCCAGTGACAAATGGTCACAGGCCAAACCCCTTCCCCTCTCTCACTTCATTCTGCCAACAGCCCTCCGAGGCCGGCATCCTGACCCCCCTGATTTACAGAGAAGGAAACTGAGGTCCAGAGAGGTGAACTGGTCTGTCCAAGTGCCACGCCTGGCAAGTGGTGCAGCAGGATTCAAACCCAGGCCCACCTGGCTCTGAGGCCAAGGCTTCAGCCCCCAAAGAGCCCAGGGGTCAGCCCCAGGGAGCCTTTGTGGAAATGAAAGAAGAGCATCATTAGGTGCTAATTACGGACCCAGCAGCCACCTCTTCAGGAAGCACAGCTGCTCGGGAGAGGAGCCCCAAGGAGAGGTGGGGGACAGGGCAGGTGTTCCAAGGAGCTCTGGACATGGTCTGCACCTCCAGGCTTCCTCTCACCAAGCCTGGGCCGGGGACAGGAAGGGAAAGGCAAAGGCGGGCTCAGCTCCCCAGGACGAGCTGACCTGGCTCCTCAATGGGCCTCTGATTATTTACAAACTCTATAAACATGCCTGTGCTGGAGGTTTCTTTAGAATTCGGCTCCCCTCTCCAAACAGGGCCTGGAAACTGTCTGCTCCCCGGGGCTGCTGCCGTCTCATAAACATTCCTGGAGCTTTGTAAGACAGCAGTAGCCCTGGCTTCCCAGTGGGGTGGGACCCGTGAACCTTCCTAAGTCCTTGGGGATGGGGCACAGCCTGGGGGTGGGGTCACAGTGCCCCCAGAGGAGACAGGAGCCAGGGGTTCAGAGAAATCACACGATTCGCCCAAGAGCACCCAGCTAGCAGGCGGCAGGGCTGAGATTGGACCCAGCCCGCCTGACCCCAAAGCTCGGGTCCCTACCACCTGCTGCATGTTCCCCTGAATCTCTTTCCTGTTCCAAAGACTTCAAATACTTACGGGGTTTCCATCCAGTCCCGGGGGGCCTCTTTCCCCAAAGTCTCCGGGAAACCCCTGACGGCACAAGAGAGAACAAACACCTATAGATTAGAGTTTATACCTCTGGGTGGCTTTGACCCAGACCCCAGGGACACACACAAGGACATGTCTGTGCAGTCTTGCTTCTTGGTTCTGGGACCTGGGCGAGCAGTGGGGTCCCGGATCACCCTGTGCCCTCCCCAAACACTCCGCCTAGAGAACTTCCCAGGGGCTGGCTGCTGCGCTGGGGCCCGTGCACAGGGAGCCCTCTTCTCACGCCCTCAGAGCCCTGGAAAAGAAACTGGTACCCAGCTCCCCAGCATGGAGATGCCGACCCCCCAGTCTGAGACCTGGTCCTGATAGAGTGGGGGGGGGGGACTCAGGACTCTGGGTCCAGGCCTGGAGACCAGCTGCTGATTTGCTGAGAATTATAAGAGTATCTCTTTTCCGTGTGAGCCTCAGTTTCCCTACTGGTCAAAGAAGGGGAGGCCTGAGGCATCTTTCAGCTCAGACCTTCTATGATTGTGACATGCCCGTCAAAAGCCACGCTGTGGAATCATGATCCCTATTTTATAGATAGAGAGACTCTGAAATGCTGAGTGTCAAGGTCATACAAGGTTACACCGGTGGTGAGCAGCAGCGCGGTTGTTACAGGTGAGTTTCGGCAGCTGGGAGAGAGGTCAGGTCACCCCACCAAGGCCGGTCTGTTCTCTCGCCCCCTCCCTGACCCCGCGCCACACTCTCTGGGGAGACTGGCAGCTGGAAGAACATCAGCTGTGGGGACGCACCTGGGGTGGCAGGGGGACAACCGCATTCTACTTCAAAAGGACAAGAAAATCCTCAAGCCTGGAATTTAGGAAAACCTGTTCTCCGCCTCCTTGAATTCAAATCATTGCTTTTTCAGGGAAATTTCATGCTTTTCTGACCAAGTGGATGCCTGAACTGTTCAAACAGCAACTATTTTTTATAGAGGATAGTTCATTTCTAGTTTCTAAGGCTATCAGGGGAATCCGGTGAGTAGATTAAACCTAAAAACAAAACCCAAACCAATTACAAAGTCTATACTGGCTGAGCAGAGCCCTTGAAAAGTGCATGCATCCAGGCCTTTGTCTTGCCCTGCCCAGCAATCCTACTCCCCTCACATCCCTCCTCTGTCAGGAAGCCCTCCTAGATCAGAAGGGCAAGGAAACATTGCTTTATAAGAGGTGTGGCTTCATTCAGACACCTGAGGGAGGAAATGAGGACATGGTAGAGATATCGACCAAGCCAGTCTCTCTGCACATGAAACTTCACCTGCCTTCAACATTCACCCCTGAGGGGAAGGCTATCAGCTGAGGCTCAGGAAGAAATGACCCTTGGCCAAGGCCAAAAACAAGTTTGTGGCAGAGCTGAGCCCAGGTCCCATCTCTCCAGACTCTGCCACGTTCCTACGAGCTGTGCACAAACAAATCCTGGCCTGCTCGAATCTGTGCCCCGCTGGCTTCAGAGAGTGGCAGAGGTGCGTGCATGCATGTGTGTGTGTGTGCATGCTTGCACATACAGGCCCACCTCCAGGTCAGGTCTCTGTGGGGATACATCTGACCCTATCTAAGGTTCTTCTCCCCACATCCTTGGCGCATTCCAGCCTCTCTTTGTCAGGCTATGAGGTAGATCCCTCTAACCTCCTGGGACAGGCCTGGGTGGGCTGTGGTCAGCAGAGCCTCCTGAAGATATTGAGTCCCTGCCTCCACCTTTGGAGGCTGGGGTTGAGGGCCTGACAAGAGAGGAAGACAATTCTTCAGGGGACAAGGGGGCTGCCGTCCAGGTGGGCAGCCAGTCAGCTCCACATGGACTACTAGGGCTAGGACTTGGAAATCCCGTGCCCCGTTCTCCAAGTCTGGCGTTTGGAGACAGTCTGGAGACCCACCCTGGTGTGCCTCCAGGCTGGCTGTGTAACTCTCACTCAGTCCCCTGTTGTGCACAGGCTGGGGTGTGTGATTTCTAAGAACCCTTGAACTTGACCCAACCCCCAGAAAAGGCCTGGGAGAAAGGAGTCTAGAATAAGATGGAGACCTTGACAGCATTCCCCAGGCATGGGTCCTGGCTGCTGTGCCCCACACATTCTCACCCAGCAGGCACCAGGAAGGTCCCAAACCCATGGGTCTGCATTCAGAAGCCATTCCAGGCTGGCTCAAGGACTCCTCTCAGCCCCAGCTGCCAGGCCAGCTAACCCGGTGAGGCTGTGCAACCAGAGCAATCTGAAGCCAGTCCTGCCACCACCAGCCCCAGGCCTCTCCAAGCCTCAGAGTTCTCTGATGTACAATGAGGGGTACCGAGGGGATGAGCTGAGACAGCGCACGGAGGGCGAGCCCTTGCTGGCACATGGAGGCAGTGGCAGTGTGAGGGCACAGCTCTGAGGCATAAGCGAGGCAGAATGGGCAAAGCCCAGTGGGAGGCACTTCTACACACAGAATGCAGCCTGAGTATAGCCCGACGGTGATGATGGTGAGATGGTAACAATGACAGCGACAGCAAACGCCCACAGCCTGGTGAGACAGGTCCTATTCTTGGCCCATTTTAGAGATGAGGAAACTGAAGTCCAGAGAGGTTAGATAACTTGTTCAAAGTCACACAGCTGTGGAATAGCAGGGCTGGGATCTGAATCCCGGCAGTCTGAGGCCAGTGCCCTTTCTCTTAGCTCTGCCTGGACACTGAATATGTAGAAAGGACCTCAGCAAACCTGGGGTCTCTCAAAGGGCTCAGGAGAACCCGGGGCTAATGGCCAGGAGGGAGTGGTGTGACTGATGCTGAGGACTGGTTCTGCCTGCACAGCCTTGGTAGTCGCAATGCCCAGCCCCTGTCTCCATCTTTGGTCTCCCTCCCTTCAGAGGAGGCCAGCAGGTGACCTCCAGGAACCTAGGGCATGGTTAGTAGTTAAAAGCATCACGGTTGGGGAAAAAGATAGCTTTAAAAGTGCCGGAACAAATATTGGATTGGAACAATCGTAGACGGCCTGAGGTGAAAAGACCCCAGCAGTCCCTGAAGTTTAGCTCTTCACTGCCTCAGTGGGAGATGAGGCCCAGCACGTGCCCAAGGCCCCAGCACCCAGCCAGCTTGCCGCATCCCCCCACGACTGAGCCACACATCCCATTTCCGACACTCTGTGCAGGGCCCCTGAGGCTCGGCCCGTCTGTATCTCAGAGAGGCAGCCACTGAGCTGAACACGTGGCCCCTCTTCCGCCCCGCCTGCTACCCTCCGTCCGGCTGCGTCTGCCTGTGCCTGGCCTGCACTCCCAGCTCGGCCAGCCGCAGGACCCTCCTCCACAGGCCCGAACTTCTGGCTGCAGCAGCCTGGCCTGAGGCCCAAGCGCTGAGCTTGGCACCCTGCCGGAGCCCTGGCCACATGGTTTCTCCGCTGCCCCAGGTCAGGCCTTCCTGAGGAACTGAACGCCTCATCCTCCGAGCAGAACAAGGCCCAGGAGAAGACAGAATCCAGCTCTGCGAAGAGACAATGGACATGAAGACAGGGACAGTCCTCGTCACCACATCCATGGCGGGATGCTGAGAACCGAGGAGGTCTCTGAGGCTTCCAGGCAGTGTCCACCCAGCCTGCTCCTGGAGCTGGGCTGTAGGAGCAGGGGGAGCGTGCAGCCTTGCGGATCAGCGGTCCTGCTGAAGCCTCCAGGGCTCAGCTCCCTGGCCTGAAAAATGCTCGGTCCTGCCCGAGTCACCTGGCAGAGCTGGGCTGAAAAAGATGTGAGAAGGTTGTAACGCAGCCCCTGGCAAACTCGACTGTGCTATCATCACACACTGGTTAGGGCTCGTGCCAACAGGGGGAAAAGATAGTGACCTCTAGGAAGAGCCTACAGAAGGATCTTGGAGACCTCCTTACAATGCTTAAATTCTCCAAACTCGGGAAGTTCCTGCATACATCTAACCTGCACCTTTCCGACAGCACCCCAAACACCCCGCGTTCTTTTCTAGGTGTGTGCTCTCCAGGCACGCTGACATGGAAGAGCCCTGGAGGTGCCTGGCACCCTCTTCTCATGACGCTGAATGTGTTTTCACCCCGCCCTTCTGAAATCCACTAGGGGAGCCCCCCGAGAGTCACCTCAGGGAATAAGGAGGAGATAGGCAGGTGGCGCTCTCACCAGGATTCCAGAGTCACCAGTAGCTCTGGGGCAGCTCCAGCGCAAGTTGGGAACACTGGAGGCCACATCCCTGGCCCACGGCATGACCACAGCTAAAAACTTTCATGTATTTTGACCTCAGTTTCCCTACTTACAAACATGAGACCCGTCACATTGCCCCCATCTTCCCACAGTCTGAGAACTGGGAAGAGCACTGAGCTTGAAACCAAAACGCACCGTGCTAGAGGTTCTGTCCCCCTTGGACAGGCATGGGGCCTCGGACAAATCTCAGCTGTCCCTGGGGCACACACACCAAGGGAGTGGGAACCAGGGCTGGGCCTGGCCAGCTCTAAGCTCCAGGGTCTCGCTACACAAGACCCACCACCTTGGCAGGCCTGGCCAGAGGCCACAAGAGAAGCCATGAGTGGTGGCCAGCCTGGCCTGGTCTGCCAGCAGCTTGACAGGAAATAGCACCTTTCTAGCCCCAGTGAGAGACCCTTAGTTGGGAAGCATGGCTCCGATCCCAGCTGTGAGCGTCACTGTGACGTGCCCCAAACAAGCCAGGACAGCCAGGACAACCCCCCTGGAGCTGACATCTTATATCTGGACCCCTCCTCAGAAAACCACAATGCATTTCTCTTTCCAGCAAGTGATGTGCGCAGGAGAGGAGAGACACAGGTTTCCTTTGGAGGTTGAAGATGTGAGCACAGAGAGAAGAAAAGGGACGTGGAGAGCACCCTTACTAGTAAGCAAGAGTCCTGGGTTCGAGTCTTGACTCTGTCACCAACTTACTGTGTGACCTTGGGCAAATTACTGACCTCTCTGAGCTATGAGTCTCTGAGCTATGAGTCTGACAAAGAGGTTGGGCCAGCTCATCACCAAGGCTCCTACAGCTCTAATGTGCTCTGACCTCCACCGTCTCTTTCTCGGCTCCCATGAGCAGGACTTGCTCACTTTCTCCTTCCAAACCCAACACCGAGGGGGCGCGTGCACGGGCCTGAGGTCTGGCTTGCTGGAGAGAGACAGACTACAGCAAAACCATCGCCAGGACTGCCAGCAACAAGGCCCGCTGCGATCTGGCACGAGGAAACTCAGCTCCTTCCCTTGACATTTCCTTTCATTAGTAAGTGCCTAGAAATTGCCTGGCCTGCAGCTTGGGTAAGCCTAGTCACAGAAGAGGCCCTCAACCCCACCAGCCAGAGCAAGGGCTAGGGAGCCCTGACAAGAGGGGATGGCCCTGACCACCACTCAGGAGGGTGTAGGCCAAGGGCATGCTGGACTGGAGGCCTGGCAGAGGCAGACGCAAAGCCTAAAAGACTGGGTGATATGAAATCCAATTCCACGCGTATTCTATCATATCCAAATGCAGACCCTGCCCATTTGCTGGCCATGGCGGCTGGACTAGAATTAAGGGGGTGTTCGTAGCCATTGGGGGTATTGTTCGACCATAGGGCTATTTGAAGGGAAGGAGTTTCCTCCCACCCACACCTGTGCTGGGCACAGCCCCATTGTGCATTGTGGAGCATGGAATCTCCTGCTCCTTGCAAGATTCCTTGTGCATGGAATCTTAGGGAGCTACTGGCATGGAGCAAGGAAGCAGAGATGAGTTGACACTTAGGCCTTGGAGATCTCTGAGCTAATGGCTTTGGCTGACGAAGCCTCCATTTCCTCACATGAAAAACCAATCGGACCTCAAAGAATCAGTGCGAGAATCACACGGAGTTCAAATACCATGCAGGTAAGGCCTCAATACATGTTGCTTTAGTGGTGGTGGTGGTGGCGGTGGCGGGAATCCGTTTTGGCTACAGCACTATGCCTTGTACCTGGCACAGGGTAGGTGCTCAGTCAACTTTTGTAGAATGAGAAGTGAGTGAGTGGCCTCATCCCACTCCCAGATGGGAAAATGGCGCTGAGCTCCCCAGACCCGGCGCCGCCTTCCCAGCCGTGAGCAGGAGGCTTTCAGCTCCATGAAGAAAACAGGTTCAGGGAGCAGGCAGAGGAAGGGGCTGTTGGAAGTAGCAAAGAGGGGCCGGGAGGCTGTAGAGGACGGGATGGGCGAGGGCAGCTGAAACATGGCCCTGTTGACGCTCCTGGAGGCGGCAGGCGCAGAAGAAGCCACGAGGTGCCTGGGCTCCCTCCGCGCTCAGGAGACTCCAATGCCCACGCTCTGGATGGCAGCACTCGGGGTGAGAGGTGCAAGCTGGGGCTGCTGCGTTCTAACCCAGCTCTGGCCCTCAGAAGCCACAAGGTTTCGGCCATGTCATTCACCGATCTATCCCCTCATCTGTAAAGTGGCAATGCCCGGCCCTCCACAAGGCTGCCTGAGTGGAATCGGAGCAAATCCCCCCATGGGTGGCTCTGAAGGTGGCCTTGACCTGGGAATGCTCTTCCCCAGAGAACCACAGGCTCCCGTTCTCCCCTCACTCAGGTTTCTCAGAAAAATGAGGAGGAGGTAAGTTGGTTCATAAACCAAATTATGAACCAGCCTATACCCCAAGTCCTGACTGTCCCCCATCCTACTCTATCTTAATACTCAGCACCATCTGACAGTACATCGTTCATTCTTCATTCCCCCACACAGTCATTGTCTGTCTGTCTGCCCACAAGAATGGGAACTTCATCTTCTTCACTGCTCAGCACCCAGCACAGACTCTGGCCCATAGAGCACACTCAGTGTTCACTGAACGAACACACAAATGAACGAATGAAAGAACAACAAATGAATTAGCCTCCTTGCCCAAGGTCACCTGGCTTGAGGAACCGATCCTAACGCCAGCCCAGCCCTTGGGGATGTCAGGTCCTTGCCTGAAGTCAGAGCATCAGGAGCTGCTCCTGGCCCAGATCTGCACGTTAGGCCTCAGACCTCAGGGCACGGAGGGGCCTGGGCCTGGGCCTGGGCCTGGGCCTGCAGGTGAGGTGCCTCCTGTCAGCTCCTTGCAGCTGGAACCTGGATCTTGTACCCCCACTTGGTCCCCAGAGGGCCCAGGTGTCTACACTGCAATGAGCAAGGTAGGTGCCTGGAGACATGCAGCCAACCCCAGAACCACAGACAAGCCCCTTCTGGCCGCCCGTGAGTGCTCCTGGCTCCCTCCCAGCCGATTCTCACATTCTGGCCTCCCCACAGCCCCTTCTCCATCAACCACAAGCCAAAGGAACCCCAGACCCAGAGCTGCTGAAGGCTCCCGGTCCAGGTGTTAACCCGCAGGGCAGAGGCAGGGACCTGTAAGGCCCCACGGGGGTAGCACCTGACAGAACGATACCTCAGCGACAGTCCTGTGTATCCCTCAGCCTGGCAGTGGGACCCTGGGCACACTGCTCTGCCTCTCGGAGCCTCAGTTTCCCCTTGTGGATGTGAGAGCATTGGAATGAGTGGCTTTCCCTCAAGCCAAAATTCTAGGGAACCCACTTCTACAATAGTGTCACCGGCCAGGGAGCCTGAGCCATCACTGAGGTCAGAGGCCTCGGGGACAAACGGAGTTAGAATCTTAGCTCTGCTGTTTACTCAGTGTGAAACCACCGGCAAATTGTTTAATCTCTCTCTGCCTCTGCTTCCTCTTCCTGCCCCATAGATGCCCAGACAAGGGGAAAAACAACGTCCCACCACCATGGAGAGTCATGGCCAAAGCTGGCAGACAGGGGGTTACTGCTGAGCTCCTTGTGGTCACACCTGCCGGGGGCCTGCCCAGTACCCCACTGCCCTCTGTCCCTGAGTATGCACAGGTGAAGCTGGGATGCCGAGACAACAGAGACTATTCTTTGAGTGTCCTAGCCAAGATCCTGCAGTCTGAGCAGGTCCGAGGCACAGACACTCACGACCCTGACGGCAGAACCGCCACTCCCGACACAGAGATGCACTGCAGAGCAATCGGCGTGCACACACACACAGAGGCTCCTGCCCAGAGGGGCCCAGAGCCCATGGGAACCCCAGCCCCAGCCGGGAAGCAGGACATGAGGACCAGACAGCCCCGCATGCAGCCCACACACTCAAAGCAGAGGAGCAAGCAGAGAATGCCCAGGCCGCAGGTAGACAGGGCAGTGTGGCCCGTGGGAGGTCAAGTTCCCCCATAGAGTCTGCGTAATAGACACGGAAAATCTTTACCGGCCTACCCATCTTGCCCCTCTTGCCAGGAACGCCAGGCAGGCCCTGTGGAGGAAGAGACAGGGAAGGGGTCAGGAGAAGATTCCAGCAGGGGCCAGCCAGCCCCCAAGCACCTGCAAGAGGAAGTCCCAGAGGGCCTAGCATCCAGGACACGGGCACAGTAGGTACCAGTTACGTGCACAGCAGATGGATGGCCCTTGCACTCCATGAAGGTGGGTATGCATGGACCTGAACTGGGGAGATGCCCCCCAAAAGTACCCAGTGTTCCTGGTATTCAGCTGGTGCTTAATAAGTGCTTCTTCTGCTTTCCTAAGATTCTCTATACCCAGCTTGGTGATGAGGTTACATTTGAGTCCCAAATATGTGCTCAGGCAGGGAGGGGACAGAGAGGAAAGTCCAGAGGCCTGTGGGCTGTACAGTCTCTGGACTCCACTCTGTACTGAGAGCAAAAGCGACCGTAGATGATGTGCACGGCTGTGTTCGTTAAAACTTTACAAGACCAGACGACTGGCAGGATCGAGCCCACAGGCCATAGTTTACAGACACTTGATCTGAAATATAAAATGGGCCAATTTCTCATTTGCTGGAAGCCCTTCAGAAGCTCCTTGTGCTCTCAGAACAGAGTCCCCTCCCTGACCTTGGCCTCTGGGTGACATGGAACTGGGCCCAGGCTCTCCCTCCAGCCTCATCTTCCCTGCTTCCACCCCACGCTCTGCACTCGGACTGTACTGACTGCTAAACGTGCCACGTCGTCCTATGTCCCTGACTTTGCACACTCTGTTCCCTACGTCTGCAGAGCTTCTGCCTTGCTGTGTCCCCGTAGTGGATTCCTATGCAACTCAAGGGCACCCATCAAGGAGGGATGCCACCCCGCAGGGGGGCGGGGAAGGGGTCAACGAAGAAAGCATACTCACTCGCTCTCCATCGGACCCTGGCAGGCCGAAGAGCCCTGGGAGCCCGATGTAGCCCTAGGAAAGAGCAGGTGGGCGTCAGAGGGGCCGAGGGGTGGGGTGTGGCTGGCCCGACCCATCCCAGTCCCCTCGCTGCCCTCCCACACTCTGGCTCCTCTTCCTGGCTGGTGGCAGTGGTGGCTCTGGTGGCTCCTTGACGACATAGGCCTTGAGGCAAGTGTATATGCCCATGGACTGCATGGTGCTGGCTCCCACGATGTAGTCCAAAGGCACATACCCTCACGCCAGGGAAGGGCACGGGCGCTCTCAGGGGGAGGCCCGCCCCGAGCCGGGGGCTCCGGGACCTGCAGGAAGGAAGCTCTCAACTGGGTTAGATGCTAGAGTGGCACCAAGCCCCTCCCACCCATCCCAGGACACCAGGAGGCACCTATGGCTTCTGCCAGGCCTCCTCGTAGGCCTCGAAGGATGTGGCGCTCCCATTCACCTCTGGCCTTGAGGCTCACAGCCCCTGGTGGCCACCTGAGTGCCAGCAACAACAGCAGCTGCCACCCCAGCCAGCCTGCTGACGTTCTACCAGGCACCTGTGTGCCACTGCATCCAACCCTCCCAGGAGCCTACAGATGGGCCGTCATCCCCTCACTGGACAGACTACGGCTCTGAAGATAAAGGGATATAACTAGTCAGGGGCGGAGCCCACCACCCTAGAATACACTTGAGTTTCTGTCTCTCAGCCTTTATGCGCACTGTGTCCCCCACCAGGCACGCTCTTTCTATCCCCATGATGGCAGAGCAACTCCTTCCAAGCCCAGCTGTAACGCTGTCTCCTGTGGCAAACAGCCCTGATGCCCCCAGCCAGAGGCAACCTCCTCCCTCCGCCCCGGCACCATCTTCGCGCCTCAGTTCATAGGATTTACCACTCTCTCCACTGCACCTTCGTTACCTTTGTCCACGGTTCATGTCCTCATTAGCCTGGAACGTCTCAAAAGCCGGGACCTAGCCCACACCTCCTATTACTATCTGCACTTTCTAGATGTTGGTGGAATGACTAAAAAATGACTGTAACAGAAGCTAACTTTTACTGAGCACCATCTAGGTGCGAAGCCCAGTTCTCAGGACTTCACACGCACTGGCGCACTCACCGCGTCCCCATGACACCCCCAGGAAGTAGCTTTGATTAGTCACCCCCTATAGAGGTGGGAACACTCAGGCCCAGAGAGGTGAAGGGTCACACAGCTAGAACGCAATAGAATTGGTATTTGGAATCAAGTCATCAGAGTCCTGGGTTCCTAACCACTCTAGCACACTGCCTCCCACAAATAAGCAACAGTGCAGGCTTACAACCATCTGTCCTTCCCTAAAAGGTCAAGAGGTCGCAAAGCCTTCCTCTTAGCACCCAGCATGACAATATATCCATCTTTTTAATAAGTGACATTTGGTGATCAAGCAAAGTTTATAACCCAGACCCACAGGTGAGAAAATGGGCTCAGAGAGGCCAGTAACTTGCCCAAGATCTCACAGATGGTTGGTGGCAGAACAGGTCTCAAATCCAGTCGCTCTGACCCCAAAGCCTGCCCTCTGCTTTCTTCATAAACATGAGGCCCGTGATGGCAGCTGACATGGCCCAGCTCCCCCAGGCTGCTCAGGGCTCTGTGACCCTGGAGAGGGGTGTGCTGGGCCGGACCACCCCCCTCTCCACAGGTGGCCTCCAGCATGGCAAACATCAAGCAGCCCCAGATTCCTGTCACTCCTCCTGTCCCCCTGGCAGATCAGACACCCTTAGTGGCAGAACTAAGGAGCCCTCCCTGGGTTCAGAAGGACCCTCTGAGGTCACAGCTTGTGGGGACAGGTAGATTAAGGGAGGCTCCACATCCTAGGACAGGAGCCTCCTTGGCAGGTGCACATCACCACCTTCACCACCACCGCCGCCACCATCATCATCACCACCACGTCCTGGGGAGCTGGGGAGCTTGCCCACCCACCCCCTTGCCTACCTCCCAGATGCTCTCCTAACAGCTGCCTGTTAGTTCCCGGGACTGGAGCCGAGATTGTGGCCATAAATAGCTTTGGCTCAGGAGTAGAGGACACGTCACGTAGACCCGGCCTGGCTGCAAACCGTGTGACCCACTTGCTGAGCATTCTTTGAGAGGTGGTGAGCCCAGTTCTCAGAACCCCTGAGTCCTCACCTTAGCTCCACCTTCGCAATCTAGGGCCATCGGGCCCCCACCGTGAGCCCAGTTTCCTGGGATGTACACGAGAGGGTTCCACCAGATCAACTCTTAGCATTCCAAACTCCACTTGCTGCCATTCACTTCCCCAAAACCTAATCTACCACCCCACAGCTCACCTGGGAGCCCCCACCTGTGGTCCCTCCTCAGCATTACTTGCTTCCAAATTCCCAGAGCCCTATAACCATGCTATAGGTAGGATGGACATCACTCCCATTGTAAAGATGGGCAAACTGAGGCAGCTGGCTACTCAGGGTTGGCTCCCCTTGCAGGAGGGGGACAGTAGATGCTTTATCCGTTTCCAGGCCTAGGCAGCGTTCAGCCATCAGACACCACTGGCCTCCCCAAAGGGTGGGCCCCTCAGCCTCAGTCGGGAGCAGCAGAGAGGCCTCTGAGGAATCCAATGACACACAAAGTGGCTTGGCTTTGGTCCCCGTCACTTGGCATGTGCTGGGGCACATGGCTAGCACATGCCTGATGGTGGCAGGTGGACTGTGGCCGAGCCCCCAGCACACCCTTTGCTGCCCAGACTGCCCGGCCATGGCTCCAGCCTGGCTCAAGCGTCCCCCATCACCAGGCCCTTCCGCTGTCCCTCTGCTCTCCAGGGAGCACTCCAGCGGGAAGGTCGCAGCCCCAGCCCCCCGACAGACCCCGGGTGGAGGCCTCCCAGCCCTGATCTCTCTCAGGCCCACTGGAAGGAAAAGGTAATGCCCCCCAGGGCCCCACCCATATGGCACTTGCCAAGGCCCACTTACCCGGCTGCCTTTGGGGCCAGGGTCTCCTATAGGACCAGGTAACCCCTGAAACATAAAAGACAGTGGGGCAAGAACACATGGAGAATTTCTACTGGTTGCCAACAGCCCAGGGCGAGTTCTGTCTCCCTCTGCAGAGTGGGAATGGGTTAGACTGGAGGTCTTCACTGGGAGCCCCAGCTATCCCAGGACCTCAGGGAGGTGGCTCAAGGACAGACTGGGTAGGAGGAGCCTCTGGAGCCCCATCCCCCACCTCACCAGAACCCCTTTCCTCTGTTCTCTTACTGAGCATCCCTGCCCTGCTGCCTGGCTCCAGCCCTCTGAACATCCCCTTCTTCAGGGCCCACCCAGCGGGTGCAGCTCCTTGGCCCCCAGCCCACCACCTCCCCTGCCTGGGGGCACCGTGGTCATCTCCACACCACCATGGCCACAGAGCTTCCAGAAGCCATATACTGCACCTGCCTGCCAGGGTAACCTTTGGCCCCTGGGCTGCCCTCTGGTCCCGGCCGCCCCTGCAAAGGAACAGAGAGAAACATGAGGCAAGAAGAGACCCTGCCCAGCTCCAGGTCGGAGGGGTAGTGGGGGACTGGGGCTCACAATGGACAAAGAGAAGGGCGGGAATGTGAGCTGAAATGGGAGGAAGGGGAAGCCACTGGCCTGCTGGGCCCGCAAGCCCACCTCTCCGTGAAACCGGTCAGACCAGCTTGGAGGGACAAAACCCCCTGTGCGGGCGGCCCGGGAATAAGAACACACTGAGGAGGCCTGGCTGGCTCTCCCGCGCTGGCAGCCACTGCTGTTTGATTTGGGCCAGGGGAGCCAAAATTCCTGCAAAGCCCCGTGGCAGCGTGTATAATATCCCCTAACATCGCCCGGAACAGGCCAGCTATTCATGGCTCTAACCGGAGCTGAGCAGCTCGTGCCAATGCCGAGCCAGTGTGGACTCCAGCTCTTTCAGGCAGATGTGGCTGGTGGGGAGGCAAGGTGGGGTGGGGTGGGGTTGGGGTGGGGGCCCCAGCAGGACGGGAGGCACAGCTGCCTGGCTCTGGGGCTTGCTCATGGAGCAGAGCCCGGGGAGGAGGCCAAGGACAGGCAGGGGCTGGAACGCAGGAGAGCAAGCAGGGTGGGGCCGTGGCCGTGGTCCTCACCTGTTCTCCGGGGTGCCCCGCCGGTCCAGGATAGCCCTTGAATCCCTGTGGGGAAAGGAACCGCATCAGGCTGGGAAGGCACATCTGCGCCTGTGGACCGCAGAGTTCCCAGACTCCCTGCCTGCCTTTCCAGCACTGCACGCACCACGGCAGGGGTGTAGTACACGGTCAGTAAATACCCACTGAGTGGATACTCGCACGTCAGGGTTAGTCGGTGCCTCTGGTTTCCTCTCTGCTACTCATGGTTCTGGACCAGAAGCATCAGAGGGACTGACTGACTGTTCACTCCTCGGGCAGAGTTTGTGAGCTGAACTGACATACAGCAACCAGGACAGACTGATGTTGTATGGTAACCATTTTTTTCCAAATCCAGAGAGAGGGTGTGACCACCAGAAGCCGAGGTGGAGGGAGTTCTCAGTAGGTAGGTGGACTGATTTGGACCTCCAGATCTAGGACATGCCCAACCACCCTATGATTCTGGAACCTTCTGTCAGGACCTGCCCCTTCTCAGGAACCCCCTACTAGAAAAGATCTCACACATACTGGCCAAATATATTAGCCAAAATAACTGCCTGCCTCCCCCTCACTGGTTCCAGCAGCATTCCAGTGGAACAGAGGCCCAACTACCCAAATGCCTGATGGAGGAGTCTGGCCACACCCCGGCACCAACCTGACCCTCTGTCCCCATGGCCCAACTACCATGGCTCAAGGCCAGGTCATCTAGGTCGAGAGAATCAAACAGAGTGTGTGCTTTCAGGCAGTGCTGGGCGTGACCCCTCAGTCATTTTCTGAGTTGGGAGCTCTCCAAAGGGAACCCCTAGACATCAAGCTTCCATCAGCTTAGGGCTGCTGTGAAGTGAGACCGAGTAGGGGGCTTCCACGTCACACAGGGCGGCGGTGCTGATCTCTACGAGAACCCCCACGCAGGGAGCCCTGGGTTTGGCCCAGACTGTTTCTGGCTGACTGGGCAACTCTGGGTGGGTCACTGCCCTTCTCTCTCTGGGACTCACATGAGGGAGTTGGAACTCTGTGTCCCTTTCAGTTCTGGCATTTGAGATCTGGAGTTGCAAGGCTCCCCCAGAGGGTGCCACCCAAGACGCCAGAGTGCACACACGGGTGCACACACCTGATGTGAGCAGAGCCTTTATGGCTGCTTGCTCAGGACAACTCCCACGTGACTTCCTCCAGCCCTCACAGCAGTCGGACGAGGGGCGGGGAGGGATTATCATCTCCATTTTGCAGAGGACAAAACCGAGTCTCGGAGAACTGCAGCCACTCACCCCGAGTTCCATGGCTAAGGACCAGCAGGTTCACACTTACCACAGGGTCCTTCTGACACCCGAGGCCACAGAGAACCTTGGAGACATCCCAGGCACGCACAGAGCACCCCCACAAGCCCCCAAGAAGTGGGAATCTTAATTATAAAAAGCAGAGTCAGGTTGACCCAGGAGGTTTGAGGAGTTTACAAGCATTCCTTCCATACCTACTCATGCCTCAGACGGCCCAGCAATATGATTGCATCTCAGTAAGGACCCATGAGATAGGTTCAGTACGGCTGGGTAAGATTCTTCAATGTGGGCATGTGCTCTTTTCCCCAGTGGGCAAACTGAGGCACAGACCACAGCCGGTGTGGGCATGCAGCATGGTTAAGGTCCTTGGTTTAGATTGCTCTGGGTTCCTCTCCTGCTTCACTGTGGGCTGGCTGTGTGACCTGGGGCCCCCGATGTCACCTCCCTGAGTGCTGGTTTCCACTCTTGTAAACTGGGGAGATGATGGGCGGCTCATGGGTTGAATGATATAGTGAGTGTGATCCCCCTGGCACAGTGTCCGGCATTAAATTCCAGGGCCCTGTAATGACTGGCTGCTGTTACCCTCGTGATCTTCCTGCATTTCATTCATTCATTCAACATTCAACGAACGTTTAGGTGCCAGCACAACGTTCTACACATGGGACAAATGGGAAGACAAAACCCCCCGCAGAGTTCACAGTCCAGTGAAGGAGACACAGAACAGGTAAATACGAAGGATAATGTCTGGGGGAGGGAGAATGGGGAGCAGTCGTTTTCATGGTGCAGAGTTCCAGGTTTGCAAGAGCTCTGGAGATGGTTGCACGACGTTGTGAGTACACTTCACATGACAGAGCCGCCCACTGACACAGGGTGAAGATGGTAAATTTCGCGGAGTTTTGTAACCATAATTCAAAATTAAACTTTAAAAAGAGATGATGTGTGGGAGTGACCGGCGCCTTGAAGAAAAGCAAGCAGAGTTAGAGGCCAGAGAGCAGCGGGACTGAGGACGGCGTGCCTGCAGGGGGGCAGGCAGGGAAGCCAGCTCTGATGAGTGGAATGTGGGGAGAGAGCCGGACATGGGACTGGCTCTCTGGGAAAAGGCATTCCCGGCAGAGGGAACAGCAGGTGCAGAAGCTCTGAGGCAAAGTCACTCTTGGGTGGTTTCAAAAAAGAATGAGGTCCCTGTGGCTGGAGCAGAATGGTGAAGGGTGAAAGGCAGAGAAGTGAGCGTGGTCAGGGAAGAAGCAGGAAGCCAGTGCCTGCAGGGTGGTGAGATGATGGGAAACCACGAAAGTTCTTGAGCAGAGATGTGTCATGATAGGATCTGTATAATCACCATTAGTGTTATCTTTTTTTAATTATTATTACTTTTTAAATTTTTATTTATTTTTTTAAGATTTTATTTATTTATTTTTAGAGAGGAAAGAGAGGGAGAAAGAGAGAGAGGAACATCAATGTGTGGTTGCTGGGGGCTGTGGTCTGCAACCCAGGCATGTGCCCTGACTGGGAATCAAACCTGCGATGCTTTGGTTTGCAGCCCACGCTCAATCCACTGAGCTATGCCAGCCAGGGCTAGTATTATCTTTCTCCACTTGGAATTTGCAGAAAAGGAAGAAAAAGCAAAGCCTTTGAATTGAGCCTTGAGCTCTAGGCTGTGCGATTGCCCTCTCTGAGCCTTATTCTGCCATCCTCTGCCTGCCTTGAGGGCTTGTTGCAAAGACCCAACGCAATAATGGGGCAGGGATCCCAAGAGAAGCATGAAAGGCAACAAGGGAGCCCAAAGGTCACTGGCTCCTCGGACTTCCTCAGCAGCCACAAAGAAACTTTCTGGAAACCAGTGCTTTAACAGAGTGGCCGGTGAAATCCCAGGAGGAGATTTTAAGCAAACCCTTTACTCAGGACACAGCTGAAAGGAAACCAGTGAACCTCGGGGATAAGAACCCTAACTTCCCTATGCCTGGCTCGGCACTAAAGCCTTAAATACACCAGCTTATTAGCTCCTTGCAGTCAATCCTAGAGGTAGGAAATACTGGGCACACTTGCCAGCTGAGGAAACTCAGGCTCGGAGAGATAAAGTGACTTTCCTGAGGCCACACAGCTTCCCAAGGGCAGTGCCTGGCTGTGACACTAGTCCCTACACATATATGGAGGCCTGACACCCACCTAGAAGAGCCACAGGGCCACCCAGGGAAAGACCCCCTTATAGACCCACCTCCCCAGGACAGAGCCCGCAAATCACTGCAGCGTTACTGAGGTGGGGGATGGTCACAGACCCTGGAGTACCTGATGGTAAATGACTTAAGCCATCAATTTGACAGCCTCCTTTCTCATTGGACAGTCGGAGACTCTGAGGCCCAGAGAGGGGAAGAGACTTGCCCAGAATTACTCAGCAAGTTATAGCCAAGCCTGAGCTGTTCCCCAGACTCTAGCTCGGCTGGGCTGGGCTTTGTTTAGAAGGCCACAATTCCTAGGTCTCTCCCAACTAGTAGATCCTGAAGGACCTTGAACATGGCCATGAATACCCATTTCTCCTGGCTGGACAGGAGCAGCAGAGGGAGCACAGCCACAGCATGAGGGTAGGGTGAGCAGGAGGTTTGTACGGTCCTTGAAAATACCTTCACAGTGTTTACCAAGCTGAGGCCAGCCAAATAGCTTCAAATGACAGGGCCCCAGGACCTAGGACAATTTAAACCATTATCTTCTCCAGGGCCCCAGCAATTAAGGGGCAGGCACTGACCACAAGGTGGACCCACGGGTAGTGATTGCTCCACGGGGGACCGGTGTCTGACTGGCACCAGGGGAGAGCAGATGCTTCAGGACAGCTCCAGGGACCACGGAGGTCTCAAGGGGCCTTCTGCTGCCCAGCAGGCGGGTCTCCGCAGGACCTGTGTTTATAATAGAGCTCAGTCTATATTTTGGTTTGGAAGCCAGATTAATCATTGCTTACAATGCACAAGGAGAAACCAGACATCACCTCACTGTTGCTGCAGACAGTCTCCCCGCCGGCTAGGATGCTATTTGGGCTTTGGGCAGAGAACGGAGGGAGGTCCTGTCCTTGCCTAGGGGTCCTGGGGACCCACATGCTCACCCCGACTCCACCTCAGCCTGTAGGAAGCCCCGGCTTCTCTTGCAGGAGAATGGAATGCACCATACTTGCTTAGTGCTCCATGAGACTCCCCTACCACCTTGCAGCCCACACGCCCCACAGGGCAATCAGCAGGACGGAGAGCCCCACTTAACAGAAAGGATCAGCAAGGAAGAAACATGCCAAGAGGTAGGGTGACCTAATACATGATACTGGGCAAGTCCCTGCCCCTCCTGGAGCTTCAGTTTCCCAGCCGGGCTCTCAAAGTATCCTACTGGCACAGAAATGACAGAATTCCGAGAGTGTGCCTTTTCTGAAAGCTGAATCCAGCAGGGCATGGCCAGGTATCTGACACCAAACTCTGCTCAGCGGGTACTTGGGACATCAGGGCAGGAAGGTCCAACTTCTGTATGGCTCATTCATTCAGCCAAGGTTTGCTGAGCCCCTACAGTGAGCCAGGCCCTGTGTTAGGCACTAAGAATACACTGGTGAGCCAAACAAACGCACTCCGCACCTTCTAGGAGAGGTTATGGGTATTAAATGCACGGTACGTGGAACGAAGGAGAAGCCCCGAGTGCTGGGAGAGTGTGGACAGTCCAATAGGAGCAGGTGGCATTGTAAACTGAGGCTTGAAGGGGGAGCCGAGTGGGAGAGCAGAGGGAACTGGACCTCAGAAATGGCAGTGGGCGTGGACCCCAGGAGCCCAGAGCATCTCCGCAGCAGGAAGGAGATCGCCTCAGGCAGCCTCAACCACGCTCCCCCAAACAGTCCCAGATGGCCCCCTCTGCCCTCCCATTTTATGACAGCTTCCCAAAGGTGGTGGCCAACTCAGGTGGCGCAGGCAGGGCTCACGGGCAGGGTGAGGGCTGCAGGAAGGGGCCAGGAGGAATGAGCACCAAAGCACATGCAGGGCTGGGGGTAGTGAGGATTTCTGCACAGCAGTTGCTCAGCCTCAGCACTGCTGCACTGTGTGCTGGGTGAGTGTTGGGGGGGGCAGCAGCCTTTGCTTGGTAGGATATTTAACAGCATGTAAGGCTTCTACATGTCCCCATTAGAAGTTAGTAGCAACCCCTTCCAAGTTGTGGTGACCAAAGACGTCTCCAGGCATTGCTAACTGTTCTCTGGGGCACCAACTCACCCCTGGATCTATAGGAGGGAAAGGAGGGTCAGACTAGGGACAGCATGGGACTCCACCCTCCCAAGGTGCAGATGATCGACTTCTTGGCTAGAGGAGGGCAGTTAATGAGTTACTAAGCACAATGACTAATGATCCAGGCAGGTAAGACCTTCGGTGCTTCTCCTCTAAGATCAGCATGACCATTCATTCATTCATTGAACAAGTATATATGTAGTGCCTCCCATATGCCAGCCTACATTAGGTCCTGGAGAATGTAATATCTCCCTGAACACTCCCAACCACTCTATGGAACAACTGAGGCTCGGTGAGGTGAGGCCACTGCACCAAGCTCATGTAGCAGGAAAGGGGCAGAGCTGGCTTCCATCCAGGTCTGTCTGTCCTGGTCTATGCTCCTGTCCAGTCCTTGGGAATCAGCCTGGTAAAGCTTCTCAGCAAGCATTGCAGCTGGATGCAGAGAAACAAACCTCAGGCGGGGAACCTCTATTTCAATTAATGGGCCCATTCTTATTTGAGAAGCTGTGTCATTCAGCATAGTGGAGAGAAAGAGAGCCCGAGGCCAGCTCTGCCGCTTAGTGCCCCTGAAAGGTATTTCCATTAAACCATTGGCTCTCAGTCTTGGCTGCACAGGAGAATCTAGGGCCAGGGTCCCACTCAGACCAATAGAACCAGGACCCCTGTGGTGGGGCCTGAGCTCCCCACTGGCTCTAAAGCAGTGTGGAGCTGGGGACCAGAGAATTCACCTTCCTCAATACCCCACAGTGATCTCAATTGTGTTGAACACCTCTGTTGGCACAGGGCCTGAGATACAGATACGTGTTTGCAAAATGACTGAGTGGTAGAATGAATGAATGAACAAATGAATGAACAAATGAGACCCATTTGGGTCTTGGCTTTCTCAGTTGCAAAGTGGCACAAGGCTGCCTTCCTGTCGGGAGCTATCGGGAGGACACAGCGTGATGAGGAACGGTGACTCTGCGCCACCTCGAACTCGCCACACTATTCAATAAGGGAACTGTCCCAACCCCCACTCCCTTCTCTGCCTATTTTGTCTCAGAGCCCTTTTCATTGTCTGTCTCCCCCCACAAGAATAAAAGCTCTGGAGGGGAGAGACAGGAATTTTGTCTATTTATTCAGCTCAGTGCCTGGCACCTAGTAGGCAGTCAATTCAGTAGAGTAACAGAATGACTCGGGCTATTGGTGTCACTCTGAGGTGACAACGAAATTCAACATGTTGGCAAGCAACGAGGAGGCTGACCTCACCTTCCACCTGCCAATGTCCCCCTTCTCTGGTGATTTCCCACATGAGATGCGGCAGAAGAGCCACCCAACAGGACCAGGGCAAAGCGGCCACTGTTGCCACCAAAGACGCTTGTGGAGGAGAGATGGCTTACGAACAGTGACAATTCCAGGCAGTCGCCCACCCTGTCGGTCCTGCTTCCCCACACTCGGGACCTGAGCTCCTTCACGTTCCACCCAGTGCCCTCCATGGGCAGGCGGCACAGCGCTACCACAGTCCAAACTCCTTGTGTCTGAGCCCGCCGGCCCGAGGGGGTATCCAAGGGTGTAAACGGTGCCCCCTGATTTGATTTGTCAAATCGGTTTCCAGCCACACGGAAGCTCTTCCTTAATTTGCAAAAGACAGCCCCCCGCCCCGCCCCAGGTGAGCTGGTCCATCCCAGGGCATCTGCTGAGAGCAGGGAGCCTTGGACCCCAGGCAGGAGCCAGTCCCGTCTGTTTCCCCATCTCTCACCACCTCTGCCAGGCTCCCACCACCATGCGGAGCGAGACCACCACCAGCTGCTTTATGAGCCAGGACTGGAAAGAGACTTTCCACTCACACTTCATCCATCAGAACGTGCCGGAGCCCAGAGGGGAAGTGAGTGGGGAGAGGGAGTCCCTGGGTGTTCTCTGAGCCAGAAAATTCCATGTTTCCCCAGCTCACAGCCAGCCACGGGCTCCGATCTGGAGAAAGGGATGAGGGGGACCTGATGCTCCAAGTCCCTGTGCCACGGGGACCCTCAGAGCAAGGACAGGATGGATCTGGGAGGCCCCACAGCTGTCCAGATGAGAACCAGATGGCCCAGAGAGACGGAAGCTGTGGCCACAGCTGGGAGCCAGGGTAGAAGCTTAAGACATGGAGACCTACACCGATGTATTTACTGGAAAACTCATCAGCACTGGGAGATTTTTCTGCAAGAAGCAGCTGACCCTTGGCCTGCATTGTCCTCCTCCTGTTTCCTGGACACTTATGGTGTGCAGGCCCTGTGCTAGGCTTGGGTGAAAATAACTAAGCCAGGACGGGCTGGGGCTCTTGAACAGAGTGCAGGCTTCTGGCCTGAAGCTGTGGGTTGAGGAGGGCTTCCTGAAGTGCGCACAACTAGAGTTGCATCTGAAGGATGAGGGGCCCTGGCTGGGAAGCTGGGGAGAAATCCAGGGGCACTGTAAGCCGGAGGCACTGGGTAGGAAAAGGACAGACTTTCCCCCAAGGGCGTTTAAGGAAGTAACCCCTACCCCCAGCTTGGCTGAGGCAGGGATGGGGGTGGGGCAACATGACAACAGCTCAGAAGGTACAGAGAACTTGTTGCTTTTACAGAGTCTTTGCCACCCCCTGCAGCTTACCAGGGAGGGATGAATATTGGACTCAGAGAGGGTCTAGACTTGCCCAAGGTCACACAGCTAGGGAACAGTGCAGCTGGGAGTAGAACCCAGGTCTGACTGAACCCAGAGCCCTCTCTCGAGATTTCTCTGCTGCAGGCCCGCCCCAGGCAGTAGTGGGTCAAGGGAAGGAGGTTACTGTCTCCATCCCAGGTGGGAGGAGGCAGAGGCACTGGGAGGCACTGGGGGCCCAAGGCTGCTCGGCAGGTTGGAGGTGGAGCCAGGCTACCGCAGGCCCTTCTGGCTCTGACAAAGTTCCTTCCACCACCCTTGTACTCCTTAGGGGAGCCTCCCAGGACCAGCTGGGCCCCTCAAAGGACAACGAACCAGGGCCACTTCTTGTCATACCTCATCCACCATGGCTGGGGGGACCTTCTCCAAGCCATGGTGTTGCCCACCCCAGGCAAGCACAGGCCCTCGCAAACCTCTCTCACCTCCCGCCAGTGTTCCCTGTGCCCACAGGAGCTGGGTTGGGGCCAGGGAGAGGCGGATGGGGGTGGGGGCAGCAGCTCCCAGAGCTCCTGCCAAATGACTCGCTTACTAGGAAGCCTCCTGGGCAAGGCAAAGCTTCAAAACCAAGGTGTACCTTTCGTCCAAGAGGTCCCGGATTCCCAGGGAGCCCAGGCAAACCCATGTCGCCCTGCAAAACAGAGACAAGGGGGTGAGCTGGGGGAAGGGAGCAGGAACACTCTTTAAATTGAGAGTGTGATCTCTCACGGCCTGTTTGTAAACAGGATTCACGGAGGCCCAGAGGCCTCCGAGGAGACTGGGGGCCTCTGAGCGGGGTGAGGGCAGCCCGGTGGGCAGGCTACCCAGTCCCTCCCCACTTAACCCAGCTGCCCCATCTGATCCGTTTTCTATGTTGGGCTTTGGCATAGGGTGTCATGGAAACCGGGTCCTGCTGCTAACTATTTAAGAACCACTGTTTGAAAACCACTGCTCCAGGGGCATGTATGATATGACAGGGGCTGTCCCATTCCAATCAGCTCTCTCTCTGCCTTCTCCATCCTTGCTGGGCATGACGGTCTCCGGTAGGAGGCATTGCTGCCACCACCATGAGACCTGAGAACAGACAAGCCCTGAGCAAGAGAGAAGCCGGGGCCCCTGGACTTCATCAGACCTGGGTACCAATCCTGCTCTGCACCTGGCCAGCTGTGTGATCTCCAGCAGGCCACCCACTTTGGGGGCCTCTGTTTCCTCATCTGCAAGCTGGGCTCATCCGCCCTCGTATATGAGGTTCCCATGAGGAGCAGATGGGAGTTTGTGTGAACATTTACACTCAGGCTAATGAATGAAAAATCTTACTGGTGAGGATGGAAAGGAATGAGCCACCCATGTCTTGGGGAAATCAAGCACAGGAGGCTAGGTTGAGAAGCAGTGTTCTGCCCGTCAGGAGGACTCTTAGGCTGAGTCCAGAAGGAAGCTGGACAGACTGGAGCGTTCCCTCCAGGACGTAGAGGCCTGAGACGCTGGGGGACCTTACTTGGAGTTCTGGGTTCTCCTGTTCCCAAATGTCTGGCACTCCCTCCAGGCCCCTTGATTAGTTTACGGGGTGGGTGCTTCAGGGAAGAATGCAATCCTCCGGTCTAAGTGCTTTCTCTCCCATGGGAGAAACTCTGGTCTCCTAGCCCTGCAGAGTTCCGGAGCCCTGAACCTCTCGCCCATTCCCTTCCCACACCCTAGAAATTTACACGCATGTCTATTAACAACCTCAGAGGGCACTTTGAATGTCTTGTGGAAGCTTCCTGGTCATGTGCTACCAGGAAGCTTCTGGATGCCAAGGGTCACCTAGCAGCCCCTATAGAAAGCCTTGCAGGGCATCAGGCAAGGTGACATTCACCAAGAATGTCCTTCGGCCAAGTCTTCTGTGGGTTTTATGGCTGCAACCCAAAAGAAGACAGCAGGAAACGGCTTTGGCTTTGGTGTAGGGAGGCAGAAGGACTTCAAGGAAGAAAAAAACAAACCAGCGCTGATCTGCCCAGGCTTTCTCACTTCCCTGCATTGGTCAAGCAGCCACCTGGGAGGGCTGCCCCAGGGTGTCCCCCACTCTCCACTCCCCTGCTTCCCTGAGCTTTGGGGTCCCTGGAAACCTACCTTCGTCCCATCATGGGCCTTTCCTGGTGAGAGCCCCGGGTCCCCTTTCTGTCCCTGAAACAAAAACAATTCCGCTTTGGCTGCTGAGTCCTCCAGCGAGGATGTCTCCCCACATACTGCTCTGAGCCCTGTCCCATGCTTCAGCACCCTCCCATCCATCCCCACTCACATAACGCCCCGTTACTCCAGGCTCTAACACTGATTGCATAGCTTCCCACTGACAGCATGATGACACAGTCCAAACCCCTCCTTTGGGGTCCCAAGTCTTTGGTCATCTGGTCCCAGCCATCCTGCCCAGACTGGGCTTTCCTCCCAGAGACAGGGTCCCCTCTGCCCCTTCCGCAGACCACAGCCCATCCCTCAGCCACACTCTGCACTTCCCAGCTGTCAGGCCCTTGCTCAGGCAGTCACTCCCCCCTAGAGAACCATTCTGCAGTCATCACTAGCCAAACCATAAACACTCTTCAAGATGCAGCTTGAATGTGTCCTCCCTAGTCTGCACCCACACCCAGGTGACTGCCCCTGGGGGCTCTCTGAGAGCTTCTGAGGGACACATACAAGAGACGTGCCCAGGTCTTTTCAGTTTTCCAGTACGCTCACCTCGCCATTCTAATTATGCAGGGTCAGTGCAACACCCACTTGCATCCGTGTGCAGCCGCTCAAGAGTTTGCAAAATTCCTCACCTCACTAGAGTTCCAACAATAACTCAGTGAAGTGGGCCAGGGAGGTGTTATTGACCCTGTAACATATTCAGGAAAACTGAAGCCAGAAGAAAAGAGAAAAGACTGTCTGAGGCCCTGAATGAAGCACTGGCAGAGGTCAGATTAGAACATGAAGATGAGTCAGAACAGGCAGCAAATCCGGGAGAAACTGACAAGCAGTAGGTCCTTGGTGAGCGCCAAGCACCCTCTGTGCCTAGCATTTGGGACTGTCCCCACTGCAAAGATTCCAGCCCCTCAGAGCATGGGCTCAGAGAAGGGGCCTGCAGACAGGCACCAGCTGCATCCCCTCCAGGGCCGGAGAGAGTGTTCCTGGCGGTGGGCCTGTTCATTTGGCCCAACCTGGCTCAATTACTCAGGAAACAGCCCTTTGGAAAGCCGATCCACCCTGATGTCACCTTCCAAGAGCCCCTGCTCCCTGATTCTCACTCTCACTCCCACGCTCCCTCTCCTAGCTCAACCCTGAGTCAGAAGTCCTGGGGTGAGGCCAGGGACTCACAGCGGGACCTTAGGCAAGTCATTTCCCTTCTCTGGGCCCTACTGCCTCACCTTTAAAGTGGGGGCTGCATGGCACACACACAGAGGCATGCACACACGTGGACAGACACACACATGCATATGGGCACATGCACATGGGTACACACACATATATGCATACCTATGCACACGGGCATATGCACATACTGGTGCATACACACGCAGGTTCACACATGCACATATAGTGTATGCATATACTCACACACACATGTGCACATGGGTGTACACACACGCACACACACACAGGCACGTGCACACAGGCTCACAGATGCATACAGGTCCATACACATACAGGTGCACACAGATGCATGCACACGTGCAAACTTGTACATATGCACACACACCCGCCAGCTTTCTAGGTTTCTTGGCAAGGAGCCAGTGAAATAGTTAACGTAACACATGGGAGGGGTGGTTTGGCCAACTTCAATTAATCCCCATTTGGTTCTTTTCTTCGTCAGAACCCAGACCTTCCAAATCCTGACTCAGTCGCTCTTCACAAGAAATCACAGCATTGTGATCTGGACAGGGCCTTACAGAGGGAACAGCCCTACGCTGTCCACCCACTCCAGGCCCAGGACTGTGGCAGGCCGCCCTGTGCAGCAACTCCGTTAGTCTTCTTAACACCCACAGAATGCAACTCAGGACCAAAACTACGGTTCAGAGAGGCCGAGTCACAGCCTGGGGTGACATGCAGGTAAGAGGCAAGGTCTCACTAGGTCTGACTTATCCCGGGTCTGTTTGAGTCTACAGCTCCCTTTACACATCAGAAGCCTGGGTACTTGGCCCACACCCTCTAGTTGCCCCAGGCTGAAGGGCAGCCCCTTCCCTGCTAGGGCCTCTGTTCACCTGGGTCCCCCACGGTCACTTCTGCAGAACCCACCCTCTGGGATCTCACACAGCAGCTGCCCCTCCTAGACACCCTCCCACCCTCTGCTGCTCACGAGCCAGCTCCACTGCCTTTTTTGTCCATGGTGCAAGGCCAGGCCCAGGACTACCCAGGATTCCAATGGCCAAAAAAGGACAGCAGCTATCCCCACCCCGCCCTTGCCCACCTCAGTCTCCAGTTAGTAAAGGAGCTGGGTTTAAAAAGCTTTGGGGGTGGGCCTCCATGTATCCTACTCTGTCCTTTTGTAAAAGGGGAAGCTGAGACCCAAAGAGGGGATGAACTTGCTCCCTTGCCTGGGGTTCTTACCTAGGGCATTTTAGTTATTTATGGGATTCTCTCTGCATTCTCGGCAGCAGCTCAGTGCTTGAGATCTGGCCTGAGGACAACATCCACAAGTACAGACCCTTAGGGACCGTCTACCTTGAGCCAAGTCTGGCAGTGACTACAGGGAATACCACAGTGGGGACAGGACACAGGGCTTGTCCATGGGAAGATCTTGAGGGGGAAACCAGACAGACAGGTAATAATAATAATAAGCCTATGAGGTAGCACCTATCACTATCCCCATTTCACATATGAGGACACTAAGGCCCAGAGAAGATAAGTAACTTTTATAAGGTCACACAATTAATAAATACGGGTAAGACTCAGGCAGCCTGGTTTCAAAGCCCAAGCTCTTTACATTTCAAAGCACTGCAGACAACAAGCAAAGCCCAGAAGAAAGCTGAGGAAAACTGAGGGTAAATCCCTAACTAACAGGAGTTACCGCTGAGCAAAGGGTGGAGGAAGACAAGGAGGAAAGCCAATGAAGTTAAAGCTCAAGAAATGCTCCAGGCACCTTGGTCAGGTAAAGGTGTAAATTCCCAGATAGACAAAGCTATTCAGCTCCCCAGTCATTCTCCTACAAATTCCCCAGTAAGAGATATAAGGAATGTAAAAACTTTAATTAATTGTTTGCACCCTAGTGAGGACAAGATCTGGTTGCCAAACCCAGCACTCCAGCCAATGAGCCTGTGTGATCTTGGGCAAACCACTCTTCCTCCCTGCATAGGGAACAATAGGCTGCTTAGACTAGTTAACAAAGCCTTACACAACTAGAAGATGGATGGGAAAGGTGTACTGTAAACCATAAATGCTACAAACATAGTGGGAATGAGAACTATGTTGAGATCCTGTCCTACAGGTAGGGTTGGGAAGTGAAAAGATCTGGCCCCAGCCCTGGAACATCCTCTGAAGAGTCACAGGACTTCTTACTATCATTACTACTGTACTATTTCATGTGATTAGACGTTCTGGCCCATGCAATAAAGCAGGAAAAACAAATAAGACTACTAACCATTGAAGAAAAGGAAACAAAACATCCCTCCACAGCTCAAAACTGGACATGCATGCCCAGGGTGCATCTTAGAACCTCATATCCCTAGTCAGACATTCAAGGCCCTCCCTCTCCAGCACCAAATGACTTTTCCTCCTACTTCTTTTGAGGGCTCTAGGTTCTCGATGTCCTTCCTCCCCAGTCCCTCCCAACCAGAAATAAACTCCGAACTCCTCATTGTGTCCCCAGCCTGGCACAAGGCCTGGCACTCAGGAGGTGCTCAGGGAGTACCTGTGGCCCAGTATGGATCCTCTGCAATGACCCTAGCAACCTCCCATCAGGAGCCCCTAGAAAGCACCCCAAATATGGACCTAATTTCAGCCCTCACTCCATGGCCCAATCTCCAGATCCCACAGAAAATACTCACTTTGGCTCCAGGAGGGCCAGGTAGGCCTGGATTTCCATGAGGCCCAGGAGGACCCTGACAGGAAAAAGAAACACAGAAGTGAGGGGGAAAAGGGGCCATTTCACTTCCTACAGCAGTGCCAGTGGGTTCTTTCTGCCCACTGGGTCCTCTCCCTTCTCCAAGTCTGAGCACTGTTGTGATAGTGGCCCTCTGTTAGGGAGGGCCCCCTGGATGCCGGGCCCTGTGCTAAGCACTTTCCACTCATTATCTCATTTTCTTCATTAACCCACAAGATAGGTGCCATCACTACGCCTATTCTGAAGATGAGGAAATTGGTGTTCAGAGGTTTATAATCCTATCAGGTCTGGCCAGCTGCTCAGGGGTAGAGCTAGATCTCATCTTCAGATGTGATTCCAGAGCACAAGCACTTAGCAGTGGAACTGGCCACCTTTTTACACTCTCTCCAGCTGGCCACATCGGCCCTTCCCAGCTGACTTCCTCGGGCTCAAGCACACTTAGCTGTGTGCTTCCCCACTCCACCCCAGTACTTTCTCCCCTCACCGCCTTTGCCATGCTGTTCCAATCATCTGGCATGTGTATCCCATCCATCCCCTCCAGCTGAAACACAGCCCATCCTTTAAGACTTGGCTCAAATGCCACCTCCTCTGGGGAATCTTCCACCATTCAGACTCCTGCTGGACTGTTTTATGAGCCCTCGGAGTTCAGCGTTCAATGAAGGGGACACGTGGCCTCTCTGTACAAAAGGCACAGCCCTCCTGTGGTTACAACACGTAGTCAGAGCTCTCCCTTGGATTCCTACAGGCCCTGTACTTACACGGTCCACGAGGGCCCATGGAACAGCTGGGAAGCCTGGGCCCAGAGAGTCAAAGAGTCTTGGCCAACACCACACAGGAGAATAGCGGCCAAATGAGGGCCGGAACCAGGCCTGTTGGCTTCCAGTCCAGGGCTTATTCATGGCACTGGCTTTTCCCAGGCCACTATGCTACAACAGCTGGACCCAGCTATGTCCACTTTCTCCAGCAAGGGCCCTGGACTACAGCCTTGTAGCCCAGTAATAAAAACAAAGCCCCGGGAGTCAGGTAATTCCTGAGGGTCTCTGTCCAATAGGCATAACCTGGGACCTTGGAGGTGGGGAGAAGCCCCTCAAAAGGCCCCATGGTGCCCCCACCACACCAGCCTCCAGACACACTGCCCTTGTCCCTGGCTGGCCCTTCTTGACCCATCTGGCTGGCTGTGTATGAACTTGCTGCCTTCCTCCCTCTCCGACACCAACTTCCCAGCTGCAGCCTGTCATATTCCAACCAAGGAACCTCCTTCTTCCTCGATGCCTGAACCGGAACCCTCCCCTTCTCTGAAAACATCTAGAAAGTACAGTGTTCAGAAGCTCACTAAGCCTGGGGTATTTATAATGGTGTCACGGGTGACCTTCCCACTAAAACAATCCACCTCCCTGCCCCTCCCAGCATCCCACTGTCTGCTGGCACAGGGCTATAACTGGGAAGTGTCAAGACCTGAAACCACTTCTAAGCCTTCCTGCCCCCAGCCTCAGTTTCCCGTCTGTCCTGTTAAGGACTGAAACGTGGTGGTCTCTATGGAACCTGGAAGACCTCAGATGTTCATCCCAGCCCAGGCTCCTGGGGTCTAATCCCAGAGCTCAGCCTGAACTGGACAAAGTTTAAGCAGAGATGTTTGAGGAGGGGCCCTTGACCAACACCCCAGAACCCGGAGTGGGCTGTGCAAAGTCAAGGGTGGCCACTTCCCAGTCCGGCCCCTAGCTGTTCCAAAGATGGTGGGCTGGAGCACTCAGCTACCCCCTCTGCAGCTCATGAAGGTGGGGGCTTCCTGCTTCCCTGCCCCCACCTCCCTACCCCTCTCCAGCCACTGCCTTTCAGTGAAACGAAGCACATAGTTGAGTGGTAGCCAAGCAGACCGATTCTATAAAAGCTGCAGCTCAGAAAGGCCGGTGGGGGCAGGGCCCAGGGATTTCCCAATGTCCCTCCCTCGATAGGCTGATGGGCTGCAGGAGTATGTGAAGGTGGGAAGGGGCAGGCCACTGGCCTCAGATGAGGCCCCACCCCGCCCTAAGCCCCAGAGCTACCATCTGCAAAGGAGCTGGGATTGCTTTATCCCACCATTCTATTATCTTTGGAATTTTATGATCTATGGAATTTCCAGTCTAGAAACAGGATGGGAGGGTGGGGGGAGGCGTGCAGGCTGCAGCACACAGAAAGACAGAAGGATGTCAGGAGGGTCCTCCACTCACTTGTGGAATTTCAGAGCTGGGAGGAACCTCAGGAATGCCTTACTAGGAGCCCATGTTTTATAGATGGGGAAACTAAGGCCCAAAGAAGGAAAAGGACTTGGCTAAAATCACACGACTTCTTTGTGGAACTGTTCGTGACTCTCAGGCTAGAACTCATGAGCAACCACTCACCCAGCACCTGCTGCATGCAGGGCACTCTACGGGGTGCTGGGTCAGACAAAGAAGTAAGCAGGGCCTGTACCCGGCCCAGAGCAGCTCAGCCGAATACATAGAAAATTAGCACCTAGATGGTTAAGACCGTAGGCTCTGGAGTCAGACTGTCTGGGTTGAATCTTGGCTTTGGCATTTACTTTATGTTTGACTTTATCCAAAGTAACTGAACCTTTCTGAGCTTCAGTTTCCTCACCTGTAAAATGTGGATAATATTGGAACCTATTCTCAGGGTGGCTGTGAAGATGGAAGGAGATCACACATATACAGCTCCATGCACAGAGTCCGGCAGCTGATGGGAGTTTTAGAAAGTGACCTGTGCCTCCCAGAGAGCCAGATAAAGCGCTGCAGGAGCCTCGAGAAGGGGCGGTCATCAGAAAAAGGGCCAGCGTCTGTTCTGAGCCATGGATGGAGGACGAGTTCACAGAAGAGGGTGTACCAGGCCGACAGGACAGCCTGAGCAACGGCTCAGGGATGGAGGGCTCAGGAAGAGTGTGGGGGCATGGGCAGACTGTCTGGGCCTCGAATGCCAGGTCAAAGGGCCTCATCCTGCTCCCAGGCTGCAAGGTCAAGGTCAGTGATGTCCATGACACCTCTGTGGTTCTAAGCTCTGGGCACATGCTCCATGGAGATTCTAAATGCAGGTGGAAGCACTACTGCTGACGGCAGACTCCAGAGACCCAGGCCTGGGAGACCAGAGCCAGGTCTAGAGGGAACTAGGGCTCGAGTAATTGCATAACCAGAACCAGCCACTGGGCTCCGAGCTAAAAATATGCCCCAGGCATCTGTTATTGCCAGGGCCTCACCAGGCACCCAGCGTGGGAAAGGCTGATTCAGCCTGGGCACAGATGCCAGGCGCCATGGGTCTGAGTCCTCTTGGGAAAGGTGCAGACTTCCCTCCGGGAGGGAGGGGTCCCAGCATAGGGTTAAGAGCCTGGGTTCCAGTCCTAGCTCTTCCATTTATTAGATGCTTGGTCTCTTCACCCCTAAAGGAGAATGATCATACTGACCCATGGGGGTTCTGGGGAAGAGGGCATCAAACGAGATGGCAGTGAGTGACGTGCCAGGCACACAGGAGCTGTTCTTCACTCAGAGGCTCAGGCTAGCTCACAGCAGCCACCTCAGCCCTGCCAAGCCCTCCTCTAGCCTCCGCCGAACCTCTCAGTGCAGGGAGCTCGCCTACTCCCGGGCACAGCCCATCCAGCTGCCTAGGTCAGCATCCCTACCCCAGGATGGTCCGCAGATATGCAAAGTTGAATGCAAGGGTCTTGTCCTCCCAAGTCACCTTTTTTCCTGGACATACACCAAGATCCATCGACTTGGGGGTGTGGTCTGCAGAAATCCCCTCTCCATCCCAGGCTCCAAGAGTCATACCCACAATGGACAACTGACCCCCTGTGAGAGGTCACCGGTGTCCTATGCCAGGCCTGTGTACACATTTCCCCTAAGAGCCCTAAGTCAACTCCACAGGACAAAGTGGAAAATGAGTACCAGAGTGGGGCGCGGGACAGCTCGAGGTCACACAGCAAAGCTGGGACAGGAGGGGCATGCAGGCCTGGGAGCCAACCACAGCTCAAAGGATGGTGAATGATCACTTACCCGAGGCCCCCGTGCACCGGGGGGTCCAGGGAGCCCAGGCAGCCCAGGGGGACCCTGAAGGGAAAGCAAGACAGTGTCAGTGCCAGCGGCATGATGAGAATGGGTTAAGCATTCATTCAACAAACCTGTCCAAGAGCTCCACACACAATGTGAAGAGAGGGCTTCCCCCACATCCCTGCCTGAGGAACTCAGGCCCTTGGGGACTTCCAGGTCTTTGCAGCTGCTGCTATTTCTGTCTTCAAAGCTCTCATCTTTCATTACTCAGCTAACTTAGGATGTCACCTCCTCCAAGAAACCTTCCCTGATCACTCTTCCAATTTAGGCCAAGTTCCCCTCTTTCTCTCTACCTTAAAGACCTCTGTATTATTCATGGAATTGTCTGCTCAGAAGCCTGTCTCTCCCACCAGACCATAGTCTCCTCAAAGGAACTAATAGGATGTGAGTCATCTCTCTCCTCTCCCAAGGCTCAGCCAAATGTTTGATAAAATAAAACAGCAACAGACCTCAGAGCTCAGCCAAGTTCTCTGCAGAGCCAGAGCCCAGAAGGGACTTGCCCACAGTCACACCAAGCATCTCTGCACCACGGGGATGCAGTGCAGCATAAAGGGCATAAGGATCCGACAGGCCTGGGTTCAAATCCCAGTGCTACCGTTTACCAGCTAGGTTCGGGCAAGTGCCTATAAATGGGGACCCTCCTCACAGTATTATCTCTAGGATTAAATGTGAGATGGTAGATGTGTAACACAGTACCTGGCAAATAATTGTCACTCAGAGGTCTCAGCTGTTTCAGCGGCCACAGCCTGGACCAGCCTTCGTCACTGCTCCCCGGGAACCTGCAGCAGCCCCTCCATTTGTCTCCCGGCCTCTGCCCTCTGAGCTTTCCAGTGCTCCACACAGCCTGGTTCACATTCCTAAGGCGTTCCCCTGCTCAACAGCATTTAACTGCTGCCCATTTCCCATAAGAGAAGGGTCTCACCCTGCAACGCGGCGTTCAGGGGGCACCTGTCTGGCCTCACCTTTCCTCCATCCAGGAAGGGTGGCAGCTGAGCTGACATACTGAACCACGCACTGGCCTTTGTTCAAACCTGGGTTTTGCCCCTCGAGAGCTGGAGACTTGGTGCAAGCCTTTCAGCCTGCCTGTTTTCCGCTGCACCCCTTCAGGATGAGCTCAAGAGCTCCAGCCCCGCCTCCCCCGAAGGAGTAAACGAGCAAGAACCGAGTGCCTGATCTGAACAACTGAACATGGAGCCTTCGAAGGGAGCCAGGCTTTCGAGGATGTGTGAGGCCTGGGGAATTCATTTGTTTCAAATAACCATCAACAGCAGAGATTCCAGGTTTCCTGCCCAGAGTTAAAATCAGTGTTGAAAACCCAGTACGGTTTGGCTGGTAATTAATCCAGACCTCACGCTGGGCAGCCTCGGCTCACAGTTCTGGCCAGTGAACACCACGTGCTTGCTCACCCATGAGTAAAAATCAAGAGAGAGATAGAGATGGGCAGATATGGGTAACAAGGCCCCAGGGTCCCTGAAAAGGGCCCCAGGGGGAGGGAAGGGGACCCCTGTGTGACTTCAGGCAACTTCCAGCCACCTCTGGGCCTCCAGTCCAGCCGGCCATTGGCAGCCATCTCCCATGCAGAGCCCAGGGGCTAGGGGGAGGGTCTCTAGTCCTGGTCCAGTTCTGCAGGTTTGGGATCCAGGGCCAGTGTGCACCCTGCTGTCCCCAGGGAGCAGTCGAGTACGGTGAAAGGGTGTAAGGCTAGCACCCTGGGCTCACACTCGGGCAGCCCTCCTTCCCAGCTGTGTGGCTTTGGGCGAGCAACTTCCAGTCTCCAAGGCTTCATTCTTTAACTGTAAAATAGGATATAATAGCATCTAGCGGACAGATAATCTACAAAAAGTGGTAATCCTGGTGCTTGGTACACAGTGAGTGCCCAAAAGTTAGCTGTTGTTTCTGTTAAGCAAGCTGCTGGAACCTCCCCAGCGTGATATTTTAAGCCACCCTCCTCGACATCTGTTTTTCAGGAAGAACAGAAGATTTCCCTTCCTAGAAGGCCTTGCTTGGCCCTATTCTTTCATGTGGCCCAGAATTAAAGGGAAATGCAAGGGCCTTAAGGCCAAGCATCACTGTAGGTATTGTTATCATCACCAAGCCCCTTTAACAGATGAGAAACCAAAAAGAGGCGCAGAGAGGCAACATGACTTGCCCAAGTCTGCACAGTGAACAGGCAAGGCCTGGATTTAACCCAAAACCGTTTGACATGTTCTCCTACCCTGGGCAACTTCCACAGAGAAAATCCGGGCCAGGTGTATTCTGACTAGCTGTACAAACTTGGATAATTCGCTTCCCTTCTGTGGGCATCTGTAAAATGAACATTCGGGAAGCATCCCAACATTGGCACTTCCTGAACTGCGGGGTGGTGGGGATTCCCTCCTCCAGTTATCTGGTGGGAGAGGAAAAGGGAAGTCATGTCCATGTCACAGAAAAGAAGGCCAAGGCCCAGGGAGTGCGGGGCTTGTGCAGGGCTCCAGGAAGGGACGAGCTCTGTGGCCGGAGCTCCCTCGTGACCCCGGAGGGCTGCCACTGCAGAGGGCCTGGACACTCCCTCTTGGCGTTTCTTCTGCCTCAGAAACGGGGGCATCCAAGCTGAAATCTGACCTCATCCACAACATCTGCGGAGCAGACACCCAGTGCCAGCTGGGACCCACGGCCCGGCCTGGTGATGTCAGTGCACAGCCCGGCTCCTTGACACGGCAGCCCAGCCCCACAGCTGCAGCCCCGGCCGGCCCTCCTCTACCACACTGGGCCGGGGCCGCTGGGCGCCCGGCTGCAGCCAGGGGCCCGGCCCTTCCCCACTCTGCGACCACTTTGTCAGTGGGCAAGTGAGAGCGGGCGACCCCTCACCCCTGATCCAAAACCTTGCCTGTTCTCCGTGCAATGGAAAAACGCTGCCGTTTCTTTCCAGGGCCCAAAGCCTGAGCGGGTGACTCTGGGATGATTCACAAGGCCGGGGTGGGATTTTCCACTCCACGCTGCAAACAACGGGGCCTCTGAGAGGGCCCAGGGCTCGGGGGGAGGGAGCGGGGGCCGCAGGCCTATCTGGGGGAAGAGGCCTGGACTCAGGGCTCAGGAAAACAGAGCCATGGAAACAGCCAAGCCCCCACCCTGGGCTTTCCCCATGGGTCCTGGCCTCTGACAGCCAGACCTAGGGGAACCCCATCCCACGCAACAAGTCCACCCTTGTGTCCAGCTGCAAGAGCCCGCCTGCCAAGCCTCGCAGAAAGAGGTCCTGGCTGGCATGGCCCCTGGCAGCAAGCAAGGAGAGGTTTCACAGGCCTGGGATCTGGGAGACCTGAGTCCAGTCCTGAGGGGGCTGCTAACAGCCGGGTGACCCCGCACAGTGAGCTTTCAGTCTCTGGACCTCTGTTCAGTGCCCATAGCCCGAGGGCAGGAAGGCAGGGGATCTCAAAGGGCCTTCCTATCTGACATCAGAGCTCATGATGATTCCCAAGAACGGCCCACAGGGTGCTGAGCCTGCCCCAGTCTCTGCCTAAGGGAAGGGCGTGCTGGGACAGGGCTACTCTGTATGGCCGTGAGCAAGTTCCTTCATCTCCTTGCGCCTCCGGGCCTCAGTTTGTCCAGCTGTAAAATGGGATGTAATACTCATCTTCCAAGACAATGTCTGTGTGCTGGTTATTCTCCGTTTGCTCCCAAGATCCGCCCTGTGCCCTGGGGAGCTGGCCTCTGCAGGCTGCACCCCCAGGCTTCCTTGCTCTCTGCCCCTGGCTGAGGTTGGCCAAGGGGAGGCCACTGCAGACACAGAGAGTGGGGAGGAGATTTCTCTCCCTGCTCCCTCCCTGCTGGGCTATAGTTTGGCCCCTGCTCCTGTCAGAGACCCCTGGTCATCTTTTAACTCTCCTGGGCTCTGGTAACACTTGCCTCTCCCCTTGCACCTTCAGGTCGGACCCCTGTGTGATGCCAGACCCTTTGGTTCCTTCGATGCTGCCCACAGCTCTGTAAATAGTCCCTTCCTTAAACTCTCCTCAATGACCCTCTTCCCTGTTTGGAGTCGCAGGATACAGCATGCAAACTGCTTAGCACAGACCTGGCTGGGGTAGCTCAGTGCACTGAGTGCAGGCCTGCAAACCAAAGGATTGCCGGTTCGATTCCCAGTCAGGGTACATGGGTTGCAGTCCAGGCTCCCAGTAGGGGGTGCTCAAGAGGTAACACATTGATGTTTCTCTCCCTCTCTTTCTCCTTCCTTTCCCCTCTCTCTAAAACTAAATTTAAAAAAAAAAACTGCTTAGCACAAAACCTGGCACACAGTAGGAGCTCAAAAGCACTATGGTAAAGAAAGCAAAACACCCCTCCACTCTCCTGGGTTCTAGGTGATACTGGTGTAAGGGGCGCATTTCCCAAGATCTAGTCCCAATTCCTAACTGCCAGCAGCACAAAGGTCCTCCTGTATCCAAACCCTCCTGGTTCTCTCAATGCAACGACACCCCCACAACAACCCGCCGGGACTCAATTTCTGGTGCTGGGTGCTCTATGCGCCTCTTCTCATCCCAGCCACACAGCCACCCTGGAAAGGTAGGTGGTACCACCTCCCCATTTTACAGAGGCGGAAATCAAAGCTCGGAGAGGTTAAGTGACCTGCCAAAGGTCACACGGCACCTGACACCCAGAAGGCACTCAATCAGTGTTTGTTGAAAGAAGGGAAGGATGGCCAGATAAGGGAATGGTTCAAACCCAGGTCATTCCAAGTCTAAAGTCTGTGGGGCGCTTACACTCCACACGGCCTCCTTATCCCACCAGCACCAGAGAGCTGTGTAACCTCAAGGAACCCGGCCTGGGAAGTCAGGACAACCTGTTTTTTGTAAGGATCAAATTCCTTCATTCACAGATAGTTATGGAGCGTCTGCTGTGGGCCAGGCCCTCAGCTGGGTCTCCCTGAGGTGACGCCTGCAAGAAGTGCATGCGCGTGCAAATGCCAGCGGCCTGATCGTGAATAAATAAGGCCTTGACTCGCCTCCTCCCAGGCGTGGGGCTTCTGTGCGGCTTCTGTGCAGCCTCTGTGAACCACAGCCTCCCCGCCCCTCCCCAGCCTGGGCCCAGCTCAGCTTTTCCATGCTCCCCCCGCTCCTGGGGCTCCCACAGAGCTTCCCCGCTCAGTGGCTACAACTCCTGGCAGGCCCAGGCCCAGAGCTCTGTCTCAGCCTCAGCTGGTCTATCCCATGCCCCCTCGAGAAGCATGTAGAACCGTTCAGACACAGCCATGGCTCCCCTCTCGGACTCTGAAAGGACCCACAGCCATTCCTAAGAATGGAGCTCTTCCAATGTCGTGTCATGAGGGTAGACAACCTCAGAGAGAGGAAAGAAGTTCCCCAAGTCACCCAGCAAACCAGACCTCCAAGGCAGCCTTGGAGATCATCCAACTTGCTTCCTCACAGGAGCTGAGAGCTGCTGTCTTACGTTCTGCAGAGACCGGGGGCTGAGGGCAAGTCAGGGCAGCAGAGCTAATACGTAGTGGGGCCGAGATTCGAACCCAGGACTGCATGTTCCCAGCCTGGGGACAATTAAGCCCCATGCCCCAGGCAACACAGCTCTTGCTTTGCTGGGATTAGATTTTGAATGTATATGGGGGTTGAGGGCAGATGACAGAGGACAGAAGAAACATGTGTTCTTGCCACCACTTAAAGATGCCACTTTGATTTCATAATATCTGGTATCTGGTGAAATACAAATTACCAGCATGTCCCCTGTCACACAGAGAACTGAACAAAGCTTCTAGATTCCTATTGGAATGAGGCTAGCTTCCAAGCTGAGGGAGGGCAGAATTAGGGAGCAGTGGGGGGCAGGAGGCAGGACGCCCCCTGGGTGGACTGCTGTCCTCCCTCTCACCCTCACCCGTTCAGGGCTGGAGGGTTAGGGACAGCCGTGGCCGTTGTTGGAAGCTGGGGACCTGGAGGTGCATCCCAGCCCCTGCAGGGACATGCTGGGTGCCCTTGGGCAAGCCTTACGTCCCTCTAACCCTTGTGCCCTCATCTGTAGAGGAGGGATTAACACACTCATCCTGCCCCTCCAGCACCAGCTCCTGTGAGGTCCTAGAGGGAAATACCACACATGTGGAAGTAGCCCACAAACTTCACAGGGATAGAAACAGAAGGTTCTAGATTTTGAGCTCTTCCTTTGAGGCCCAAGGCAGGGACTAACACATCTCTGAAACCCCCAGCCTCCCATCTCTGGATCCAGAGTCTCAGAGTGGACATTCATGGGGTGGGATGTAGTGTCCTGCAGTCCGGAGCTGGGCCATAAACTTCAACTCTGCCTTCCATGTGCTGTGCACCCTTGGGCAAGTCCTGGCCCTCTCTGGGCACAGCCTCTAAGTTCCACCCCTGCCCACTGAGGAGGGTTGAACTGAATGATGCCTAAGCACCATCCACTGCACAGGACAACTCCAGCACCTTCTTCTATCACGGGGAAGCCCAAGGAGGAGACGTGGAAGGAGGCTTCACCTCCTGCTGACCCACACTGCCAAACCAGGAGGGAAGAGGGAGGCTCAGGCATCTGCCAGACCCGAAGGCAGAGTCTACACCCCTACGATCCATTCTTGTTGCAGTTCTGTTGGCTTGGACAAGGCTCTCCTCCCTCCGCACCACACACAGCTCGGGAGGCAGGGCTGGCTTCCTCTGCTAGGCAGAGTGGAGTCCCTGAATCTTACTCCACTGTCAAAGGGAGAATATTCACCCCCTTTCACCTGCACAGCCAGTGAGCTAGCACCCGTGCAGCTTGGGGACCTGAGCTATCAGGGCCCCAGGCACCCAGCGCCTGAGTTGTCAGCATAGCCTGGAGGGTCTGTCCTGTCCTCAGCTCCCAACTCTCTCTCCTGCCAATTGCAGACCACAGGGACTTGAGCAGAACGTTGACATAACTGCCAAGCAATGCACACAATTTCCATAAGTTCTACAATATGGTTATAATAAAAACGGTGCCTCGGTCCTCCTGGAGACAGCCTGAATAAATATTATTCCTAATGATTATTAAAATGTATTAAGTGTGTTTGTAAGGTCCAGGAACTCCCAGCATCTGCCACTGTCTCCACGTTGCAGGGAACACGCAAACACAGAGCCCACAAGGAGGAAGCCGCACGGTGGCCATCACCAAGGCGGGAGGACAGAGCTGAGGCCCAGGCTTCCTGGAAACTCCATCCCACCATTTCTCTGGCTGCGGGAACAGGCCTCTGGCTGCAGAAAGGTCGTTGCTCCTGGAGACCATCCCAGGCAAGCTGGAGGCACTGACCCTGAGAATGTCTGCTGCACGTGGAACATTCCTTCTCCTTTCCCTGACTGCCGGGGTCCAACTGACCCTCCTTACCCCGCACCCCCCTACCAGGGGCCACCAATTGAACATCTGCAGGATCCAGGCCGGCGACACCGACGGGTGGAAGGGCCGGGTCGGAAAGCCCAGTCGGGAGACGAGGGGACTGGCGCAGAGAGCAGCGGACCTGTCCCGTCTAAAGGGGCAGCCCTGACCTGGCCGCCGGCCACAGGCCATGGCATCTCTACCACTTCCAAGAGATTTCTTTTGTAAGAAATCTCTCGTATTTTAAAAATGTTAGTTAACGTATTAAATATTTTTAAACAAGGTTGCATGTGCCAAACAAAACACACTCAGGACTACCCCCGTGGGACCGTCGTCCGAGACTACCAGGCAAGCTGCTGGGCCCAGGAGCTGGACCTCGGAGGCTGCGTGACTCAGGGCCGGTTCATGTTTTTCCTCAAGCCACTTGACCTTTACAGTTGGAGTAGCCAAGGATGACCTGGGGCCTGGGCCAACTAAAGCCCAAGGGTGCTCTTTACCTGAGCTGAGCCCGGCTCAGAGGATCACGAACACAGGGGACTTACAATCACAAACATAGCAGAGGTGGAGGAGTGGGGGACCCGGGTTCGCATCCCGACCCTGCTCATAGCCAGTTCCCCACTCTAAGGATCTTCTCTTCCTCTGCCCTTACCAGAGACAACCCACTTGACCCAAACCGCCCCCATTACCCACTAGAGCCCCAAGCAGCACGCACCCCTCACCCAGTCTTACCGGCAAACCACAGTCTCCCTTGGGCCCTGGAGGCCCCATCAGCAGCGGGAAAGGCGTGGGCCCCACCAGGTGGAAGAGCGAATAGCCAGTGCTTGTGGGCCAGGGGCTAGAGGACAGGAATCGCGCTGGGACCAACACCGGGGCCGGGGTGCTCTGCTGGCCAGGCCGGGGCTGTCTGGGGCTGGGCCGCATCGTCGGATCACGGACGGGGTCATCCCTGGCTGGCTTCCCGGCTCGGAAGGGGAAGGGCTTCCGGGGGCTGCTCTTGGGTCTGGCTTTCTTTGTGTCTTCTAATCCAGTGGGTTTCTTGCTTCCAGAGGGGACTGAACCAGGAGTGAGTGTAGGAGGCATCACTGTGGCTAGTGGCCGAGTGGTCCTGGTAGAGCCAGGACTGGAGGCAGGTGATGGGGGCGAAACAGTGGGCTGGGGAGGTCGGTGCGTGCTGGTGCGTGCAGGAGCCGGCTCACCAGCACGACTGCTCATCTTGGCCTTTGTCCGGTCTGTTGGGGGAAAGGGCTTTTGAGAAGCACCAGTGACAGGGGACAGGGGCCGGGCGCTGGGTGGTGGGGGTCTGGGCGTGACAGGGTTCCTCTGGACCGGCTTCACTGAGGGATGGGACACTTTGGCAGGAGCTGAGTGTAAAGTTGGTGGCACTGGCTTCTTGGTGGGAGGGGCTGATTTTGTGAAAGGTGGAGCTGCCTTCTGGGTGGGGCGAGGGCTTTTGACAGGGGGAATTGAAGGAGAAGGGGCCGAAGGCTTGACTGGGTGGCTTTTGGGGATTTTGGTGGCTGCGCTCTTTTGCAGTGGCTGGACAGGCGTGGTGGGGCTGGCAGGAGAGGCTCGGGGCACGGGAGGAAGCACTTCGCTCGCTGACAGCTTGGCAGGCGGCAGTGGGGTCCGGGCTCGTTCCCGCACTGAGACAGGCTTGTGAGGGTTTGTGTTGCTGGTCCTTAGGGGCTTGCTGCGTGTGGCGGGCACCACAGTCACCCTGCCCGCTGGCCGTGACTCCAGGGCTGGCATGGCAGTGGTCAGGTTCTCCAGGCCCAGCAGGGCAAGGTCGGTCTGGAAGGCGAGGGGTGCACCAGGGTCTTGGGGGAGAAGGGGCCCCAGCTGGGGCCGGTACATGTCAGCCTGTCCACACTGCTTTCTCAGGTGGGTACAGTAATTGTGAGCGACCTGCGTCACAGGGTAGATACTGAACTGGCACACAGCACCTTCAAACTGGACCGCATGCGGGCTCATCTTTCCAAAGAGGAAGGAGCCCTCCGGGTCGAGCACCGGGTCCCTGTGGAAGCCCAGCGGGATGGACACCCGGCGCTGCCCACAGGCCGTCACCAGGGTGACCGTGCGGCTGCGGAGCTCCAGGGCTAGGTGGTGCCAGCGCCCATCGTGCACGTCCAGGTCGAAGGCCACAGAGCGCCGGGGCCCCAGGTGGACGACCGTCTGGCCGGGGAGGAACTGCAGGCCCAGCTGCAGCTTGTGCTTCCGGCTGCGGACGGCGAAGAGGAAGGCATGGTTCACCCGATGGGAGCAGAGGCTCAGCACCAGCGCCAGCTCTGTGCCCAGAGAGGTCGGGATGACAGCGGTCGTGGGGGCCTGGAGCCGGGCCCGCTGTGTAACGATGAAGCCTGACTGGAACGGGATGACCCCCGGGGGTGGGGGGCTCCGGCCACCCACTGCCTTGGTCCAGCTGAGGCCCAGCCGCTGGAGGACATCCACATCTGGAGAGGGCGGGCACAGAGGGAGAGGGCACAGTCAGGGTCTGCTCCAGTCCCAGCCCCCTCCCAGTGCACAGGCAGTGAGGCCAGACCACTGACCACCACCTGCTGCCCCCTGGTTGATGGCTGTGGCCGAGACTGCCGAGTTGGAACCAGTCCCTTGTCTTGCACAGAGTAGTTAAAAAAAACAGACTCTGGAGCCAAACTTCCTGAGTTCAAATCCCAGCTTCATCACTCACTAGTCTTATGCCTTTAGTGCCTTTGTTTTCCCATCTATCAAATGGGATAACAATCATCCCAAACTCAGAAGGATGTTGTGAGGAATGCCAGCACAAAAACACACATTTCCAAACAATAGCTATTACTATTAAAAGTGACGATCATCACCCAGTGCTAGTGCTAAGAATATTAGAGGCTGTCCCCTGTGACCTGTCCCCGCCCCCACCTCAAAAGCCATCTCCTCCAGGCAGCAGTCCCATGAGTGAGGGAGCAGGGTGACAGGAATGGACATGTCACTGGAGCTTGGAAAGGATGTCCACCTTTAGGAACCTACTGAGTCCCCGCCCCACTGCCAAGGTCTCTGTCTGGCCACAGCAGGCCCAGGGGAGCTTCTATGTACACAGAAGGGAGAGGACAGTTCCAATGACTCTCCCTGGGTGGCCTTGGAGAAAGGAGAGGAAGTCATCCAGGCATCCAGGAAGTCATCCATCCCTGCAACCTCTGTCCTCTGGCAGAACACGGCCTGGCCAGGTCACATCCGCCCAGTAATGACAGCGGCAGGGCTAGCCCCAGCGAGAGGAGTGCTTCCATGGTGTTTGTGGAAAGGCGGCCTGACCTTGCCTCTCACCAGCCGTTCAACCGCCGAGCCACCAGGGCCTGCAGAAGCTGGCTCTGAGCTGGCGGTCTCGGCAGGCAAAGAGAGGCTGCCACAGGACCTGGGGTCTGGGTCAGGTCCCCGGGTCCCCTCCCCTGAGCTCCCCACCCTAGCCCCTGAGTGTGGAATGCCCTCTCCCTGACAACCCGGAGTGAGGGGTGTGCACCGGGCTCAGTGCGGCACTTAGCACTGAGTAGTCCCTCCACTGACAACAGAGATGATGGACAGCTAGACGGGCGGGGAGAAACTGAGAACATAGGTGCTGGCCTCACGGCGGCACAGCAGGCTCAGAAGGCCCAACTTTAGACCCAGGTAAGACCACCTGAGTCTGGGCCCTGAGTCTCAGCTTCCCCCGCTGTAAAACAGGGCTACAAAGAGTGGCTGCATCATAGGGCCGCTGGGAGACGAAATGGTGGTCTTCCTCATCTCCACGACTCGGCCTGTACCAGGACCCTCGGGCCAAGGCTCTCCCTGACTCCCAGGCCTCGGTTTCCCTGCCTGTAAGACAAGCCACAAAGGGCTAACTCCATCCGAAGAGCTCTGTAGCTGCAGGCCGCTCTTTCAGTTGGACTGAAGACCTTTATTCCTCCCTAGGACCCTAAGGCCCTCATTTCACTTCAGATTCCTCCTTGTCCCCCACCTTTTCTGCCTGCAGATCCTAAGCTAAAGTAAACCATTGCTTAAGGACTCTCAGAGTAGTAGTGTATTTTGTGCAGTTAAGCACTGGAAACCTCTTTGTTATCTCCAAGAGCTACTCACTATAAACAACTTAGAATGGAGGAGCCATTTGTTGGGGAAGAGGTAAGGGCAGGAAGCCACCCGTCCCTTCCCTTGTGCCACCTCAGCAGCCCCAGGCAGACCCCCAGGCCTGCACGCATCTCTCCCTGAACACTGCAGCGTATAGCCAATTGCACTCGCCCCGGGAAAAATGGCAACTGGCCAGACCAGGTGGCACCAGTGAGGTTTCCCTGAATGTCCTCTCCAAGTAAGTTTCAAAGCCTCCTCCACAGACCGCCTGCAGCTCACGGGCAGAGTCCCAAACTCTTACCCCTGGAGCAGAGGTGGTCATTACCGAGATTCTGAAGCATCTGGTCGCTCTGAGCTTTACAGCAGAGAGAAAGGAGCTGTTCTTGCCCAAACTTTTCAGGTAAGTAATATAATTAACAATAGTAACTGATCTTTTTATTGAGCACTTACTATGTACCGAGTACTTTCCATGCATTACCTTGCTTGATTCTCTCAATTATCTATGAAGCAAGTATTGTTTGCTATCCCCACTTTCTAAATAAGGGTCAGAAAAGTGTGCTATAACTTGCCCGAGGGCATGCAGCTTATAATAAAAGGCACAGCTTGGCTCCAGGATCTTTGTTCTTAGCCACTATGCTATTCTGTGCTGGAGCCCCTCAGACAGGTTGGAACTCGGGGCGGAGATACATCCAGAATCCCTTCAGGGGTGAGGAGCTAAGGGACAGGAGAATGAACACAGCCCAGCGCCAATATGGAAGGGTCCAGCCAGCTGGCCGCAGCAAGATCCCTTTATTACATAAACCTGGCTCCACACAGCTCCGGCCTCTTCCCAACCCCCAGTGCCTGACTCAGGACTCTGGACAGCTGTTCACCTACTTTGTGGGAGAAACAGCAAGTTCGGAAAATATGACATTTGCACAAAATGTTGCCGGGCAGCAGGAGTCTCTTCCGGGCACGGCCCTCCTCTCCCGGGGGCCCAATCCCTGCCCAGCGGCCAGGTCAGGCCACAGGGGCTCTGGGAGTGCCCGGCGGCCTGCCCCGCACACGGCGGCCGTGGAGAGGGGGGAAGGGCTGCTATTTTAAGAGGCCTCGTGGCTGCTTGACAAACAGATGTGGGAGAGGTTTCAGTTTCAAGGGGCAGCTGTGTAGCCAGCCCACTGCTGCCCTGGCCCCCTGGACAGCTCCTCGGGGAGAGCTGGGAAGAGCAGGCTCTCCCGGCAAGGGGAGGGTGGTCACAGCCTTGGGCAATCTCCGAAGTTGTCCCAGGACAAACAGGGACAAGTGAGACCGAATGGCCTGGAGCAACCTACTCAAACTGTGCCCCCCAGAGAGGAATGAAGGGATCACCCCTCCACATTTCTGCAGAGCCCTTCCTACCCCTTACAGAACACGGAAGGTGATTCTTTCATGCCCGGAGAGAATTCGCCAATGATCGGCTCCATTCTAGTACTGATGAGAAAACCAAGGCTTTGAGCTCCACTTAGGTGCACGGGTGGCCCCTACCCCTGCATTCTCCAGGCGCTTCTGTTCTCCCGTCTCCCCCTGGACAAAGAGAAGAGAGCGTTACCTTCAGGAGCTCCTTGGGTGGAGGCCAGGTGCCAGGCAAATGAGACTAAGATCCAGGTGAAGAGAAACCCCCTAGAGAACAGGAGACACAAGCAGAGGCGGCATCAGCTTCCACCCCTCGGCCCAGATCCGGCTGGGGAGCTGGAGTGGATCCCCCAGCCCAGGCCCATCCCGGTCTCAGCCACGGGGTGTGCGAGGCAAGGTGCAGGCTCTAGGACCCCATCGGAACAGTCGGCACCCATGGGTCTCTATAGGGCACAATCTCTTGGGGCAGGAACTGCATACACGGTACAAATACAACCTTGCTTTTTACAGAGTGATAAACCAAGGTCATGGAACAGGAAATAGTAAATGGGAAGCCCTGCCCTGAGTGTCAGGAAACCCAAGGTCCAGCTCAAAACCTTCCACCAATTCACTGGGCAGCAAAGAGCCAGCCCCTGCCCCTCCCTCTCTCTGGGCATCGGTTTCCCCATCGTACTATGGCCTTGTGATCTTGAGGCCCGATGGGTGGTACAGCGAGGGCTATAAGGTCAGCGAGGAGACCAGCCCAGTCTGCTTGGATGACCAGTGTCCTCCAAGGGCAGCAGAGATGAAAACTCACTCTCCAGGCCGAAGGCATGGAGCAGGAGAAGATTCCGTAACCAGGACCAGTGCGTGCTAAGGAAGAGATGCCTAGCTGGCTTCACACTGTTGGAAAATGGGAGGAGAAAAGAGAGCAGATGGTAGGGAGCCTGGCAGATGCAGGTGCAAACCTGGCCCCATGGCTTACCAGCTGTGTGGCCCCGAATGAGTCGCTCAACCTCCCTGAGCCTGTCTCCTCCTCTGAAACACGGCCGGTACTACTCCCTATCTTGCAGGTCAGGCATGAGGACTGAAGAAGCTCATGCACATTAAGGGCTTGGCCTGCCACCAGCCATGCAAGTGCTCCACAGGCTGTCCCTGCTGCTCTGGCACTCTGGGGACTGCAGGGTTAATGCTTTGCCCAGTGGCTCCTGCCAAGATGGGCAGAGGCAGTGATCCACTTACACCTTCCTGTGGGAGCAGCCACTGGGGATACCCGAAGCTACCTGGGGCATTTGATCCTTGAGCAGGCAAAGGGGAGGGCGGCACGTGGCCAGATATGGCTGGCCAGGCTGCAGGCCAAGACAGCTGTGAGGGGCAGGTGGGGAGGGCTAAGGCTGGGACGCACAGGCCCAGGATCCGCCACTAACCAGCACCAGCAATCTCTAAAGGTCAGATTGCCTAGCCGTCCCGGAGCTGTCTGGAGAGCAGGCTGACCTTCTGGCATGACCTGCCCACTTACATCAAATGGCAGCCCCATCAGCCCTGCAAAGAAATAATAGGCAGCTTTGCTGGACAAAAACAGAGGCTTAGGGAGGGCAGGGACTTCCTCAAGGTCGCCCTGGGCAGGCTCTGGGGCCATAATTCTTGGGTACAATTCTCTCATCCACCAGGTGGACACTACGGGAAACTGGAGCCAGATGTATTGGGGAAGAGCCGCCTCCTGGGGCCCAGACATGGCAGGTCCAGAAGCCGAACTGCACACCAAGTTCTGAGAAGCCCTGAAAGAAACGGGCCGCACTTTCTGTCGCTCAGCAGTCCCTGAACTCAGAGAACCGGGTAACTCGTTTTTTTCTGAGGACGCCACCTCAGAAGACACTGCTCCTCATTTCCCAGTGTTCTTGCAACCTCACTAGTTTCTGTTCCATGTCCTTCCAGCCTCCTCTCTCCCCAGCTCTCCCAGGCACCAGCCCTCACTGCTCGAGCCTCACTGTGTGATGTCACGTGGCCCCCCCTCCATATTCGAATGTTTCCCAAGCTGCTAAAGAGCAGCCGCATGAAGCAGAGAAGGGGCAACAACCACATGTGTAGTTCTCGGTTGGTTCTTCCTGCTGGGCTATGCCAAGGTGACTAGTCTGTAGAGAATAAGAGGGTAAAGGAGGGGAAAATATTTTCAATCCCCAAAGTTCAGGAGGAAGAAGACACACAGGGGAGATGGGATCAGAATCTTCTCTTCAATTAAGCTTCCTAACGCAATGGTTTCTAACTTGAGAATTTCAGCCCTGGAGGCCTGTGACCAAAATATTTGTCCCCTATTCACTCACCTCGAAAAATGCCACTGACCTGGGTTCTGTGTGCCCTTGACCCATAAACGTCCACAGGATAGGGCGGGAGTATAGAGTGGGAGAAGACCCCATGAGTTCATCTAGAGGCCAGATTCTAGCCCCGCCCCCTTACTGTAGAGATGGGCAGCCGAGGCCCGGAGAGGGGCAGTGCCTCGCCTAGAGCCACACAGCGCCTCGGTGGCCCGTATCATCTGACTGTGCTGCTGAACACACAGCCTTTCCCTGGGCTTGCCTCCCTCGGAGAAGAAACCAGAGACTTACAGGGACTTCCTACTTGCTGGAGCCCAGAGTCCCAGCCTTCACCAACCAGAACAGAGATGCGGCCTGGGGAGCCAACCAGCCATCTAAGTGAGCTCCAGGCCTGGAAAGTTGGCTCCCAGAGGGAGGTCCTGCAGATCCCTCTGCTCCCGTTCCAATCCTGTTTAGGCTACTGGTAATAATGTTTAGCGGCGGCGCTGGCTCAGGGCTTGGTTCTTCCAGACTTCTGTTTTCACCACCGACTTGCGGGCCTTGGCTCAGTGAACCCAGGGCTCCAGAATGTCGGGAAGACCAGCGCACAGGAGCCAGAGGGGGCAGGAGGCAGCCAAAACTGGAGTCACGTGTTAGGTGCCTGACCTTGGGGACACAGCCTGGCCATGCAGTCCTCCAGGAAGGCATTCATTTCCCCTGAACAAGGCCCTCTGCCAGTTCACCAAATGTGGCTACTCCTGGACCACTAGGCTGCCAGAGCCTGTGGCTGGTTAGTATGACTCTTCCTCCATCCTCGTCACCTGGGAACACACAAGAGCTTGGAGGCCCATACCAGCTTGAACAAACATCCCCTGAGAGCTCAGAGCTGAGGCCCAGGGTGCTGAGACCCTGACACATGCAAGGAAGCAGGGCGTCAGGACTCGGAGCTCGGCTGTGCTCCCAAGGGGTAAGCTGGGAAGGTAGCTGCACAGAGGACACAGAACAGCAAAGGGGGGTGGGCCTGTTCCACCTGCCTCCATGAACTGGCCAGGGCCCATGTGTCCAGCAGGTCACACCCGGGCTCCTTCCCTCACACCTTATACCTCTTCCACAGGAACACAGACGGTCATCTGTCTGGACGGGATGCCGCCCTGAAGTTTCCAGTTGACTCACACATCCATTCAAGATGCAATGAATAATAATACCAATAACAGCTGCCGTTTACTAAGCACTTACTACAAGCCAGGCACTGTTCTAAGCCCTTTACAAGCAAGGTGCCACGAATCCTCCCAAAACCCTGTTGCTTGTTGGGAATGAAGATGCCCACACTGTGGGTGAGAAAAACAGGAAGCGGAGAGGCTTGCCCAAACTCACAGGGCAGAGTCGGGAGCCACCGTATGAGAAGGCAGTGCTCTCTCTGCCCCGCCGCCGCCACCGGACTCACACTGGTGTGAGTCCTCTGCCACCAACTGATAGGGCACTCCGTGGTCTGGGAGAGGTGTGATGGAGCGAAGCTGGAAGGCATGCCGGGACCGACCGGAGGGCACAGGCCCAGGGGCCCTGCAGTGGTGAGGGAGGCACTAAGACGGGAGAAAGCAGAGGCTGGGCTTCCAAGCAGCATGACTGTCCACTTGCCCAGAGCTTGGGCCCCACTCTGGGGTGCTCGCCTGGCACCACTTTTTGACACAACCGCTGGCATCTGCCCTGGCACAGGGTCTCCTGGAGAAAATGAGTCAGCAGTGTGCTTACTGGTGCTGTGTGTGTATCTGTGTGTATTGCAGTGGGGGGTGGGGGATCTCAGCCAGCCTTCTTTTTCCAAGACATGGGAATGAGGTGGTGGTGGGGGGGGCATCATCCCCCATTCCAGCTCAGAGGGGCAGGGCCTGGAGGGTGGGGCGGAGCAACGGCCTAGACCAGCCTCCTGGGAGTGTCCTTTGGTCCTAGGGGCAGGACAGAAAGCCAGCAAGTTCTGGGCTTCCCGCGGCAGTGGGCAGTGAGCAGTGAGCATGAGCTGCAGTCCGTACAGCCCCCAGGGACTGCTCCCGTCCCCCTGAGGTCCCTCCCACACATACCCAAGGGCAGCGCCTCGCTCTCGCACACTTTCTCTCTCTTACAACTCCTACTTTACAGGCTGGGGCTCAGAGCATCGTGAGTCCTGGCTCTACCTAGCCCCTCTTTCGAATTCCCTGCCCCTCTCTGGCCCTCCTCCTCTGTCTCCGCAACTAAATGTACAATGAGGGATCCCACTCCGTGATCTTCCAGGGCCCTTCCCGCTCTGGCAGCCTGGCTCTAACTTTCTCTCTCACACTCCGGAAAGCAACAGGAATGGAGACCCCACCCCCTACCCCAGAGAAGCAGGGAAACACTGAAACCCAAACCCAAACAGACTGACACACACACAAGGATTTCCAGAAACCGGGGACGTGCAAAGACACACAGACACAAGCAAGAGCAGAAGCCACCGATACCTGGAAACCTAGAAACTTGGGGACAGTTTTACAAGAACAGCCAGAAACGGAGGCGTACAGGCTCGGGACCTGCGGATACCGACACCAGAACACACCGGGATAGCAGAATCGGACACCCCCTCCTCCCCCAAGAATCCTCAACCCACCCCCTCCACCGCCTGCCGGGCCCTCCAGGCGCCACCACCCACCTCCAATTCTGACCCCAGGCTGGCTCTTCACGGACCTTCCCTGGCCGGGCCGGGCGGAGTAGGGCAGAACAGCACTGGCCAACGCTGGGGCCGGGGGCACAGCCCGCGTTAACCCTTGGCCACCCACCTCACAGGGGCACAGGAAGGGGCAGGAAGCTGACGTTCTGCTGGAAGCGTCTGGCTCCGAGGGGAACCCCAGCTCTCCCCTAGGCTGGAGCAGCAGGAAGCTGGGGAGGGGGCGTCCCGAAGCTCATACTCACCCCCCACGAGCCGCCACCGCTGCTGTGCCTCGGGGCCCCCGCGCGGATCCCGCTCCCATGGCGGGCCCCTACTTCATGCTTCCGAACCCGGGGGGCAAGTGTGGGCGCGCCCCATGGGGCCGCCAGCCCCCTGCCCCGCCGCGCCAGGCCGGCTCAGAGCGCGTGGCCCCCGCGCAAGCAGCGCAGTCCCGCGCCGAGGGGCGCCGGAGCAGCCAGGCGACGCGGCCGGGGCCCCTCGAGCGCCAGCGCCAGGCCCATGGTCCCAGGAGTCCCGGCGCCGCGCTCGCCCCTGCCTCACTCTTTTTCTGCTTCAACCAAAAAGAAGCAGAAAAAAAAAAGAGAGAGAGAGAAAGAAAGAGATGATCAAACTTTTAGAGGCGGGCTGTTGGCGGTCCCCGGAGACAGAGCAAGGCCGGGCGAGGGCGCACAGAGGGCGGTGGAAGCTGCCTCCCCGCCGGCCTGGGGGAGGAGAGGAAAAGGAAGGATTTGGGGGAAATGAAGGCGATTTAAAGTCTCGGCCCGCGGTAGCTCTCCACCTTCTCTCCTCCCCACGCTGGGCCGCCCTCTGCTGCCCCCTGCTGCCCCCTGCCGGCCGCAGCCAGGGACACACTCTGGACCGGCCCACCACAGCCCGGCTGAGACTCCCCCCACCCCTTTGTAGAAACGGGGAAACTGAGATTGACAGGGAGGAACGAGCTGGCCAGGGCTGCACAGCGGGATGACCACAGCACGGAGATTCGGGACTTCCGGCTTGTGAGGTCCCAAGTTTGGAGGCGGAGATAGAGGCAGAAAGGGGACAGACACTACTGCTGAAAGGAACCCGGAGTTCCAGGGACAGCTGTGGGACCAGGACTCAGTGTGCAGACTCCCACAACAACCAGTGTTCTGCCACACACACACACACACACACACACACACACCTTTCCTCCCAGACCCAGAACTCCCAGGAGGACAGACTCCTGGAACTGTAGTGGGTGGGCTTGTTAAATGTTGGTTACCCCCTCGTTCTTCCCTCTCCATGAGGTAAGAAATGGCAGCTTGACACTCACCCGCCGCCCAGTCTATCAAAGATGCTCCCTGAGACCCCACACTGGAGCACAGAACTGCACCCCTTGACCGTGCCGCAAACACCTGACAAATTCGCACATCTACAACCCCAGTCCGAGCCCTGCGTCAGAAGCCCCTACTGCCCTCGCCTCCCCCTCCACGACTTGTTCACTGGTGCGCGCACACACACACTCACACACCCACCCACGCCTACCCCACACTCAAACACAAGCTCCCACTCATTCATATGCAAGCACAGCCATGCGCTCCTCCTGCGCCCACATAAACACACCCTGGGTGTCTCGACTAGAAGCACACCAGACTCCATACCCGCAGATGCATGCACACTAGTGCTTACACAGGCACGAATGCACGCTAGCTCAGCCAGATCCTCCACCCAACACACCCGCGCACATATCTCTCATGCACACGTTTGCGCGCACACACACACCCCATGTACACACCCACAAGAGCACATACACAGGCATGCTCCCAGTTACACACAGTTCTTCACTAGTGCCCACCGAATGTGGGCACAAACGCACTCATTCTCCAAATGTGCACCCCCTCCCCATATGCGCACACCTTTACAAACACACACAGGTACCCCCAGCAATCTAAGAGCCCCGGGGCACTTACTGGGTCCCTAGGTGCGAGGCTGGACGGTCGGTCCTTCCTCGTGAGCCTAACGGCATTTGTATTCATGGGTCCCCGCAGCCCCAGACGCGGGGGCGGGGGTGCCAGGTCCCCTTCCCTAAACGGGGCGCAGGCGCTCGCAGCGCAGCCGCACCGGGAGGGGCATGGGCGCACGGGGCTGAGCCTCCCGCCCGGTCCGCCTGCGCTGAAACTTTGGCCGCTCTGCGTCTTCCGACTCCGTCGTGGGCTCTGGGCGCAGGGGGCGGCTCATAGGTGCTGGTGCCGCGGCGCCCGCCGGGCCTTTTGAAGTCTCCGCTGGGGGCGGGGAGGGTGCGCTGAAGGCGGCCTTTTAAACCAAGGCTGCACGCGGGCTCGCTGGAGCAAGGTGTCTGGTTTCAACAAACTTTAGGAAAAGTCCCAAGCAGGGGCGGGGTGGGGTGGGTGGGGGAGCGGTGCGGAGGGGCGTTAAGCCAAGCCTGCAAGGAAAAGAAGCCGCAGAGTTGTGCTCTGCTTCCTGCAGGGGGCAGAGCACACACGGCTGCCAGAAGGGAGGCTCAGGGTGGTGCCGGGGAACCCACTAGCAGCTGGATGGCGCGTGGAACCACCCCCACCTTGAACCAAGTTCTTAACCTCCGCTTGGACCGAGCCCCAGAGAGTGCAGGAACACCTCAAAACTTCACAAATTGTGCATGTTCGAACCTTCTTCTGGATGAGAGGGGCCCTGGGTTTTCCTCAGGTTTTCAGGTCAACAACAGCCAGCCCAATCGTACTTGACATTTTTTGAGCTGCATGCTTTGTGCTAGGTGGATCCTGCCCTTATTTACATTTTTTTTTTTTAGTATTTTGTTCATCGTGGAATTTTTGCATTAACTTTGACACGTTTAAAGTATTGCATTAAAATATTGTGTATTTTGATTAGTTAGGGGTTTTTTGGGGCACCCCCTTAGAAATAAAACTTCATTGTATACTGAAGAGGTTTTTTGGTGCCCCCGAGTATTTGGCATCCTCGCCAACCTCACCCTAGCCAGGGACAGCGCCGTGCTAAGCATCACCGTCTATCGGGGGCCTGGTATCTCCACATGCAGATAAGAAAGCCAAGATTCTGAACGGTTAAGTCATTTTCCTGAGATCACAACCTGGCAGGTGGAGGAGGTGGGATGTGAGCTGAGGTAGTCTGATTCCTGTCTTCTGCAGCTGAGCGGGAAGACCCACATCTTAGTGGCTCTGGGCAGATCCCGGCCAGCTTCCCCAGCTCCGTGTCCCGCCCCGAGCTTCACTCTCTCTGATGCCTGGACCCAGGCTCTGGACAAGCCGGGATGCTTCAAGGCCCTTCTCAACTCTGTTTTCTCCCAGGTTCTCCCCCCACCCCATGTCCTTCTAGGTGTGGCTCAAAGCTCAGCCTCACGCCCGTATTGGAGCACACATCACACCATGTTGCTGTCTTTTTCACATCCCCACACCTAGTGTGCAGCCTGGGACATGAGAGGCTCAAACCGTTAATAATTTCAATAATTTTGTTTCAACTCCTACAGTGTTCGAACTCCAGTAGAAAGCTGGGGGAACAGTAGATTGTGGGAGTGAAGACAAAGAAATTTGCACATGGGTCTGCTTTCTGAGTGCACACATATTTATAATGTGGACAGAAGACATGCACAGCAGCTTGGGGCAGGGAACAGGGCCAATATGGGAGACACTACACACAGACACGTCACAGAGAACATCCTGCAATTGCTTAAAGATAACACTAGGGGAATGTGATAGATGTTATCAGAAAGACACAGGTGAATGGAATTGTCATACTGACCAAGGGATCAAGAGAATGCAAGGAAGGCTCCCAGGAGGAGGTGGCCTTTGGCTCCTAAAGGATATTTTGGAAACATATGCAGCCATGGAGAGAGACAGCTCAAGTGGAAGAGTCACAAGAAGGCCAGAAGGGTAGGAGTAAATTTCAGGCTGGTTTTGCAAGAAGAGTGAAGTGAGCCCAGTGGAAAAGCCATCTAATTCTCCCCTCTGCACAGTGTGGGTAATGTCCTGTGACTCACTGGCCACAGAGCCATTTCCAGGCAAGAGGGTGCATTTCCTCAATGGTCAGGCAGCAGGTCAGTGGCTGAGTACCAAGACCTTTCCAAATTTCATTCCCAAATCTGAGTGACCAATGGTGAGCCCCAGAGAGCCTTGCTCCACCATGGATAACCCAAAAGACTCATGGGATACCCCTCAGAGCCCAGAAATATTGATTGTGTTCCTTTCAAGAGCCTCGCTGTCTCCATCTATAAAATAGATGCATCAAACATGATAATCTTTGAACTCAGGAAGATGAGATATTCTTTGACAATAAATCCAATTCAGTAGGTAATTATTGAGAGCTGGCTGTATTTTGCTAGGTTGCAAAGAAAGCATGACTTACATTCTTCCAAGAGCTCATGGTTAGCTGGGAGGAGGAGGCATGGACCCTGACAAGAGTTATTGTGAGGGAACCTTGTTTCTTGCCTCTGCAGGCTCTTTACACCCCATCTTCCTGCCAAGGAGGTTCCTGGCACAGCACCAGGGACTGGGCACAAACAGTGCTGGACAGGACTTCCTAGCCTGGTGGAGACTCAAGGGCCACATGGTTTATTCCTGCCCAAGCGCATCAGCCATGGACCCACTTGCTTTCGGAGACACATCTGCCTTCAGAGAACTGTTCATCTCAATAGCCTCAATGGTAGACACAGTAGGTGCTCAATAAGTATTTATAACTGAATCTCTAGTGAGGTCTTAGCCTGCAGGACAGAGGGTTGCCATGACGCAGGTATCAGCCCCCATGGATTTATCCACCAAGTATTCCCCGAGGACGCACTGTGCCACGGGCTGTGCCTCCTGCTCCCTAGGTGCTGTGGTCAGCGCAGGAGGCTGGCAAGGAGACAGACAGGTGCTGCAGGTCAGGAAGTCCTGCCTCAGATCATGCTCGTGTATCTGGTGCTGCAGAACTGGGGTGAAAACTCAGGTTCCCAATCATCGTCTTTGCCATCTTAGATTTAGTCTCAGATTAGTCTCCCCAATCCTCCCAATGCTCTGCGCTGCTGGGCACACCAAAATGGATCTTTATTTCATATTGGACCCTGCGTGTCATGGAGCATAGGAAGTGTGTACACAATGCATGTCCAAGAATAGAGTTGTTCATTCCCTGGTCACTTGGGGAAATGCCGCCATGCATCAAACCCTGAGCTGGGCGCTGGTCACAGGCAAATATAAGCTGTGGTCCCCGCTGTGAGCCATGTGGATGTCTGGCAGCAGGAGGAAGCGCTGTGCCTGGCACATGGAAGTGCTCCATACACGCTGAGTGGAAGACGGAACAAATGAATGAAAGGACGAATACATGAATGAGAGCACAGGTTGCCGGACTAGAGCAGGTCGGCGCCCCCTGCCACCTGCTCCCTCTGCTACATTGTGACCTCACCTGTGAACACGCTTGCTGGGCACCTGCTGTGGGGCCGGCCTGGTTGTAGGTGCTGCGGATACCTTAACCACGCTCTGCTCTGCTCACTGCGGTGCTCCCAGCACCTCAGATAAAGCGTTTCAGGAGAGTGAATTAAACTGAAGTCCAGGCTGGAGGGAGAGGCAGCCCCCCATAATGCCTTCTCCCTCTGCCCCTCCGGGCAACGCCAGTCCAGTTCCTTTCTTCAGGGGAAGTGGCTGGAGGCAGCACTGGCCATTATCACAGCTTACCTATCCCCTGGGCTTGGGCTCTGCCTGTGGAGCCACGTCACTCAGGCCTGGCAGCTGCAAAGACCAGCCCCCACCCTGCCACCAAACTGCCGTTCC